GATGTTGTTCTTGTTCTTGTTACCTGACTTCCATTCACCAACATTCGAATACCATCATGTGTCAGATTTTACAATTTTTTCGCTTGCATGCTCTGCGGTTTTTGTATATTTTTTAATCATAAAATGAGAAGCGGCTAAAGCGACAGTTACCGCTGGAGCTCAAATTAATAGCGAAACCAATTAAAACATGGGACGCTGTTGGCTGAATCTTAATAAAGCGTTTCAAAGCGAGTAGGCTGTAAAAATCGAGATCAACTTAAGTGGAGGCTTAACATGGAGATTTACCATACTATCGCTCATATCAAATAGACAGATGGAATTAGTCATCAACTTGCATAATATAGTTATTTCGAAAGCAAAGTTATCCAGTTTATCTGGCTACAGTAAATCTCGAAACCACACATCGACAGTTAAATGTGAAAAGTATAAACTTTTAATTAGTTTCCACTGCATGGTTCTGCTTTGAAATCGCAGTGGAAAATTGAAAGGGATGAATGTGAATACTAAGCGAAATACTGAAGCTGTTGCTATAAATTAATTCCATTTATCCAGAAATATTTAGAGAGTCCAATTACTACCAATGTTAAAGCTGCAGCTAAAAGGCTACAACGGTTGCAATTTAATATTTCGCAATAAATGACTTTCTCGAGCTTCACTCAAGTATCCGAACAATTCTCAAATGAAACTAAAGCAATTTCCCCTTCTACTTGATAATACTCGCTGAGGCTCAATAAATTCTGCCAGATCCTTGAACTTTATGGCTGAGCAATAAAAGCAACTGCAGCTGCAAAACCAACAACAAAAACAAAAGAGAGAGAGAAAAAAGAAAGGCTTGTCGAAGGCGTTTGCCTGGACTTTCCACATTTTCCACAACTGCCACATCAGCCACATCGTCCGCATCCTTCAGCTTGAATGAGTGACGTACAGCGGGTAGCGCATCAAAAATGTGGTTGAGTTTTATTTAACTTGCGGATTTCATTAAGCCCAGCTCTCTGGCAGTTGCAGCTACTATAGCTGCTCCCCCTGCTTCAGGGAACTACCAAAGTACAGTCAGGTGGGGCATCTCTGGAGAGCTGGCAAAGCACTTAGGTGTGTGCATGTGTATGGGTGAGTGACTTAAGAGTAGCGTGCTTCAGTGTTTGAAATGCATGCAAAGTGTTTTCTGTTGCATTGTTAAAATAGAATATTTACTCGGCAACATTGTCTAGTTGCAGGCACTCGTCGAAGTGGAAGCGGTTGAGGAAGTGGGTCAGAGCCTGTCAGATCCAGCCAGCTATTGCTAAACCCTTTCCAGCGCTTATTGGGCCGGCAGCGACAGACGGTAGACGGTAACCGGCAGACGGAAGCCGGCAGCCGGACACGTTTGCTGGTATGATGAGGGCTAGCAAAGTTCACTTGCTCGAAAAGCAAATCAAATTAAAATCAATTAAAATTAACAAGCGAAGCAGCCGGCAAAACCAGAGACCAGACCACCCCACAGCTCTAGCAGCAACGTCTTCGCTAACGCCGCCGCCGACGTTGACGCTAACGCGAACGCGAACGCTAACGCTAACGCTGACAGCGAAATGCCAAGCGTATGAATCATGCAATTCGCCGTGCTGTTCTTCATCTACCTTTGTTGCTGTTGCTGCTGATGAAGGTGCGGCAATACGTATATACATACATACACTCATATGCAAGTAAATTGAATTGCCGGGACGGCACAATTGACATAGAACTGATAAGCGGAGTGCTAGGGCCTACGGTGGCGTCACAGTTAAAACAATTCGCCTACTCACTCCACGACTTTGTGTGTGAGAGAAAGAAAGAGAGAGGAAAATAGTCGACAGCCAGGTGCTCATCTTTATCGTTGTGTGCAAATATTTAGCTCTTTTCCTGTGCACCTTATCGGCACGTACAAACATACTTAAATACAGTTGTACACCATGCATACGCATACATATACCATATACTTATATGTAAGAGCCATTTGCCGCTCAATGTCTGTATGTGCGAGTCTTGGTGTGAGTGAATTGAGTCAGCGCGCTGTGAACGACCCACTCATCAAGAGTCGACTAAATCAAAAGCCGCCTACACAACAACACTCACACGGCACAATAGTAAAGGTGAGATAAATGAGAAGAGAGCTGTGAATCAATTGAAATTGTGTTGCATGCTACGACTGGCGCCATCTCATCAGTGAGATCGAATCTTAGCTCATGCGTAACCATTTTGTCTAGCCAGAAATTAAGCAACACACAGTTTATTGGCCCGTTTAGCACAGTGGCCGAGTTTTCTGCTTTTCTTCTTCTCACTTGACAGTTATTTCACAAAGTGCCCGAAGCAGGCGGGAAAGGAGAGCAAAACAATAACAAGGCAGCATGTCGAATGTAGTGTTAAATCACACTCACCTCTACTCCCACACATGCATATGTATGTATATAAAAATGTATTTTCACGCAGAAAACGATTTTCTGTTTTTGCTGTCTCTCTGGCTACATTTCAATTTTATTGGCACAAGGTTACAAGAAAAGAAAACACGCTGCAATTGGCAAAGTTTATGCGGTCGCCTTAGCTGCTTCTTCGTATTCTTCTTTATGGGACTCGAAGTGCAGTGAAATTCATACAAAATTGAATTTAAGGTTGGGATTCATTTTACGGTTAGGCTCAGCGTGGGTTGTGAATGACTCAATGTGTGCGTTCCTAATATGGCGACGCAGCAAAAGAACTCAAAAGCTCAAAGGGAGAGAAAAGATGAACTCACACGTGCACAAAGCCCGAAGCAGCGAAGTGGCTTCAAAACGTCACAAAGCAGCGACTAAAGAGCAAGACGCGGCGAGCAAGCGAACGAATAGCGTTCAGCTGAGCGTATGACGCTTTTGAAGCGCGACTTAAAAAGCGTTCGCGTAGGCATCAACAACTGCCGCTCACGTCATAGTGTGTGAGCGAGACAAATATACCTTATGTATGTGCACAAATGTGTGTATATATTTAACTGCATACAATCAGTGCACTAGTGTTGGTGTTGAGGTATCTAGCGGCTGCTGCTTTACAAATGTTTGTGTGGACGCTGTTGCTTTATGTGGGTGGCGCTTACAAGGCTGCTGCTGCTACTGCTACTACTGCTGCTGCTGCTGCTGCTGCTGCTGCTGCTGCTGTTGTGGCTAGTGGCTCATTCACAAAAGACTTGTCGCAGTCGGCGCCGCCGCAGCTGTTGATTTGTTTGCTTCGCTGTAATACAACAAAAGTTTTCTAGAAATTCCATGCACAATACACAACCTAAGAGCTGTATAACTTACCGTTGTACTGTGGCCACAGCAAAGCAACCTTGCGAAGGGCACACAATTACACCTACTATTAAAAAAGATATACACACATAAAAGACATATGTATGCATGTACATATGTTAGATGGCATTCATATAACTGCTTGTGCGAGAAAGAAAGAAAACTGACGCAGCAGCGAACAATAAATATCTGAAACAGTGACAGAAAGTAGCTTTGAGCCATAAGCCACGACAACAACAACAATAATATGAACTGTGCAGTAACTACTCAAAACTAACAACTAATTGCAAGCAAGTAAATAGCAGCGCATGTCTTAAGCAGCATAAACTCAGTTTGCTGCCAGACAATGCCAGGCGAAAATGGCGCCGACTAATAAATACGGCGAGAAGCTGCCAGCACTTTGGTAGTGTAGCAGTTGTTCAACAACGTCAATGTACAAGCCGTTTACACATGCGTACGTAAATACATCTTAAATACATACATACAGATTTACGTACCGAATATGTACACATATACATCCATATGTATTGGACGTTTTGCTTTGGTCCAAATGTTAAAAAAAAAAAACAACAAATAAAAAAAAAGAAAACGGGCATAAAATTGGGCAACAAACGAAACAGACAGAGAGAGAGAGCACGCAAAAGTGGGAGAGCGACAGCGGCGAGTGGGCGACTCAGTCGACGTCGTCGTTGCCGGCGGCACATAAAAATGTGTTGTTTAAATATTTCAGCCAAATTTTCGCCTTAAAATTATACATACATACATACATATGTAATGAATATGGCGAAAGCACAGCTGTGAGCACGAACAAGTACATACTTATATATATATATATATATATATATATATATATATATATATATATATATATTTCAATATATACACATATGTACTTTGTATATTTATTATATTTTTCGCAATGGTTGATTTGATTTACGGCGAAAAGCAGATAAAAAGCCAGTTGCGCTTGCGTGCATACATATACACACACCCGTATATACAAATTTATATATATATATATATATATATATATATATATATATATATATATATATATATATATATATATATATATATATTTATATTTATATACATATGTATATACGTATGTATATATACATATATATATATATATATATATATATATATATATGCATGTACGGGCGTATGCATGTGAGAGCGAGAGAGACTAATTAATGAACAGTTCCCACAACAGATAAGCTGTTACGCGCAAATCAAATGAAAACGTATGATTGTGATTAATTTTATAAGTCTCATTCATAAATAAACAAATAGCGCGCTTCACACAACGTTATTGTAAGCGAGGCGAACAAAGCTAGCGGCAAAACTAGCGTAGAATTCCAATAAGAATGAAGACGAGCCAGCAACAAACAGCAAACAGCAAAGAGCGTGGAAACAAAAACCAGTAGCTGCCCAGTGTAACTTTCGTTTTCGCTGGCAGCGACAAACGTACAAAAAAAATTATGTAATTTGCTGGCGTGCTGCTTAAATGATAATAGCAGTTAATGCAAAAAATTATAACGAGCACCCACGCACATATACACATATACACGTCTCACATTGCTTTGCGTAGACGGTCGGCGGGCAATACTACCGCTAATTTGCAGCTTGGGCGGCAAGGCCCTCAGTTACACACAGACGTACACATACACACATACATTAGAGAGAAAAACACCCACAGGCATTCACACGCACACGTGCACACGCACTTACCGTCTGTTATTTGTTGTTGATATTTGCTGTTGTTCTTGTTGCGCGCTCACTCACACACACACACGGTATCTTCTAGCTGCCGTCGTTTTGTTGTAGTAGTGGTTTTTGTTGCAGCTGCTCGTTGACCCAAAGGCCGCCAAATGTTTCCATTTTCTTAAAATGCAGCCATCGGAAAGGCTTAGACTGACACCAAAACACAATGCACCGTTTGATTGGTACACAAATAATCATAAGCAATTGTTATTGAAAAGGCGGCATACAAAATATAATGCGTTTACACTCATGCATCTATGTACGTGTATACGCGTACATATGTATGTATGTAAATATGTAATGTGTAAATAACTATAACGGTTAATTGCGTTTTTGAAGGCGGCGTTTTCTCTCACCGTCAAAAGCTATTTTTTTTTGATTATTTTTAACGACAATTTGACACTTAATTAATATCTTAACCGTGTGTATGTGTGCTGCTACTGAGCGTAGACTATTGACACGAGCGTAAGATTTTAAATTATTAAAAATACACAACTTCTAAGCGGTAGCCGAAAAACACATAGCACGCACCGAAATATAAAATGTTACTGAAAAAAACTCTGTTAAATGTTTCTTATAAGAGAAGTTTGATAACAGAGAAGCGGTGCGCACGTGACAAGCGCAGACACGAAAGCCACTCACGACTCTCAAATGTTAGCCCAAATAAGATGAATTAAAATAATAGAAACAACAGATTTTTCATTTGGCCAATTTCATCTATGAAAAAAATCAAATTAGATTTTGAAAAAGTTCGCGGGCTATTTAAAACTATTTAAAACCCATATCAGTTTAAAACAAGCTCGAGTCCTATGAGTATCTGCCAGCACTAATTCGAATATATTGACTTAGCAGTGCCAATGTAAAGAAGCTTTCTCTCAGAGAGTAACATATCAGCTGTTTTCTAATATCGATAGCCTTTAATATTCGATTGATTAGACTCGATAGTTTGCAAAATTTATTAAAGTATCGGTGAATATGGAATTGTGTTTTACATGATTTAAGTAAACTTACAACATAAACTTATTATTCTTTTCGGACAGATGTTTCGAGGAGCGCTTAGCGTCTAAGAACAACGAATGCACGTCCTCAATATCCTCCTTAGAAATCTGATTGCGTCCATTAACCTTGCACATCTGGTGAGCTGGAGTCAAGAGCTGAACGGCATAGCGTAAAGTGGAACTTGTTCCAATCTCGCTGAGATGCGTGAAAGCATTTTCCTCCAGCTGGAGACCTTCAGTCTGAGCACGCAATTTGATGATCTGTTCCATATCCGATGTGGAGTACAAAAGTGTGCGAATAATGAGTAAGCGATCGAGCAAATCCAATGGAATTCCATGAGGAGACACTATATCAGTGGTTCCACTGCAGAAGGAAAGTTATTAATGGGCAGAAACATTGACCCAAAAGACTTACCGAATGACGCAGCGGCCTCTATTGGTGGCAAAGATGACAATGGGCGCAATGGGAGATTCCAGCGATTTGTGCAAATAGGTAAAGGTCTCCAGATCGAGCATATGTATCTCGTCGATGAACAGCACGCCGGGCACCAGCTCTGCAATGCCCTGATCAATGTATTTGTTCACAACCTTGTTGATCTCCATACGCAGCTTGTCTGTTAGAAAGTTGTCAATCAGTCCCGAAACTATTTAATACGCCGATTAGTCATTTACCTGTAATTTCAGTTTTCTTGGGCTTCATCAGCTGACCCATCATGGAGAGCACGTCTTGGCCACCCTGCGGTCGTGCATTGGCCACATCCAGGTCGTGCAGTGTAACGTCCTGTATGACTTCCTTTTTTTTGTGTACATCGCCCTTCGGCAATGGCACATACTCCTCCGTTTCCAAGTCGAATTCGGTGGCAAATGTGTCGCTGCGTCCCTGACGCTTGACGGCGCCGCTATTGGCTTCGATGTAGATGACATCGCCCACCTCGACCTTCTCCTTTTGCAACGCATCGAAAATACTGGGATCAAGCTTCAATTGCTTGGTGCCTTTGGCGGTCTTCAGGCCAATGACAACGTTGCTAATGGTCTTTCCGTAACCCCCCATTGGATTCTCGGTTTCTACTGGAGTTAGCTCGGTTACTTCGCCCTCGTAGACTTCTTTGGTCTCACGTATACGCAGACCAATGGAGCGACGGAAATTTTCCATGAGTACCTCGGTCTTCTTGATCTCATTACTAAACACCTCGGAGCCTACCATCGGGCAAAATGGCACCTTGTTTCCAAGCTCCTGTGCTATAGCTAAAGCAATGGCTGTTTTGCCAGTGCCGGGTGGGCCGGCTAGAAGCAAAGCGCGGCCAGCCATCTTTTTCGATTTGATCAGATCCACCACGATTCCGGCAGCCTCACGGGCTGCCTTCTGTCCAACTAGTCCAGCGGCGCTTTGTATGGCTGCTCCAGTCTCGTCCAGGCCGAGTCCCTTCACGTGGCTGTGGGCTGCAATGCGCTGGGTACGCACAGTGCTTTTTACCTCCTCGATTTTCATGATTTCTGTTTAAATTCGAGCAGCAATTTTTTCGAAACCGTTACCGAAGCGAATCTAAAAAAGATTGTTTATTGATCAAACAAATGAATAAAACAAAATTTGTTTGTCGCTGCGCGCACGCTTGTTTTTCTGTCACCAGCACAACAACATATGGTTTTGGCATCTAACATTTGCTCAACTGTTAGTAACAGCAGAGTACTAGAATTCTGTGTCAAAAATGCCGGTCGATTGGTATTTGTTTGATTCACTCTTCCTTAATAAAGCAGGCTACAAACGGATTCGGCTTTCGAATAAATATATAGATTTATTAAGGCAATCAAAAAGTATTGGCTGAAAGAAGTTAAATTTAGTATTTATAGATTTATTTTAAGCAAAAACTAAACATTTTGTGTTAACAGTGCCAAACTGAGTAATTAGTCTGTAATATTAATATTGAGCACCTGAAAAACTAAAACGATTTAGTTCAACACAATTTAAAATTCACTTATATATTGTAATAATTGAATTGAATCTTGCGTAATTTTTTTATTTATTAATTTTATATTTGACTATATATTGCATTGAACATTACTTTGGAGTGCCGATTACGGAATAATCTGGGGAAGTATATATATATTTTATATACTTAACTATAATATATATATTTTTAACTTGAAAAAGTTTTCAACCAGTGTGATATTGAATCAACTGTGGAACGTATTTTAGCGATATCGATATTGCGATATTTTTATTATTTGCTATCGATTTAGAATTTGTTGCCACTCGTTGTGAATGACACCAGGTAGAATTTTTAAGATTTTGGCGGGAAATTAACCGGCATAATTGAAAAGCTTATGCAAAAACATTTGAAGCAAAAGAACGTGGAAACTAGTTGGGTTATATATACAGTTTATTACTTGATAAATGGGTTTTCTTATAGGTAGATATTTATACATTGTACAAGGCTATTACAAGTCTGGTAGAATGGGCGGGCACGTGCACACCAAATGTTTGTCGCCGTAGGCATCGTCGATTCTTCCTACAGTGGGCCAAATTTTAGAATCCGGCTTCACGAACAACTGGTGGTGGGAAATAATTCTAAATATATGAAGGCATATATATATATATATATGAAATACTTACCGCCGGGAAGGCAGCCTGTTCACGTGTGTAGGGACGGTTCCATTTGTCCGATATAACTTGGGCCTGTGTGTGGGGGGCCATTTTTAGGGGATTGACTGTTTTATCCATGCGTCCTTCTTCAATGTCCGAAATTTCTTCCCGTATGGATATCATTGCGTCACAGAAGCGATCCAACTCCTCTTTGTCCTCGGACTCTGTTGGCTCGATCATCAGCGTGCCAGCCACTGGCCAGGACATGGTCGGTGCATGGAAACCATAATCCATTAGACGTTTCGCCACATCGACTGCCTCAATATTGGCCGTCTTCTTAAGATCACGTATGTCCAGTATGAATTCATGGGCCACCAGCTGCGAGCTCTCCGCCTTGTACAGTGTTTTGTAGTGTTGCTCCAAACGCTTGGACATGTAGTTCGCATTCAGTATGGCCACTTGGGTAGCTCTCTTCAATCCACGACTGCCCATGAGCTTAATATACGACCATGAGATCGGCAGTATTGCCGAGCTGCCAAAGGGTGCTGCTGAGACGACCCCAAAGCTGTGCTCCTCGCTAGCGAGCGGACTGACAAGTGGATGGCCAGGCAAAAACGGTGCCAGATGGGCTTTGACTCCGATGGGCCCCATACCAGGCCCACCGCCACCATGTGGTATGCAGAAAGTCTTGTGGAGATTCAGATGGGAGACATCGCTGCCATAGTCGCCGGGCCGGCACAGACCCACCTGAGCGTTCATATTGGCACCATCTAGATACACCTGGCCACCGTGCTGGTGCACCAATGTGCAGATCTCCGCTACCGTTTCCTCAAAAACGCCCATGGTCGATGGGTATGTGATCATTAGACAGGACAGCTCCTTGGAATGCTCCGCAACCTTATCACGCAGATGGGCCATATCGATGGAACCATTCGAGAGTATGCGTATGGGCTCCACCTGCAAATTAAAGTTAATGAATGATTGACACGCTTTCATGGAGCTGGGCTACCTTCATGCCAGCCATTTGAGCGGAGGCTGGGTTGGTGCCATGCGCGGAAATGGGAATCAGGCAAATGTTGCGATGGCCCTCGTTGCGGTGTTCATGATAACTTCTGATGGCACGCAAGCCGGCGTATTCGCCTTGGGCACCAGAGTTGGGTTGAAACGAGAATTTATCATAGCCGGTGATCTCACACAGATCCTGCTCCAGTTCTTTGAACAGTTGATGAAAGCCCTGAGCCTGCTCAACCGGCGCAAATGGATGCAGCTCCGTGAAATGTCGGAACGAGCAGGGCATCATCTCGGTGGTAGAGTTGAGCTTCATGGTGCAGGAGCCAAGTGGAATCATAGAGTGCACCAGCGAAATGTCCTTGTTCTCCAGCTTCTTCATGTAGCGCACCATGCGGGACTCGCTAAGGGTGAGGTAATTTGTTAGCTTCTGATAGTTCCTCCAGCGGACTGCTTGATTACCTGTGATAGCTGTTGAAAATGGGATGTTGCAGGTAGGGCGAGGTGCGCAAGAACTTGGAGTTCTCAATGGAGTTCTTCAGCACGTCCTTGCGTGCCAACAACTCCTCCAACGTTAATGGCGCCTTAAAGGACCACAACAAATCGTTCACATCTGCCACACTAACCGTTTCATCCAAAGCCACGCCCACTGTGCCATCTGGCAGATGGCGCAAATTGATGTGTTTGAGTTCAGTGCGTTCCTTGAGTTCCTCCAGCGAGAGATCAGCTGAGAGTCTCACGTGCAGCGTATCAAAGAAATTCTTGTTGACCACCTCATGTCCAGCTTCGAGCAGACCCGTCTGTAGTGTCAGCGCAAAGTGATGAATGCGATTGGCAATGGCCTTGAGACCCTCCGGGCCATGGTAAATGGCATACATGGCAGACATGTTGGCCAACAATGCCTGGGCAGTGCAAATGTTGCTGGTGGCCTTGTCGCGTCGTATGTGTTGCTCGCGCGTCTGCAGGGCCAAGCGATAGGCATCGTTGCCATCCATGTCGCGCGTTACCCCAATCATGCGACCCGGCATCAGGCGCACCAGACTCTGCTTGCAGGCAAAGAATCCGGCATGTGGGCCGCCGTAGCCGAGCGGCACTCCCATACGCTGCGAGGTGCCGATGGCAATATCCGCGCCGAACTCGGCGGGCGGACGCAGCAGCGTGAGGGCCAGCAGATCGGTGGCCACCACCACCAGGGTCTAAGTGAGTGAGAGAATGAGATAGCTAAGACAAAAGTATTTGAGAAATTGCATTTTTGATAGATCTTACGCCATTTTTGCGTGCAAGAGCCGCGATGTCCTCAAAGTCCTTGACGTCGCCGTACGTATTGGGATACTGCAACAAGATGCCGGACAGCTCACGGCTGCGCAGATCTGCACGCTCGATGGGACCCACAACAATGTCAAGCTCCAGGGCATCGGCACGCGTCTGCACCACCGCCAGAGTCTGGGGATGGACCTTGTTGGACAGGTAGAGCTTCCTTCGCTTGTTGTGCCTGTTGGCCAAGCACATGGCTTCTGCAGCAGCTGTGCCCTCGTCGAGCAACGAGGCGTTCGCCACGTCCAGGCCCGTGAGCTCGGTAACAAGCGTCTGATAGTTGAGCAACGATTCGAGTCGACCTTGAGCGATCTCCGGCTGATAGGGCGTGTACTGTGTGGTCCAGCCGGGATTCTCGAAAATGTTACGCACTATCGTGTGGGGCACATGGCAGTTGTGGTAGCCCATGCCGATGTACGAGCGCCACAGCTGATTCTTGAGCGAGATGTCCCGAATGCGTTGTATTAGCTCGTGCTCGTCTGTAATGCGATCAAGATTATAAATTCTATATTCGTTGAGTCAAACGCCAGTCAACGACAGCCGAGATACGAGCTAGCTGGCGGACCTATTGAACCGCGCTTATCTCTTATCACTGCCGAAACACGCCAGGGGGTCGGCATAGTTGACTATTTTTAAAAACATTTCCACTACTTACTCAAAGGCTTGTCCAGGCTGAGATCCCGCTTCAACTGTATGCTCTGTGGCACCGCCTTCTCGGTGAGCTCTGCCAAGGACTGCATAAGAGAGGCCCATTAGATACCCTGCTCGAGCAGCCTATATGCCAGCTTACCTTAAAGCCCAGCGTGTCCAGCATGGCAACCACATCCGTCTTGCGTGGTCCTATGTGGCGACTGGGAAAATCAGATTTGGTAGGGAAGAGCACATCGCCCACGGGTTTTGTGGCCAGACAGCGATTGTGTAGCCTCAGCATTAAGCTGCAGCTGCGTTTCGACACAATCCGTTGCATTCTGATCAGTCTATATAGTACTCAAAGGTTTGGTAAGGTTCTCTCTGCCTTGCCACGTCCAGTCCAAGCGTCTGCCAAACAGCGACTGATTCGACTGGCTGCCCACTCAAGCTGATAGAGCGCATCTTCAGTCTTATCAATTGAGCCGAGCTGAGCTGAGCTGAGTGGTGCTGCTCGTATACTTTACGCATGCCTTGCCCAATAGAAACAAAACTCAATGGGTATTTGCATTAAATGCACTTTAACATATTTATTGGTTGCTTTTGCTCTAGTGAAATCAAAACGTTTTGTAACAAAAATATTTCGTTTTGTATATTCAATATTTTGACAAATTTTTAACATTAACAAAATGAATATTATAAAAAGTTTCAACAACACTGAATAAGCACGTACAAAACCAAAAGATAACATTATTAATATAAACATTTTGTTGTTCCATGAATTGAACTGAAGCCTGTCAAATTTCTTGCCTACTTAAGTATATGTATGTGTCTTGCTCGATTTTTTAACAATTGCATTTAACATATAATATTTTTGAGAACATTCAGCATATATATCTGGCCGATTGAAGTCGGGCTTTCATAAAATTTTTCTAATCGTTTTGATTAACTTTTTGTTTCTCAGCTTGATGTTGTAATAACTCTTGAAGCCATTTTTTTTCTTGTCCGTATTTGAGCTCGATTTTGGAAAATTCAAATTCTCGAACTGCAATTAGTATGCATTAATATATATATATATATAAACATATATATATTTATGTATATATGTGTATACATATATTGCAATATTATTAAACATTTGTATATACCGTTTATATATATATTTCAACTATTTTCAACACCTTTTGTCTGTCGTTCCACGCAGAACAGCTCAACTAACCCATTTCATAATTATCTGTTTTTCTTTAGTTTCATAATACGAAATCGAAATTGAAATTGAAATTGAAATTGAAATTTTTTTAAAGATATACATTATAATTGAGTTGATGCAGTGCTCGATAGAGAATTCTTTTTAAAAGTTTTTTTTAGTTATATTTATATGTATATAGTAAGGTATATATATATATATATATATTTATATATATGTATATAAAATGGGAATTTATTTGCTATTTCTATGATCAGTTACGTTGATTGGTGCCATGAATGCAGTTGAGGTAATTAGCTATTAGCAAGAAGCCAAAATGTATTTTCATTTTTCCTTTTTTTGGTGCAAAGAGTTCTTCTTAAGATTCTGTTTGGTATATTTAATATAGATTATATTTGTAGATAAACGTGTAAGGTTTCCTATTTATGTTTATATCTCATATGTGTGTGCAGTGAGGGTTTTCCTTTTCCTTGTTTATATAATTGCAACGAGTAATTTGTTAGCTTAAAGTAGTTAAAGTTTGAGCAAGTGCTGAGAATGTTTCGTGGTTCAGAAATGACTGCCTAGGGAATCATAGAATCTATGGCTTGTCGGGCTCGCTCTTTGCCAGAGACGAGCTGAACCCACTCTTGAATTGATACTGACCCGGCGAGGTGCCAGGCAAGCTTATCATAGGTTCGCGCAATGTGAATGACATCATGGGATTGTAGACGCCAGTGGAATATGAGCTCAGACTGGACGTGCCAGAGGTGCTCACTGGATCACTCAGGCGACTGCTAAATGAGCTAGTGAAATTGTATGGCACGAATGCAGATGCTGTGGAAGCCTGAGTGCTTGCTGCTACTGAGCTCGAACCGAGCACGCTTGCATATGGAATGGCTGTGCCTGTACTTGTGGTAGTGGCAGTGGGAATGCTCTCAGAGCTGTTACGCACTCGCAGATCTGATGCACTGCCAACTGGAGTGGAGCTGGAAAGCTTATCGCTCGAAGCTGTGTGTGGGGTGAGATATGAGTAGTTGCCGCTGCTGCCCGCGTAGCTGCGGGACATGGGTGAATAGCTGCTCGAGCTTGTGGTGGCCACATCCAGCATGGGCTCGTGGCTGTATTTGTGGGCAGTCAGACTGCTGGGTAGATCGCTATAGCTTTTGGTCGCTGCAGATGGCGAGAGAACGGGCGAACGGCTGGGCGGACGCGGCAGCGTTTGCTTCTCAATCTGCTTCTCGGTGAGAAAGCGATCGTAGAAGGTCGAGGTGACGGTGGTGTGGCGGATCTCCAGCTTGGCTGGCTGATAGACGGGCGTGTTGGAACGTGTGGGCCTGTTCGGGTCATAGGGCTGTCGATAGGGCGATATGGGCCTAGGGAAACTGTTGTCGACGCTTGGATTCACTGTTGTTGTGTTGTAACGTGTGCCTGTGGTTCGGGACTCGTACGGCGAGCTCAACGGGGACTTGCAGGCTGAGCGTCTGTCATCCGCGTACTTGGCGCACGTTTCTTCTAGTTGTCTATCTACTTTGTGAAACTTAGTTAAACTACTGGAGCTACTTAGTTCGCTACGATTATCAACTAAATAATTTGGCAACATATTATCACGTCTTACCCTACTATTCTCACGCTCCTCTAGCTCTTCCGCCTCTCGACGGCGGCGCGGCGACACCTCCCTGCTAACATCCCTGTGCGATCGATGATGTGGCGGACTGGCAGCACGCAGCGGGCTGCCCGTGCGTAACGACTCCACGGAGCCCAGCGAGCGATGTTCGGAGCTAATTCGTATTGTTGGTGTGGAGTCGCTGCAGCGCTGCGTGCCACGTCCTCGACTTTCGCTTCGACTGTGCGTCAAGTCCTCGGCCGAGCTCTTCTTGCTGGCAAAGTGCATTGAGTCTGAGAACAGGGAATCGATATACCGCTGGCATTTCTCCTTCTGATAAGACTTCTCCTCGCACAAGCTGTCGATGGACTTGATGCTGTTCTTAATTGAGCTCAGGCGATCATTAATGTTGTCTCCAGTGCGCAGCGGCACGCCAGTGTGTGTTCCCGTGCGAGTGATGGGCGATGTTTCCTTGGGTAAACGATAAAGTAAGATAAGTTCTTTGAGCTTTACAAAACCATGAAGCACTTACCCTCATTAGGCGACTGCCTAGAGCGTCGACACCCTCAGAAGCTGTTGCTGCGGCCGCTGCGCTGTTGCTATAGCTGCGACTAGATGTAGTTGATGCTGACGGCTGATCTGCAAGAGTCTTCTTAAGAATACGTTGAAGAATTTTAGAATTCTCCTCCATAAAGCTTAAAACATCAGTTGTGCCCACCATTCGTTCGCTGGCTGGGCCCTGACCGTGGCTCTGCCGTGACTTGGGTCGCCACGAGTCCTCGTAAAAGTCCTCGTCCTCATCGCGGAATCGTATGACCTTGGGGCTGGTGGGGCGATATGGAGTCGTCTCCTCACGGCGATAGTCGCGATACTCCTCATTAATCTCCTCACGCCGCATTGCTGACTTCGGCGTTGTGGGGGCTTGTCGTCGGGGACTTTGCTCGCGCGACTTTGCCAGCTTGAATTCCTCATAGGACAGCGATGGAGAGACTACGTCCTTGAGTTTTTGATTGAATTCCTTGTAGTCTTTTTGGGTCTTGAAATCAAAGCGCTGCTCCTTTTCCAACGCCAGTATACGCTTATCTAGCTCTTCGGCAGTGGGTGGCTCGGGCTTGCTGGGCGAGTAGACCAAGCGTTCCAGGCTGTGTACCGGGGTCTTGGGCAGCTGATCATCTAACATTTTCTTTCGTTTAATATCCTCGATGGTGGGTGAACGCGAACGTGACTTGTGTCGCACAGGGGACTTCAATTTTTCATCCAGCAGTCGTATGCGATGCTCCAGCTCACCCGTAGTCGGTATTTCACTGTCGTCAGGACTTGGATCGAGCAGCATTTCAAGCGGATGGATAGGTGGCTTTTTATTGGGGTCATTCTTACGCTTAGAGAGATTGTCTTTGGACTTGGAACGCACCAAATCAAGTACGCGATATTTGTATTCTAAGTCGTCAGAGATGGGCAAATCGTCTTTGTGCGGCTGACGGCGAGCCGGCGAAGTGTAGGGACTTTTCTTGCTGCCAGCGCGCGCTGGTGATGTTTGCTGCGTCTTCTTGCATTGGCGAGTGGGTGACGTATAAGGTGACTTCGTGGTGCTCCTGTCTTTACGTGAAGGCGAAACATATGGCGACTTGCTACCTAGCTTGGAAACCGGTGAAGTATATGGTGACCTCGAAGTCTGTTTGCGTGATGGACTGCGGGACCGATCGCGGACTGGAGAAGTGTCTTCTGCCACAGGCACATCGTCATCATCATCTAAGCCTTTGCCTTCGCACAGTTCTATGTACTTGTTAAGGTCTTTCTCGTGGGACAACGAGTACTGCAGCTTGATCTTGCGCTCGATTTCACATAGTCTCTGCTCTACGTCAATTTTCTCAACATCTTCGAGTAGTTTAATTTGACGCTCCAGGGAGCGAAAACGAGCCTCTAGCTCTTTGGTGGATGGCAGATAGACAGTTTTGCGTTTCAGGTGATGCTTAACTGGATTAGGTCCCCAATCATAGTTGGGATCTTCTTCAACAGGTTTTTCTTTTTCTGCTTTCTGCTCTGTCTCTTCCAGTTCTGGCTTTCCACTCGTGAAGTCTTCAATTTCTTTGGTCAGGTCAGATATGGCTTGTGCCTGCTCGACTTGTTCAGCAGATGGTTTGCTGTCTGCTCGAACCAATTTTCCATCTTTAGACTTAATGAGATTGCGATCGTTCAGTTGTTTCTCAAGTGCTTGGAATAGACCCTCAAGCTCTTCAGTATTGGCTCTGGTCAGACGACGAACCTTCAATGCTTTTGGCTCGTTATCCATTAGAAGTACCACAGTCTTGTTATTAGCATCGACGGGACCAATATCACTTGGATTGATAACTATATTTGCTGCGGTATCTTTGGTAGATCCCTCTCCTGGAGTTGAGTTCTGCTCAATGGCATCTGGTTTCTCACCATCTGGTTTCAAAGGTTCAGCTTTAGGAGGCGTGTCAGGAATTTTCGTCTGCTCGGTCGATGGAGAAGATTCCTTTTCGAGTTTGTTTTCATTTTCTTCCTTGGGAGCTTTGGCATCAGCATTTTGTTCTTCATTCGTGGCATCTGCCAACTCTGATTGTTTATTACTAATTTGAGCTTTTTCTTCGTTTTGCAAGGTTTTGGTCTCCTTTACCGTCTCTGGCTCAGTACTACCCATCGATGGCACAGGAGCGTCCTCCAACTTTTCGGCCTCGTCACACTTGACGCTTCGGTTGTGGCTATCTTTTTCCTGCTTTTTACATGTCTCGTTTTCCTCGGCTTGTTCGGTCGACGGCAGCTGAACATCTTCGGTGTTTACCTCGGAGTCAGGGATTAGTGCTCCATTTCTAGCACGCGCTTCGCTTAGCTGTTGTTCCAGTTGTTCCAATCGTCGCCTCAAATCATCTGTGTTGGACTCTGCTGGCGGCTTTTTCTGTTCGTTTTCTTTGTTGAGCAGCATTTTGATATTGATGCTTATGTTAATCGGCTTATCCGACTCCTCGACGTCAGTGATGTTCTGTGTATATCGCACCAGCTCCTTGCCGAATTCCATGTCACTGCTTAGTCGCTGTGGAGAGCAGAGATCGTCAGCATTGTGAACCACTTTTTCCTGCTGCTTTTCCTTTTCACGGATAGCTTCGAGTAGTTTGAGACTGTTTTCGCTCAGCTGCTTCTCTAGGGCAAGAACACGCTGTTCTAGCTGAGCTTCCGCTTGGTGCGAGGTGCTCGGCTTGTCATCATAGCTAAGCATCCTCGATGCAACTTCGGAATCACTTGCACAGCGCTGCTTGTAGAATTTCTTGTACAATTTCTTTTCCAGGAATTGTAAACGATTTTCCAGATCGGCTCGTGATGGCAAATCGGAGAAACGACGAACCATTCGCTGCGATTGCCAGGGTTCGTAATTTCCCGATCTGTAGTAAGCGGTGTTTGCAGGTGCTTCCGATGTCTCATCGCCCATTGTTGTGGGTCGCTGTTGCAGCTGTCGTTGTTCTTGTTGACGCCTTCGCTGAGGATTTATTTCGCTTGGCTTTAAATTCTCCTCTCCGGGTGACTGCGCCTTTATTTTGCTCTGCAGTTCTTCAATGAGAGCGCGTTGCTGATGCTGCCCAGGATTGATGATGATTCTGTGCTCAGGTGGTGGTGGCGGTGGAGGTTCAGGAATGTGCGCTTCGATGGCTACGTCGACACGGCGAGGAGGTGACTTAAGCGTAGGCTTCGATTTAGTTTCAGTTTCCTTTTTATCCTGTGCATGTAACGCCTCGTATCGACTCTCCAAGTCCTCGGTTGTGGGTGGTTGCTTTTTGATTGGTTTTGCATCTTCGTCTGAGTCGCCTAATTCGGCCATTACTTCCTGCTCAATGCGCTCCAGTGCCTCGTTCACTGTTTCGTTTTGTGTGGTTAAATGATTCTTACTGCTCATGCGACGCTTCAGCCTTTCATAGCGCTTATCCAGATCTTCCATAGACGGAGGCTCGGAGGCTCGTCTTTTAATATGCTCCGTAGGCTGTGCTTTCTCTGTCTGCTTAGCTTTAGGATCTGACTTCAGTTCTGATTTGACAGTGTTTTGAGTAGCTGCATTAGTTTCACTTGCTAAACGCTGTTGTTCAGTTTCCAAGAGCTTGTTAGCTGCTGAGCATGTGGCCTCAAAAGCCTTCCGTTTCTCCAGAGTGGCTTCCGATACTTCGTTTGGCTTCTCATCCATAGTCAACGATGCACTTATTGCTTTAACTTTCTCATCAAAGGCCTTTATCGACTTTTGAGTCTCATTCTCTTTAGTTTCTTTGACATTCTCTGCTTGCTTCAGCTGTGTTTCTTCTTGTGGCGCTGCTTCATTTATATTTGAAGCTCTGTCGCTTTCAACTTCTTCATTTGAATCTCCTTTGGAGGTACTGAGCTGCTTTTCCAAGGCATTGAAACGTTTCTCCAACTCTTCTGTGGATGGCGGAGACTTCCGCTTAATCACCTCAACTTTCATGTCCTCGGTATTCAATGATTCTTTACTCTTCTCAAGTTCTTTCTCTTCGCTTTGGACTTTTTCGTTACTTGAAGTTTCAGCTTTGCCGTCCAACTGCTCAACTTTCTTATCCGAGGCTTCTGGATTTCTGTGTTCAGCCTGTTTGGGAGCATCTGCCTTGGATGTCTCTTTTTGTGTTTGCTTAGCTCCTTCAGCTGGCTCCTTGCTTTGGGGCTTATTTACTACCTTTGCTGTTGTCTCTGCCACTTTTTTAGGTGAAGATTTATTATTTGACATGCCTTCATCAGGCGGTTCTTTCTTTGCTTTGGTAGGACTGCTTTTCTGTACGCTTATCCTTCGCTCTAGGGCATTAAAACGATCTTCCAATTCGGCTGTTGAAGGCAATTTTTTAAGACGCGGTGTCTCCGACTTCTGTTTGCTTTCTGTTCCCTTTGTGTCAGTTGTGTCGCTGTCGCTGGCAGGTTTAGTTGTCTCTGTCTGAGAGTCATCCAATTTATGTAGTTTGCTGGTTTTCTCGCTATCATTTCCCTCCTTGGAATTGCTGCTCGCGGGCTGCTCTTGATTACTGAGCTCCACGGGAGCTTTTGAATTTGATTCAGCGGAACTCATTTGTTTGGTCAAGGCATTAAAACGTATTTCAAGGTCAGCTGTGGAAGGAATGCGTTCTGGTTTCTCAAAGCATTCGGCTTCAGGATCTACATTTTGTACACATTGTTTATCAGCACTGAGCTGCTTTTCCAGTGTATTGTAACGTTCCTCCAGTGCCGCAGTGCTCGGTATGTACTTGGCGCCCTCTGCTTTATCGCTTGCCGATTGTCGATTGGGTTTCTCCTGACTGAGCCGTCGCTCCAGCGCCTGAAATCGTTCTTCGATCTCAATCGTCGAGGATCTAGTCAGAGTCTTGCGTCTGGGATCGCGACGTTTACGGCTGGAACTACTGATGCTCATAGGTAACGTGTCCGTCTTGGTTTCTATCGTCATGCTCAACACTTCTTTGTAGTCGTCCTTGTTTTCGCCTGGAATGTTGTCATCGCGTACTGGGGGGTTATCCGTTTTTAGTTCTACCGTAGCTTTAGATTGAAGCTCGAAGGGCATGCTCTTTGTGACACATTCAGCACTGTGGCCTTCGACCAACGCACGCTGCTCTTCCTTGGGCGAGGACATTTCCGAATCCTCATCGTTTAAGGAGAATGAGAGTTCCAGTCGCTTCGGACGCTCTACACTATTGACTCGCTCAAAATACTGATTGGTTACGCCATCATCACTCACATCGTAACTCTTTGGAGCACTCTCTTTTTCCACCTCTACGCTCTGTACCGAATCAGCAATATCCACGGGATTAACTGACTCGGTGTCAGACATTACATACACTGGCCTAGGTGTAGGCAGTGCACTAATGCTGGCTGTGCTTAGGTAGCTGACATCAGGTAGTGGGGACAGTTGCGCAATGCTGGTAATTGGTAGGGTTTCTCCTGTTAGGGGCTCTATTTTGCTAGTTGCCAGATCACCTGCTGCCTTCGACCAATCCAAGTTGCGCGAATAGTCAAAGCGATCACATTCCGTGGCGCTGTCTTCCTCCTCTTTTGACACCGGCTCCTTTTCGTCGCCGCTGTCTGTTCCCATTAGCATAAAGGGTATTTCATGGCTACTAGGCGCCCATGACTTGGGTCTCCTGCGCTCGAGGCTGGGATCTCGAGACACAGCTAATTGGGGCTTCTCTTTAAGTTTCCGCGCCAGCTTCGCCTTGCGCTTGGGGCTCTGCTCAATAGATTTGGGGTCGTCGTCGTCACACAGGCTGGTATCAGTGCTGGAGCCATCTTTGGCTTGAGCCTCCTGTTCACCATCGCTCTCCTCACTGTACGAGGAGCTGTCACTTTTGCCTAAGCGCGAACGCAGCTTCTGTGACTTGACCGCGTTGGCTTCGCCTCCATCCCGAAACAAGGCAGCGCGATCGGCTTTGATCTCCTTCCACGTAAGGCTATCACGTCGATGCCGTGTGGCATCCGTGTCACGCCAGAGCAGCGTCTCCCCACGCCGCAGTTGTCTCTCTCCTGCCACAGGGGGCTTGCTATGCAGCACTGCTGGAAGCGAGGGCTTGCGTGCGGGCGGAATGGCGCCCAAAGGGGCTCCCACACGCTTGCCCTTGTTTGTGATTATAGCTGAGCGGCCAAGGAGCAATTGATTAACTGGAAACTGACTGGAAGGCGTTTGACGCGTTGCAGTTGCTGTGGAGCAGGCGGAGGTAAGTATGACATGGGCCTGCCTCTGGCGCTCGCGCAAACGATCATACTGCTTCTTGAGCAACGATATGTCTAGTGCCAGGCGATCTTTCTGTTCTGCATGCGGCTTGACTGCTCCACTAGCTCCGGTGCCCACCGAGCCGCGTCTGCCCCAGTTCAAGCCCCACACAGTGGCCACTGCCAGGCGCGACTCGTCGTCGGATTGCGTGTCTTCCTCGTCGTAGTAAAGTCTGCAAAACAATGGAACTTGGACTGTTTGCTAGGCATATGTAATCTTGAGCTTACTGCAATCCTTGCTTGCTGCCCAGCGGGGCAATGTTGTAGAGATGTTTGTCCCTCAGCTGCTTGATATCGGCTATAGGTCCAAGCTGCACCACTTTCTCTATGAGGCCATTCGAATCAATGAGATGTCCATTCAGCAGCTCATTGGAGAAGGAACCCATTTTGCCATAGAAGTCATCAGCAGTGCGTGCATTTAGGACACGTCTGAGCAATAGCAGCAGAAATAAATGGAATTAATTAACAGGAAATCTTTGTATGGATAAACATATTAAGAAGAATCTGTGGAATATGTTTTATAACAATTTATCTTTATATCAAATAAGGATTTGCTAATGTTGACTCAAGGTATAAAACTGATCAACATATTTTCGTTATGTACAAATACAAGTTTGATACATCTCCGACTGCATCTCAATAGTTTGGACTCTATGTAAATATAGTTTAAGCCTAAGTCTTTTTAAAAGATATTTTCTTGCGGAAAAATGGGATGGAATGCTGTCTATGTCCACGACCTAGAAACATTTAACTAGATTAAAAAATCGATTTTTCTGTCTAATTTGCGAGTTGTGTTGATTTTTGGTAATTCAGACTTTGGAATTATTGAATAATATATATTTCAAGTGGATTCTAATTTATCTTTAATTATTCGAGGTAGTCCATTTGCAATTCCAATAATTAAGATACGAGTAAATATGGATGCAAAAACATAGAGAGGCACATTGTAGACATTTACTTCAGCAATGAGTATACAACAAAACAAACAAATAGGAGTGCTCTAGTCAAGACTGCTACACCAAAAGATACCCTAAACCTGCGAGTGTTGATTTTCCAATCATTCTATGATTCATTTACGTATACAATGCAAACAAATGCACAGGCTGTGCTTGGGATGCAGACTGCAGCATGGTATTTACTATGGGAACTTAATTTCGAATAACTTTTGTTCTATATGCGTTTTCATAATAAGCTTTCAGGGCAGAATTATGACATCTTGATGCTTGTACTGGCTAAAGCGCAGTAAATCTGAAGTCTGCAACATTTACAACATTGAAGCATAGCTTGAATGGCTTGAAAGGAAGTCAAATAATCGATTTTTATTGACAATAAGGAAATGGTTGATGAGTTATAAAAAAAAGATAAGCTTACTGCGTGTGGTATGAAAGTGTTTGCATTTAAAATTTCACGTCTTTAGCTTAAGGGACGGACAGACGTATATGACTAGATCGACTCGATTGAATTTTTGGAGTCTGCCCTGCCTCCTTCTGTCTGTTACATATATTCCCACAAAACTATTGAATCCTATTTCCTATTTTCTATTTGTTCAGGTATGAAAACAAATGCCGTATAAAATAGGGGGGCCCGATATTGACTAAGACACAAATAAATATATAGGCCTTTTATATACAAATATGTGCATAATTTCTTGACTCTTTTCCATAGCAATAAACAAATGTGTGGATATGGCTATGTATAGTATATCTAAATAAGTCGCTCGTTCACACAAAAATTTACTGTCTCTAATCATAGACAACATTTTCACTGTTGCCTGAACTTTATTTAGTTTTTTTGTGGTTTGATATTTAAGCCGAAAATTATGGCACACACAACTCGCTTCGACAAACAGGAAAATTGCATTTGGGCCAGCTGAAAACTTTTGGCAAATGACAGTAACCTTGCATCTGGCATAAGCCTTGACATAGTTTTTGGCCCTTAGGCCAATAGAAAACAGACGCCGACGCCGACGCCGACGCTGACGTCAAAATGTCTAAACACAAGTTCTGAGCTGTTGCTCGCCACACTGAAACCACTACTCACTCTTCGAGCAGACTCCAGAGGACGAGGGCGGTGCGTAGCAGCACATCGCTTCCCTCGATGAGCACCAGATCCCAGACACGCAGCACACAGGACATGGGCAGGCAGGTGCAGAACATGGTGAGGAACCACTGCATGGTAAAGACGTTGGTGAGTGGTGGTTCATAGGCATTCTCCATGGGTCCCTGCAGGCGCTGTAGATGCTTGGCCAAGCGCGGCAGCTTTGTTTGCATAAGTTCTCGAAAGACGCCCATGTCCGCTTGTAGGCCGCCCATTGAGCCATAGAAGTAGCCCGTGGGCAGTACGCCCTCTACCAAATATATCATGACCTTCATGGATTCCTCCTCTTCCTTGTCCATCACCTGCAGTATTAACGCGCCCAGCATGTTAAAGCCCTGAGGTGACATGAAGGCTGTTGTCTATAATTGAAAAACAACAAAAAAAGTCCGTGGCACTCACCTGGCAATAGCCTACTTCAGGGTTGTAGCGCGCATACCCGAGCAGGATGCGTTTGAGCTTCGCCTGGTTGATGGAACCTGCGGGGCCGGTGCATAAATTGGAGCCCGTGCGGTGCAGATCCTAATGAGGCAAACAATTTGTTAAATTCCAGCTGGTCAGATAGAAGCTATTTGCTTTTTACCTTAACGATCTGAATGCCCAGCTCCTCATCATCCTCGCGCCACTCCTCGCAAAAGCACTTCTCGCGCTGCTGGGTCCAATCAACATTTTTCGACTTCAGGTACTTATCCGCCAAGGATAACCACAGCTGCGGGGTCAAAGATGATTGTAAATATTATAGCTAAAAGACCAATAGAACCCTCATTTACCTTGCGCCGGAACTCTGGCGGCGTACCGCCTGGCAAGCGCGCCACCAGCTTCATAGCATGCAGCCATTGATTGTAGTCCGAGAGAGCTTCATCCGCGCCAGCATCTGTGCTGGCGTTGGTCGGCGCCGTGCTTTGCATGTTGTTGTTGCGGTTGCGGCTGAGAGCTTTGCGATGACCGCTGCTATTGTTGTTGTTGCTGCTGCTGCTGCTGCCAGTGGCGGTGCTAGTGGCGCTTGTGGTGCTAGTGGGTGGGGTTAGGCTGACTTTTGGTGGCGGTGGTGAGAGACTAAAGCGCATTTTAGGCTGTGCATCGTCTGCAAAAGTTGTCAATTTCAAATGTTCAGTAGATGCATGCAAATTACAAGAATCATAGCGTTATGTAAACAGTTAATAGTTAATAACTAGTTGTCTTTGGCTACTTCCGTGTGAGTTGACTTACAATATCCGTGCAGTATGCAAACTTTACCCAAGTATATATTTTTAAGATAGTTAATAAGATTTTTTGGACGGAATATAAATACGGTTTGTTTTCGATTATTAAAGAGCACGCGCGAAAGAGAAGAAGAAGAAAAACAAAAGATAAGTATATTCATAATGTATATATTATATATTAGACACTTGTTCAGCTTTAACATTTAAGCCCTGAGGCAATGAGAACGAAATGTCAACAATGAGCGAAAACTTGAATGCAAGCTGAAAGCAATTGATAAAAGGACTTGCCACATTCAACGAACAACATGCGATGGCAAATGCAATTTGTAGTCAAGCTGCATGTGCCACAATGAGATAAAATATGCTACAATGAATACGCCAAACAGCACAAGCCACTTTCTAACGGGAGACGTGTGTGTGTGTGTGGGACTGTGTGTGTGGCTGCTGCCTCTGCTACATCTTCTTGATGTGGAGCTGACCATGATATTTTTACTCGTATATGTATGTTCATATGTGTGCGGGTGGATTAATGTGATACACACATATCTATGTGGGTGTGTGGGTGTGTGTGTATTGATGAGTGTGTGCACTGACTGCTGACAGTTTAACATGTCGCATGTGCTGGCAAGTACTTAGGTTATTCGCTCTCGGCCCTGCCTGGTCATTTGAGACGCTGACATTCTGCTATGAAAACTAGATTCACTTGAGCTGGTTTTATCTGCGCTTCGAAGCGCATAAATCTTCACTTTGTTAATATAGCTGTTGCTGTTGCCGTTGCTTGTGTTTCTGTTCCACAAAAAAAAAACGTACATACACACACATTCTTGCAATCTGAGCAGGCGTCAAGTGCCAAAATATGAAGAGGGATTGGGGCAATCTGGGTTTGATATAGCTTCTGCTGTTTTTGCTTTTTCCGCTATTGAAGCTGCAAAATCTCTTTGCTGGCTTTATTCAATTTCGATATTTCTTTTACGTTGATGAGAAATTTGTTTTTAATGTTATTTCTGAAGTTTTTTTATGGCAATGGAACTTTACTAATTGCTAAATAAACTTTGCAATATATATTTAGAACATCCTAACTGTCTGTGTTTTTTGTTTGGCTTTGGTTATACTTGCAACAGGATCTCAGCTATGCTGTTTACTGTTTGTTCCTTCTTTACATACATGCGCTAAAATATATGTAGGCACAAATCTACTATATATATATTATATATTATATATATTATATATTATATATATATCATATTCTATGGCTCTCTCCAATAAATTTAGATTTTGGGAATGTAAGTTATAAATGACAATAAATAAGATGAAATTATGTGATTCATCTTATAAACGAAAAGAAAAACGTTTGGCTGGATCAATAGATAGATTATTCCTTCACATAAGTCCTAAAAATCTTTTACTTATTTAAATTAATTTAGACCATAAGCAAAAGACTTAAAATAAATAGATAATTCTGTACTTATTTCAGAAAAGTCATTATACAAAACGACGTGACTTAGGATTCAATTAGCAATTTAATTTTCATGCGTTAAGAATTGGCTTTCATAATTTAAAACTCATCGAATGGCCTGAGATGGGTATTTGAAATATTAATTAATTTCTTAAGGCAGCTAATTGGATATTAAAATTAAAAAAGTGAGAGGAAAAATGTGGTCTCAGTCATGATAAATAATTGAATGAGCTCCAGCACGTTTAAGAGAATTCTGAAAAGTTAATTGAAAATCTAAGAGTGGCCAACAACATGTTGAACCACCTTGCTCAGAATAAGGCTGTCAAGAAGTGAAGTCTCCTTTGGCCACATTTTTATGTACTCAGTACATATATGAACGCATATACATAAAATGAATTACATAAGCTGCTTACAGATATTTGCCCTCCCGAGTCCAAGCAATGAAAAGAGTTCCAATTTCGTCTGTTTGCATAAATGAGTGCAAAACTAATGAAAACAACGAAATAAATACATTGTTGTTTACAAGAAGTCTCTGAAGTGTGATTCATGGGAGCGGGCCGAGCGTTATTTGTTGGCCTTTAATGATAAGCAAACAACTGGCAAATGACTAATGAATTACTAATTGCGCAAACACTTATGTAATGGGCCTCACACAAATTAAGTGCGGCCCATAAAACATTTTTATGCCCCGGCTCTCTATAGCCCAGCACACGCGCTTAGCAACTCTGCATAGAGGATTCTCGCATATGCTCGCTGGTAAGTATGATTTATATAACAATGGCTAAAAAATAGCTGCGCGTAATTATTTTAAATGCACTACAAAGCGAAAGGAGGCAAAAAGGATGTGTGTCTGTGTGTGTGTGTCAAGGCTGTGCCAGGCAGTTTGAACTAGCGCTTGAATAGGCCTTGACCAAAAGCTGAACTTTAAGCAGCATCACGTGCGTATATATATATATATATACATGAGTGTGTGTGTGTTTATATTTGGCAAGTGAAGTGAAAAAAAAGCAAGCCAAGAGTTTTGGTCTAATGAGCCAAGCGCACATTTGGCTTATGCACTTGGATATATAAAAAGAAACTCGGTCGCAGCCAGCTCTCGTCGCAATCGCAGCACTGACAGTGCCAGTGCCAGTTGCTGTGGGGCACACACAAGCAGTTATCCTTGGGGAATGCCGCGATGCTTGGGCAGCGTCAGTTAGTCTGCAGCAATGGCACTTAACTATGTAATTCCCACTTCTCCTGCTTCCCCCAGTAGAGTCTGTGATTGTCTTCCTTTTTCGTCAATGCGCCAGCACGTCCTATGCAATTGCCGTCAATTAAGGCAGCTTCAATCAGTTGCCTGGCCAGTCAGGCAGACAGAGAGACAGACAGAAAGGGAATGGGAATGGGCCAAGCGTAGATGTTATATAATAAATGAAACGCTATTTGGTTCATTAACCCATTGAAGCTCAGTGCTTATATCGTTGCCAGTGCGATTTGACTCGCAGAGACAAAAGCTTGAAATGTCGATGAAACCCGCAGCTCCTCACTAACACACACTTACACACATGTGTGTGTGTATATGCATGAGGCACGTTGCAGCATTCAAGTGGTTGCCATTGTTGTCCTGGTTTTGAGTGTTTGTGCAACCGACTCCATTTCGTAATAGCACCCCAGCGTGCGTTGGCTTTTTAGTTTTCCGCTGATATTTGAAAAGCTCTCTATCACGTGCACTCCCCTCTTATCTATTGCACTGCGCGTCTGTTGCATAACTCTGATTATATGAAACACAATTTCGTAGAGCATTTATCATTTGATGGTTCATTTGATTGGCTGTTTGGTAACACTTAACCTTCCAGGCCTTTCGATCAAGTTGCTGCCTGTCAATTTCAATAAGCTTCACAATTATCTGAACCGTTTGTTCGACAAGTTTTCCTTGCTTTGACCCTCGGTCTTTTGGACTTACACAACCAGGTTCTGTTTGCGCGTTTTGCATATAAAAATGCGAGAAATTGCACAAAAATCATTCCGTTTTCTCACTTTTATTTTTATTGCTGGTGTTTTGTGTGCAAGGCACGAAGCAATCTGGGAAAAAGGACGAAGCAACTAAGGCAGATCCACAAGGTAATAACGCGTACATTGTGATAAAGGCTGTATCTGGCAGGTTGAGCTTTTTATAGATTTCATTTTGATTAGATTTAAAAAATTGATGGGCAAAGCCTTCTCCCTCTCCACTCCTGCACTTGACAGGCAACTGGTAGATGCACAAGGACGAACAATGTTGTTTAAAATAACAACAGACAGCCGCAATTTACATAAGAAGAATTGAGCATCTTCTAAGATTAAAAGATTAACCACAACATATGGACTTTGAAAGTCAATTCTAACAAAAGCTTTATTTACAACTGATGCATATAGCAGACATATAGACTGAATGAGATGAGCTGCAATAGAGGACAAAGAGAGAGAACAAAGCTGCCTAAAATAAGGCGTTGAATTGCTCTACAAGCTGTATGTATAAATCTGATACAGGGGAAACAATTACAGATAAAGAAGAATATACCTATGCTAAGTTAAATTCTAAGACTAGGTTTTAATATATATATAGAGATAGAGAGAGGCAGAGTATGTTATGTACCGTCTCAACTCTTTATAGGGACCTGGAACACTTGCACATATAAATGAGCAATTTGCAAGTGATATTTCAAAGGAAAAAAAATTAAAACACATTAATTGGAAAATATATAATCAACTGATATAAGTGATTGTCAGATAGATATGCGTTTTACTATTTTAGAACTTTAGAAGACAGCACGACAAAGATCAAATCAGTTCAGAAAAATATATGATATATATTCTTATATAATAATTGAATAATATATATTATATATAATAATAGTATTTAGACAAATAATAATAGTATTTGCATAAACTGTGACATGGCTTTCAAAACGGACATATACAAAATTCATTTTTGAATAGATAACGAAAACTTAAATTTCAAATTGGTTCAAGTCCTGAAGGAAATCAATTTTATAATTTCTCTTTATCGAACTATACAAATAAGTATTTATAGCCTGTCATGAACTTTGAAGTCATCTCATTGAATGCATAAAAACAAACCCATAATCAATTAGACTAACTATATTGTCTGCCATTACAATGAGGCAGCATATTTAAGCCATTTGATTAAATAAATTCAAGTTCAAGCTATAAAATGTTTATTCTTAACTTGGCTGTAAACTAACTTTAAGCCCCAACTACTGCTAATGTAATCCTCGCCAACCTGTGTAAAAGGACTCGTGGGTGCTGTAAAGCGCATTTGAGAAGGGTTGAAAATTGGCAGCTGAGACGCAATTACAATTTAATGACGCTAAAAATGGAAAATTTTAACACACACACACAAACACACACACTTTGAAGGGTAAGCAAAAAAAACCCATTATAAGCTAAAGTTAGATTATAGTAAGATAAATTAACAGAAAAGAAAAAAGTAACAACAACAAAGAATTAAAAGTAACAACAACAGGAACAACACAGCAGCATGCAACAGTTGTGTATGTGGGTGTGGGTGTGAGTGTGTTTGTAGGTATAGCATGCGTTCGACATGTATTTGAAATCTGCCAATGGCGGGAGACGTCATGAGAAATTATCTAAAAACAGAATCAAATGGCGACTGAGCACAAATTGTAATTAAACGGCTGGCTTGGGGGGATTAAAGTGGCGAAAGAGGTATTTGTAAACGTCCATAACAGTAATGAATATAATGTAAATGAATGCGAGAGGCAGCTTCTCTCTCGCTTTGGCATATTCATGTGAAAAATGCAAATGTTAATTACAAACGGGCCCAAAATTAGAACTGTGCGCGTTATGCGTGACTAATGCCAGGCTCTGTGTAGATGTATATATATATGTATATATATGTGTGTGTGGCTGTGTATGTATATGAGGTAGTTGATGAACGCCAGTTGAAATTTGGAATGAAATGTATGCAAAGTTGATGGTGTTGCATAAATATTTCATTGAAGAATTTACCTTTTTGTTGGTAATTGTTAAATACGCAAATGTTGTTTCAGTTACGTTAGAGAGTCAAAGAAAGATACAGAGAGAGAGAGAGAGATATTTCAAAAATAGACATAAAGAGAGAGGAAAAGAGAGAGAGAGAGAGCAATAAATTTACAATTATAACAATTAGATCAATTCTGAACACACATAAAGTGAACGCAGCTAAGCAAATGCTCAACAATTGCTTTGATTGCTTCAAGGCGCGCTAAAAAGGTGGGGAGCACATTAATTAACAAATAGGTCACATAAATGTCACATGTACATTAGTATATAGCATTAAAGTATTTCAATTGACAGGCTGTTCATACGGTTGGCATATTTACCCATGTTAAGTAAACGTGCGCTGCTTGTTATGCTACGATTTCTACGACGGCTTTTAGCGGCGCCTCATTAAAGCCGAAGCTTCTGTTGTCGCTGCTGCTGTTCTTGTTGTTGTTGATGTTTATAGCTGTTGTTTGTTTGTTGTTGTAGTTGTTGTTGTTGTGATGAGTTCGCAATTTACTTAGTTTTATTTTTACATTTTTGCGTTGTACGTATCTGCTGTATGTTGTTGTAGTTGTTGTTTTCGTGGCCTATTATTAGTATTGTTTACACAATATATATATAGACAATGATATATGCATGGAATAAATAGAGCGGTTTACTACATTCTCTAACTATATATATGTATGTAAATGACATGCTCTTATTAACGTTATGTAACACACACGCAGACACACACACACCCACAACAGCATTGAAAAATGTTTATATATATATATGTGTGTGTTTCCAAAAGTTGTTAGCATTCGTAGCACTGTCAGCACGCACTGAGAGCCAAGTCAGAACCTTGACAGCAACTAAAGCTGAACTAGTTTTATTGTTGGCCCATGGATTTGGATTAGGTAAGAAGACGACGTCGCAGTTGCCGCGCTATTGTGTGACTTTTGCACTGTCGTTCATCGATCCTCTTTTTTTCATTTGCTAACTGGCGTCTTGACCCACTTTTGAGTGCTGCCCAAGTCAAATTGCTAGCCATGGCAACAACAAAAAAACAGAGCAATCTGCAAAACTTTAACTGACATTTCAGCTTACCTTTACAAATTCTCTTTAATACTCAAATAGTTAAAGTTCAGAGTGAATTGAGCTTTGGCGTAACCCCAGCAAGTTGTGTTCCAAGAGCATGATTTTTCAAGGTGAAATTTCATTTGATTTTGTGATGAATTTGATAAATAAATTTAACATTTAGCAATTTGCAATGCTTAATTCTATTTTGTTTCATATCTTCGCTGTTATGCAATGGCTCAATAAATTTATTGTTTTGCCAAATTGTAACTGAACTTTATTAATCGACTTCAGCACGAACACGTGGGTTTGTGTGTGTATTTGCGTGTGTCTGTGTGTGTGTGTGTGTATGATGTGAATCAGAAGAAATCGGATACGCTTTAAAAGCGATAGGCCATGCAGAACAACACACCCCCTCACAATGTATTTGTGAGTGGTTGTCTCTATGTGTGTATGAGTGTGTGTGCGTGTGAATAACAAACAATATCAATAGTCGGCAATACAATTCCAATAATGCTTTAGGAAATGGGCCGCTGAAAAGGCGCGCTGCCCTCGACCGCAAAACGGAAGTCAGCTCGATAAAAACGAACTTTTGTGTTGCATAGTTTTAGGCGCTGCATAAAATGCTTCCAGCAATTGCATTTAATTGCATTTTTCCGGCCGATCGATAATATTATGGCCTTATTCAATTAAGAATTAACACCAGTACATGCACACACACAACTATTGACATTGAAAATAGTATTTAATTTGTATGCAATTAATTGTGCTTTTCCACGATTCATAAGCTCGAAATGAAAAAAAAGATAACATAATACATTTAAATATAAAAAAAGTAACTACTTTGCACGTGTGCGTGCTTTCGTTAGTTGCTGCCGCTGTGACTGTGCTGCCGTCGACGTCGGTCGATGTAACCAAGTTCTACGTGGTGGACGAATATCAAGGGTAATGTTCAGCAGCCACACATAGAACGAGCCCACACAATGACGACGCCAACAATAACTGACAGGCGACCGAGGCAAAGCACAGATATAAAAACATAGATAAAAGTGGCAAAATACTTGCGGAGGCCAAGCAGCAGAAGCAGCACCAGCAGCAGCAGCAGCGACATATACACGTGCCAGCACATTCAGATACATATTTACATAAAGAAACGCATTGGAAGCTACACGTAGTAAGTGTGTCTGTGTGTGTGTATGTGTGTGTGTGTGTGTGTGTTCTGCACGTCAGACAGTCTCTAAGCGCCCGCCACTGAGTTGTTTTCATGTTCACTCGCTTGACATTGTGTCGTCATCAACCCCCAACGTGGACACATACACACACGCACCCACATGCGTAGGTTTACCTGCCCACTACACGGACACACACACACACACACACGGACACAGGCGCGCAACAACATTCATTCAATGAACTGAATACACACATACACATGTGTATATACGGATATATATATGCAACACATACATGCGCGTTGCGTATAGTGAATTTCCTTCAGCTTTGCTTGCTGTTCTCCGCACTAACGACGCACACAGCTGAGAGTTCCGCACTTGACTAACTTGGGTTGGCTTTGGAAGCACACTGCTTACCCGGAGGCCAGAAGACCAGCTGTCGGTCATGCGCACTGCAGCGAACCGCAGCCGCAGTCGGACAGCTGTTTACACTGCACGAAACCAGGGTTTGCTACTTACGAGTCTCCACAACCAGTATGGCGGTAACGAATTCGCACAGCACCTCTTGATGGCGCTGCAGACGATCGCGCGCAACCAGCACTCGTTCCAGCAGGTAGCTCATCATCAGTAATTCCACTTTCAGCATGGCGCAGACGTCGATCAGCTGGCGCACGTTCAGTGTCTCCAGAACCCTTTGGTTGCCCGCCAAGCTGCTAGCCATTTTGGCTGCAGGCTCCCTCTTGATTGATCGTCGACTAAAGCGTGGCTCCTTCGGGCTGTGCCTCTCCTGACTCTTGTGGTAGCGACGATAGCGACGCAGACGTCGTGCCTGCTGCTCCTGCTTGCCATAAATGTCGCATAGCAATGCACTCAACAGAGTTTTGGTGTCGCTGAGGTTTCACCAACTGGGTTAAAGCTTATCACGGCCAAATGTTAATTGCAGAGCTCACCTCATTTTCGTAGACTTCACTGATAGGACACAGCGGTCGGCAGCCCATTGACGCATAGATATTTTTTATATCACCAGCAATGGCTTCGTTTTATTGTTTTTTTATGCAAAATATAAAGCAACAAATAGAAAATAAATTAACATAATAATCGAAGCGTCGTTTGATTTACTAAAAAGTATATTGTTTAACGAAAATTGACTCAACCTAATGTCTATATCTTTGTAAATATACATTGAACCTGACGAGTCTGATATGCTGAGCAATATTTAACTCTTTAATTGTTAATCTTAATATCTTAAAGCGAGCTTATGGCTCGTATTTTAACGATCTGCATATTTTATAAATATTCATTATCATATAACATTACCTCATATAAATTTCTTAAACTTTATTGAGGGTAAAAACCTGTGATCTTGCGGGTTCAGCTATTCATTTGATTCGTTACGATGTCATTGCCCTTATCTCTGTAAACTGCGACATTATCTAGAGTTTCCCAGTGCCAGTTGTAGTTTGTTTTTGTGACCAGAAATACAGATTAAGTATAACCTTAGGAACCTCTTTCTATAAGGTTTTATTTCAATACCCTAAGCCTATCGAAATAGGCTTTCAGGGTAAGAGAGACAGAAGTAGGAGCGGCATACCCTACAAAGTATATATATATATTTGATCAGGACAACGAGCCATGTCCGTTCATCTGTCCATCCGTGCAGACTTGAAATTTGAAATGTATACTCGTGTATACTATACGCAGTACGAGATTATTATTGCTTTCGCTAAAATTATCCCATTTCATTATTATCGAGAAAAGTCGATCATAGTCTTAAACGTTGAATATTTACTGGGGAGCTTCTGTAGTTAATAGACAGATTTTGTATAATTCATGTTTCGGAATACCAACCCCACCTTCTCGAGCGTGTATATTGAAAAAAGGGTTTAATTTTTTTTTTATTTATTTCATTGCATTATGAGTTATACTCTAAATAAATAAAAAACAACGTGGAGAAGTATATATTCAAGATTGCAAGTTCTCTGCATAATAAATTAAACTTATTTCTTATATAGATAAAAATGTATTTCTCACTAATCGAACTGAAACTTCGAAGCCACTTAAATTATTTTTCGAGTAAAACAAACTTTTTTTAACCATTAACAATTTTATTTTAGTAACGAGTCTGTTAATTCCTGTAGACTCAGCAACTGTTCAATTAACTCACTTATTTGTGTAACTCCTAAATATTCTGAATATAGGCAGGCTTAATTTAGTGGCAAGTATTTCATGCATTATTGAAAATCGAGGACGCGGTATAAAAATTTGAAGTGGTCCGAAATACATCATTCGCAGTGCCGACTTCTTGTAAATACAAATATAAAAACATGAACTTTGTTTCGGATTGAAGGCGCCCGAATCTCAATAGAATGTTCGATCCATGTGGGTATTCAGCGAGAAATTTCGATACATCCCAAAGCGCACAACATCGTTGGAAAATCTCTGGGAGAGGGGGAAGAAACGCGTCGGTATGGTATAGGCATTGGGTGCATAGTAACCATATTCAGAGTTGCAAGTGCGGTACATGGTATTGGTGTCCTTCTCAACGCCGTACCCCTTGAAGTTGTCTGTGTAGGGATCAGAGAGGTTAAGATATAAGACATTGTGATGCAGCCTTCGAGGCTGATTACTCACAGGGACATTTGATGTCCTCACGCTTGTGCAAGTTCTCATAGAGCTTGGCCGTCTGCACCACCGGCTTACGTTTGATAAATTTTAGAAATTCCGCTTCCGGATTGAAGCTCTCCAAATCATCACAGAATGTTTCGCACATTTTCACTGAAATCTGTAACTTTTAATATATGGAAAATTTGATAGCTGTGAGTTGTTTTAGTTAAATTACTAACTGTGCTACAATCCGAGCATATCGAACAAATAGCTCGCTCGACCAAGGGTTGCTTGGTTACGATAGAGTCGACTTCTATTTGAATCTGACATAAGACGCGGCACTTGATGGCCATGCGAGAACAGCGCACGCGTCCTGCGAACTGTCAGCTTGACAGCGGAACAGTGTGACAGTGCGACAATGTGTGATGCTGCTTGGCCAGCCCTGAATAATGAACATATACACAAATTAGCCAGCAACTTGTTTGGTTGACTGATGCACAAAATGTACAATTTGTCGAATGTGCTTAACTTTATCATATGCATGGCTAGCTTCAGCCAATCCTTTGATGGCACCTTGGCAGTGAAGCGTGGACCCCATCACCCACGTGGGGAGACCCGACGAGTGGATCAGCATCTTACCCATGAGGAGCAGTGAGTATTGAGACCTGTATAAAAAATTTTTAGATAAATATTTTCATTCCCCAACAGTCGTCTTGATGACGATCTAAAGGACATGGGCATACAGGCGAGCCTAGATGATATGAGCGAGGAGGAAAAAATATTTTACATGTTCAAGGTATGTAGCTGCTGTCTTTTAGCTTGCTGCGAGCTCTACTCATTTACACACACACTCTCAGGCGCATGACAATGACAATAACAATGCCCTGGATGGACTTGAGATGATTCAATCGGCCATGCATCATAATTATGATTACCTGAAAAACGACGAACGTAACGATTATCTGTCGAACGCAAGCGAGGAACTGGACCACTTTATAGGTGAGTAAAATACATATTTGTATACGAACAGGCATAAACTCTATGATTTTGCAGATGCTATTGACAAATTTCTGCTGATTGCGGACGATAACAACGACGGACTGCTCCACTACCCGGAGTTTGTGAAGGCCGTTACCGGAGGCAAGGAGCAGCTGGCCTTGGAGCGGAACATGCTCCGCTAAACTGAACGCCGAACATCGTCTCTTGATACAATAATAGATATATCTTAGTTAAATTATAATATTTAGTTAAACACATGTATTTCCATGCTGAACCGTTGAGACTGTACATAGCACACACAAACACATAGCCGCAGCCTAAAGCAATACTACAATAGCACTATTTAAATACATATTTCCTTTGTACTACAATACGTGAAGACGAGCTTGATGCATTAGGTGGTAGAGATTTATAAGAGGCCGTCGCAGGACTGGGTGGTGTTGCAGCTGGCTCCCCGAAAGCCGTCATAGGCGGCGCGTTCCATTAGCACGATGAGATCGTTGTAGCGTGGCTTCTCCAATGGTGCGCTGCAAATAATTGATTCAAGGTAAATCAATTTCAATATAGACTGGCTCAAGCTCACCTCTCGAACACCTCGATGGCGCCCAGCAGCGCGCGACCCGCCTTGGCGTACTCGTAGGCTGCGTTTGGACAGGCGCAGGCTGCTGCATACAGGCAGTCGTCTTGACCGGCTCCCTGGGCGGCTAAGAAGCCCATTATGAGATAATCATCGCCGGAGCTGAGACCCAGGCCATAGGAGCCGTCGATGTGTGCCGCGGATCGCGCATAGCCATGGCCATAGCCCATGCCGCTCCAATGCCCCGCTCCCAGCAGGCCAGCCGAGAAGATCAGCACTTTGAGCAGCACTATGATCAGCAAGTTGGTGAGGTTCAAGCTGAGCACCTGCGAATAGCTGACACATGCAGTAATGATGTTTCGGTTGGTAAATATGCAAATTGTGCACGCACTTGACTATTGCCCGCTGAGCGGTGCAGCAGCTCCTTGGCCACCTGCACTATCACATGCCCCGCCGGGCTGGCAAACATGTCCTGGGCGCTGCGCAGCCACGTCAGCGGTCGCACTTCAATCTGAGTGTCATTCAGCACATTCGTCGGGCTCTGCAGCTGCAGAGCTACGCTGGCTGCTCGACTGCAGCCAAGGATTGCCAGCACTATCAGAGACAGCCCAAGTATCCAGTTGGGTTGCATTTTGTTTATTACTTTTGTTAAAGATCGCGTGCGAGTTGTTGTTGCTGTTGCTGTCGTGTCAGTTGGCGCGTCGTAACTGGTCTGAGCTATGGCAAGTGCGTGGTTTTTATCTGTCGCACATCTGGCGACCAAAATTGTTCCGCCTTACAGGTAGCTGCAGTGGCAAGGCCAGAAGCCAAGAGACGCTGCATGTTGTGCCTCGCTGCACCATAAAAGAGAGCGCAAAGAGATTTACGGCAAGCGACAACAGTCGCAGCGAAAGATCGAGAGTGTTTTCCTGGTGTCATTAGCCTAAAATTGGCCACACATTTTTCCACTTCAAGGATTCCCATGGATTACCTGCCCAATGTCACATATTTCCAGGTAAACGCACGCGAAATTGTGCGTGTCATCAACGAAACTAACACAATTGCCGTTTGTTTTCGTCTTAGTTTTTTTTTATTATTTTATTTTTATTTTTGTATCAATCATCAACTCGTTTATTGTTACTTGGGTGTCTCTTGTTGCTGTTGCTGTTGTTGTATATAATAGTTGGAAAGTATTTATGTATGAATGTTAATGTGGATTCGCAATAAACTTTTGTTGCCTTTTATAAGAACGTTTAATTTCATATAAATATGAATATTCATAATTTCGATTCATGCAATTACAGACAACATACAAATACATAGTGTATATATTTATATTTATCTATATATGTACTTTCACAATAATACGAGTATGAGTATTTACTTGGTATATTTTGCAACATATGCTGTAGTATGTATAAGTATTTATTTATTTTAATATTTGTATAAGTATGAATGTATATTTTGAAATATTTTTTGTTTTATGTTTCTTGTGTCTCAGATTTCAGCATTGATTTTTCATTCATGATGCGCTCCATGATATTGTTTTATGTGATATATGTCTGCACTATATGTAAATGATTAAAGCCTGTGTGTATAGGTGTGTGTATAGGTGTGTGTGTGTTGAAAATGTGTACCTTCTGTCATTGTAAATAGACGCTTGTAAAACAATTGAATATGATTTCATATGTGCGAGTTGACTATAAGATATTGGATTCGATTGAAATGATGATGTCAGTGTACCCAATGATGTACATATGTATGCATGTATGCTTTTATGATATAATTAATGCTCGCTTACGTGCATAGCTATGAGAACAAATCAAGCTCAGAGTTCGAACGAAAAGGGTAGAGCTCTTTGTAAACGTTATTTATTTAAATTCGTAATACATATTCCGAAAACTTGTTCACTTTTGTAAAACACTACTAAATTTGAGATAGATATATATTTATATATATTTTAGTCGAAATATTTCTGAATTGTAAAGTTTATATTAAAAGGGAGCTGGTTAAAATAATTCTATTGTTTGATTTGTATATTTTGTAACTAACTGAGATAACTGTCGTTATTTGTTAAATATTCTAAAAGTTTGTAATATACAACCCAAGCTTAAAGTTGGTTTAACTATTTTCGCGATATGTAACAACAAAATCAATCTATATATATATTTAGCTATTGTTAAAAATAATGCTTAAACATGTGCGTAACAAAATCAATTAAACATTTACTAAAGTATTGCATTAACCTAGTCATTCAATACCATTTGTTTGTCTTTGTTTTTTGGTTTGTTGGTTTGCTATTAAATGTTCGTTGTTGCATTCAACATTGGTGAGTAGTCAATATTGTATAGGTGTGTTTGCTGTTGGATAAGTCAATCCATTAACCATTCAGTGCCTCGACAGCCACACGAAGACGTATCAAAGCCTCGCAGCATCCTTTCAAATATTCTTATAATCCTTCCTGTCTCGTGTTCAAGTTTACCTTAATTTAACATTGCTTTGCTCGCAGTTGTTGAGTAGCATTACGAGTATGTTTGTATGTGTGTATAAACATTAACTACTAATATATATATGCATGTGTTGTACAATAATATTTGTGGGCATATAATAAACATTTAATTTGTGTGTGAGTAGCCTTTGTGTATGCCTTGCTGTGTAACATTTGCTCATATAATATATATATATATATATACACATATATATATTTTGAAGGTAGTACAGACATACATATATTTATATGCATATATTTTAATAACCATCGTTTGCATTGTAAACATTTAGTATATTAGTTGAAGATCTTTTCAATTCATATTGTCTTTTATCTAAGCACTCGAGTTCAACGGAGCTCGATCGGTGCTTTTTAGTAGTTTATTTTAAGATTCATCGCGCTCATCGCTTTCATCGTTTCATCGTTTCATCGTTTGGTAACAATTTAATTTGTATTTAGTATTATTTGAATAAATTCAATAGCAAGTTAAAACATTAATATACGCTTGCGAATATATGTATTTAGCAACATTTAATATGCCATAAAACTGTTCTCAATAATTATTATTTTTCCATTATTCAAACTTCTTCTCAATAATATATATATATATGTCTAGCTGACTGTATCCCTAATATCCATCTCAGTTGCAAAACCAGTCAAGTCGTCGTCAAAGTTTCGCATATTTATGGTATTTTCTTCTTCCATTATTATTGTTGTTACTTTGGTGGTTATAATTATACATTGTGAGTAGTTGAGAGTGGTTTTCATAGTTCATTTTGTATGTCTTCTCCTTTCCTCCTACCATATCGCAAATGAGAAGTAACTGCATACATATAACTATATATATATATATATATAATAACAGGAAATTGTACATATAGATATTGTAGCATATTCAAATAACTTGTATCGATAGTGAAAACTATAGTAACTCAATGTGTTTATAGATGCTAATGCTAATGCTGATGCCTATGCTGATGCTGATGCTGCTGCTGATGCATGTGCTTTGGTTCATTCCCTTATGAAACCAGGAAACTTCGGAGGCAGAAAAAAGACAGATTCCCTATAGTTCAAGTGTGTTGGGCTGATATATGCTATGAATGTAGCGTGAAGTGAGTGTGTCTGTGTTTGTATGTGTGTGTGTTTGTGTGTGTGTGTGTTTGTGTGTGTGTGTGTGGATTTATTTTAAATCCAGTTCATCCTCCTCCTCAGGCTTGGCGTTCCATCGTCTGCTAGTTGAGTTCACGCTGCTAACGCTGCCCGTGTCGCTAAAGTCGCTGAAGGCTGCATTCTGTATGCCTTCATAGATCTTATAGGAGTTGGAGCTGGCTCCAACGCCGCTGGAGCTCATGCTCATGCTTTTGGCGGCGCCGAAGCGATCGGTCTTGTAGTTGGAGGGTGGTCCACCAAAGATCATGTCCGCATCAGAGATGGAGCCGCCGGAGCGCGTGTATTTGCCGTTGCCCGGGCTCGAGGTTGTTGTCTTGCCGTCTCCGAATATGATGTCCAAATCGGATTGCTTCGATGCTGCAAGCACAAACACAAATTAATAAATGAATAATGAGCTTGGCTTCGAGATGCACAACAATTTTGCGTGGGTGCAGTTGGGAGCCAATTCTAGCGCGTTTAAAATTAGCACTACTTATGCCAATGGTTTACACACTGATTAATTGATTAACTGATTAACTGATTAACTGATTAAGGTGATGTGAAAGATGATTTCAAATGCGTCCGCAACATATGAGTGACCAGATGCTTATGACAGCGAGAGTACGAGAAGTTCTAGGGAATAAAGTGAACGACATTCAAAAGCCTTCGCCCAACTGAGTAATGAGTGTGCATGCGATACTCAATTGCATCGAATGGATCTCGCGCATGAATTTAATTTAATTTAATTTAGAGTATTACAGAGACGTACATATATACATATGTGTGCACACATGTACATATATCTATAGTGGGGTCAGTCTAAGTTATTGTTACGTTTGCTTTCATTCCGCTTCAATACACACTCACACATACACATATACGTATAGACAGAGTTGAAGATAAACTTAGGATAAAAACTCAAACGGTTGCAAAAAACATCTATCGAATTTTGTTCTACTTGAAGCTTCTGTTTGATAGCTGTTGTTGCTGGTGTGCTGTTCATTGTGCGTGCCGAGAAAGCCAGAAAATAACTGAGTTTGCGGTGCGCTCTATCGAGTAGTTACTGTACGGCAAAGAGTTCCTGTTTGTGTGTGTTGAGTTGGGTGTCGAGTTGTGTCGTTGTGAAGAGTCGTGCGTGCAGGCAAGCGAATAGCAGCACTGGCGATTGGCGAACTTACAAACAGTTTGCGGCGCACGTGTCGTATACGTTATATTTGGCTTACACTTTCAAAGTTGGCTATCATTGAAGAGAATCAATGCAGAATACACAGTGGCACCTAATTTGCTTTGGCTAACGTTCGGAATCGCTGTCTACTTGGCTAAAAGGGGTTCGTTATCGATTACATCTTAACTTGGTCGCTGCTAAACTCGCATTAGTATACAAATATACTCGAATAAATGTAGATATGTATGTATATATGAATATGTGTAGCATGGTATGTATTATAGATTATTGTGGGAGTATTTGTTAGTTGCGTTGATTTGCAGATGCTGATGCTTATGCTGATGCAGATGCTGATGCTGATATTGGCGATGTTGATGTTGATACTGATATTGATATGATATTTGTAATGGTACTTGATACAGTGATATGTATAGATGGCAACCTAGTCTAGGTCTTGCGCAACGTTAGGCTGACCAGCAGCACGCCCACAGCTAGATAATTACCGTTGCTCTCGGAGCGGGAGTAAGAGGGCCGCGTGTACGAGGGCAGATCGCTGGGATTGTTGTAGCCGGCCTGAGAGGCCAGCGAGTTCGAATCGTAGCCGGATGTGTCGCCCGGCAGAGCAGCTGTGGTGACAGCAGCTGGCGCACTGTAGACGCTTGCCGATCGTATGCCTATGGCTGAGCGCCAATCGTTGTTGGATGCCGAACTGGTGATGGCGTTGGCGGTGCCAACGGCTCCGGTGGTGATCGCTGTGATGCCGCTCGCTTCGCTGGCGCCAGCACCCGTGGCTATGGCCGCTGTATTTGTGGTATTTGTATCCATGCGCGTTATGGTCTCAATGGAACTGGTGCTGTCATAGTTGCCGTAGCTGGTCTTGTCCTTGCTCAGAGAGCTGCTGAAGCTGCTGCGATAGGCGCTGGCGCTGACACTCGAGCTATTCGTGTTAGTGTTGATGTTCGCATTGGTGGTCACATTAGGCGGCGGAGGTGGTGGCCCGGCCGGTGGTGGGGGTGACTTGATGTTGTTGCCATTCCGATTGATGCGCGATGAGATTGACGATGACGATATCGATGATGAGGACGAGGTTGTGTTCGAAGCAGCACCCATGCTGGCGATGCTAACTGACTTCTGTGGCTCCTTGTCAAAGGGATTTACTCGCTCCTGTGGCTCAAAGTTGGTGACTGGCTTGTAGCCTCCAGCTGTTATTGTTGTTGCTGTTATATCCGTAGTATTGGCGCTATCCGAAGCGCTGGCAGCGGGCTTAGCGGCTGAGCTGGCCGCTGTCGTAGTTGGTGCTGCTGGCTCCTCCTGCGGTCGGCTGGGCTGTGTGGAGATCACATCCGTACCGCTGGACTTGCCGCCCGAGGCGAACGAGAACTGCTTACCCAGAAAAGAGCCGCTGAAGCCACTGCTTCCGCTGCTGATGGGTCCGGCGCTGCTGGGCACGCTGCCCAGGCCGCTGCCATTGCTGGTCTCACTCGCCGTTCTGCCGCGCTTCTTATTAGCGATTTCCTACATGTCACCAAATATCCCTGCGAAAGTCTTCCTCAGGTTCTTCATGGTGTCCTCCGCATCCTCAACAACCGAGCTCTGAGTTTGCGGAGGACGCTGTCCGACCCTGGATGCTGTCGAGATGCTCGATGCCTGCGACGTTTGCGAATCACGACGCACGCCACCAACCGTGCTGGGTACCGACGAGGACGGCTCCTCAGGCAGCTCTGAAATGCTGCTGCGGCTGCTCAGACGTCCGATGGAGCCAACCGCTGGCGAGGTGCGTTCCGGTATGGGTGGTGGTCCGCCCATTGGAGCTGGCCTGGGTCCAGCGGGCAGCGGTGGAGTCGGTGCCAGATCGTCAGTGGGACTCTCGGCGCGCGAAGAGACCGAAGAACGCGATGGCAGCTTGCCGGGACCAGTCTGCGCCATGCTGGGCCGGCACACGTTCTACGTGTAAAGCGTGCGTAAGTCATTGTCTAAGTTAACGGAAGTCAGCTCGCTGATCTGCAACTCACCTGCATGCGTCCAGACACCAGATCAGCTATCTGCCTGCGATCCTCCTCCTGGCTGTCGCCAATCAGAGCGAAAGTGCTATCACAGGCACTTATAATGTACTCGCGCCCATCTTTGCCCACCACCACGGAAACGCCGCACACCTCCATGCCGCCAAACAGTTCCGATATCTGTGAATAATGCGATTTATGAATATATGTAAATTTATACAGAAATGTGTGCACATAGCTCGATTCAATCTAGCCATCAACATCGAAATCAAAATCTGTTTTCGATTTCATGCGCAGCGTGTGGGTTGTTACTTATTTGCGGCTGTGCTACTCTGTTACCTTAGCTAATGGAGTATATTGGTTCAATGATTTCCAGAGCTTTATTTGACCTGCTTCCTCATTATATGTATATGATCAATTCAATTTAGAAACTTATTAATATGATTCCGAGTTCGCTTAAAATGCTCTTTGGGGTAACTTTTGTTATTTGAGGTTCGATCCAGATCAGTTTTGCCATCCAGAATGATCTGCTTGCTCTGATACTCGACTGCAGAGTATCGCGCGCTCAGATGACTGCGACCACCAACTGTAGACAACTTGTTGTTGCTGTTGCTGTCGTCAGCTCTTGGTTTTAATTACAAACACAGTTTGTTTTGATTAGAGGCAACGTCGCGCTGCTTAGAATTGTGGGCATGAGAGGCCGGGCTTATGGCCACCCACCTAAAGCCTCGTAGCTGCATTGCCGCATTGCCCGACAGTTTATCTAAGCAATGTGAAAATTTCAGTCATTGAAGTTCATTTGCGCGCGTACGCGGAAATTCTGAGTCAGCTTATTGGGCCTAGCTATCTTAGCTCTATGAGCACTATGCTCTATGCCATTTATGGCCAATGATTAAATGCCGCAATTGATGGCATTCTCATGTTTCATAGTAATTATTGCGGTACTGAGTGCTCTGTTCCGTTGCATCATAACTAATACGCGCAGTATCTAAGTGTGCTGCTTGTTCATGAATATTCGAATCAAAGCCACGACTGCTCAACACAACCCGAAGGGGTAAGACCCACCAAATCCAAATTGTTAGCCCAAAAAATGTGCCGCGAATAATTCAAGTCGATTTTGTGGCAATTTCGATTGGCAACGTTTGATAAATGTGCTCGCCGCTTTGGGCTGCCTTTCAGTTGGCTGTTCATAAATGCGGCTTAAACGTTCGATCTCTGCTCCCCACATGGCTACATTAGCTATCCCACCGGGTCAGCAAAGCATTCCAGTGAATAGTGAGTAGTTGGCGTACAGAATATAAATATTTCTTATCCCACAAATTATAAAGGGGATCAATCATGTTGAAGGCAGAAATATTGAACTATTTCTTTGGAGAGCACTAACCAGTAGAGCTTATATATAAACTATAAACAGGAAACTATTTTTTTTCTTAAAAACTTTCGCTTAAAGTTGACATCATTAAATGCCTGATGAGTCGTTAGATCTGCAGAAAATATTCTATATTTGTAGGCCAACTCAAGAGCTATACTTCTCATACCAAATCCAAATGCTAAGTTAAGTTTATTTTATTTTTCTTGTTGTCGAAATCGTATATGAGCTGTCTTACGTTCTGCAAGGGTATTTGAAATTCGAAACACTTAAATAAGACGTTTCTCTTTTCAAATTTGACTAACTGTTTTGAGTTTCAAGCAGGTCGACTTACCTCATCCACCCAGGTTTTGTACTTCTCGGTTAAAGTGATTTGCTCGAGCATGGCTGAGCCTTGATTGGTCTTCCAATTGCCAGTGATGGATTTGCGCCTGTAAGAGATCAGAGCATGCATGAAGACATAATAAATTATTCGAAAGAGCGTAGATAATGCGTAGCAGTAGACGATTTGCTTGATTCGGGTACTTTGAACCCGCCGTCGAATTGCTGAACCCAAACAATGAACTGCACTTGGTAGGATAATTGCCAATTGGACTGCTTTCAGTTCGCTTTTGTTCGCTGACAGTGGCAGTTGGGCCCAAGGTCAATTGCCAGGCAGCGGCGCAGGCACTCGACCTTATAGCCATCTACATTGATATCGCATCGAGTAGATTCGAGTCGATCGGTGCCGGCTGTCTGCGGTCTGGACCTGTGGTCACTTACATAAAAGCCTTGTAGTTGTTGCCAATCTTTTGAATGTGCACGCTGAACTTGGCATCGATGTAGGGCTCGATGGTGCAATAACAATGCGAGTCATTGCCAGCGCCGCTAACAAGTCCCGCGGCATCTTGCAAAGCGCTTTGGTTCTCCAGACGGGCCGTGGCCACGCCACCATGGCAATGTCCAGCCTTCAGCACGCTAGGGAACTTCGTGAATTGGAACTGCAATGATAAAAAAGTAAACTCCAAAGTTGAGACTGATTGCAAATATATAAATTGCATCTGCTCCCTTTATACAGCAGCGAAAATAAATGTAAGGAGATGTTTATTAATTCGTTGGAAAAGTGCCAAAATGGCTGTTCATGAATTCAGATTTGTATTCTGTTTATTGAATTAAGTATATATTACATATATATATATATATATATATATATATAACACATACAGCTATAAGCGTGGGTGTATCGCCGGCTGTTTGCAGCTGATTGCGCGCCAACTTATTTGGCATTTGGCGCCAAATACTGCTTTCCACGAACTGGCTTCATTTTTATTGTGTAAATGAGAAACTAGCTATTCAAGATCACTCAAAATATAAGGCGCAATAAGATTTTCTATATTTTTTAGAAATTTTAGAAATTTGAAATATGAATTTATTGATTTTATTTATTTATTTTTAAAACATTTGTCATTTAAAATGTGTTCCATCTATTCATCATATGCCTGTGCAGCTCGTTAAAAATTCACCGAGCCAATCAAATTTGGTTGAGTCTACAGTCATCCCCATGTGTGCATGAACAGCTCATAAATCATTAATAAACATGTGGAAATCTTTAAAAATTTATTGAAAGCCGCCAAGAGAACAGATCAACAAACCATAACAAATGATGACGCAGTCAGAAAAATTGTCGCAATTGGCGCGAGGCGCAAGAAAACTCTCAATGAATATCAATGACAATGTCGAGCGGCGCGCGGCGAGCGGCGAGTGTTGAGTGCCGAGCGGATGCCCCTATGAGCGGATGAGCGGACAGGCAAGGGGGCGTTACAAATCATGGTCACACCCCCACATTGTTGGCATTCTTGGAAGCTGGCACGTACTACGTACGTACTATTCGAATGGCTACTTGTCTGGTTATATCAGCGCACTTAAAATATGCACTGTGACGCATCCGTTGAAAGATATATGTCTGGCAGCTACCTAGTAGCTCCCACATAGTATTATCGTATTTGCAGCTTGTAGTTGTAGGCGTTGCATGAAGCATGCCCATGCCCATTCCCATGCCCATGCCTATACCCTGCACGTGTGCGCACCACATGGCTAGCCACTTGGACTGCCTTACATGTGTATGTGTATGTGTGTGAGTGGATGTGAATGTAGACCTGGAAGTAAGTCATTGCTGTGGGGCTGGACTGTGGTGTAAAGTATAACTAAATTATTGCTTGATCTGTTGCCTGACAGATGCGCCATTTGGTGCTCGTGCCGTTGCATATGCATCTGCATCTTCTGTGGCGCCAAATATGTTTGCCGCCGCGCTGTGAGCCTAAGCTATATGCATGCACTCGCAATTAATAAAGCTGCCAAGGTAAAATAATGCGCAGAAATATGCAATTGAACCAGCCGCTGGCCGCCAAATGCCAGAGTTTCCTCTTTAGCTTCTTGCCTGTTGCCTCTTACGTTTTACATCTCTCACTCACTCCTAATGAATTTATGACGCTTTTGATCGGCCGGCGACGGCGAGAGTAACTCAAATATTGTGCGGGTGCACAAAAGACTCAGGCAGACAGAAAAACTCAAACTCGAATGAGCGCCAAGCTTGTTGCTCTTGAATTTATGAATGCTTTTGATCGGCCGGCGAAAGCCTCTCAAACTCAAGCAAGCAGTAGCAACTTAAGGAGTACCATGCGCGGGTGCTTAAACGACTCAAGCAACCGAAGAAAAAGCTCAATCTCAACGAGCCGAACGGTCGCTCTTTAACTAACTGTAATGATCGCTCTCTCGCTGCGAGCCGAGTGGCGGCCAGCCAGCTTCGGCTATGAAAAGACTAAACGCTTGAGTTCACGATTCAGTGCAGAACCGCAGGCGCAGCGAAGTAGAACGCCCGAAGACGACGACGACGGCAACAACGCGGCGAAAATTATTGTGTGAAAAATTATTAAATGCAAATGCAACAAGTCTAAAAGCTGACAGTGCGAGTGAACAAATTAAGCAGAGCCCCGCAGTGGTTAACAGTGCTAAATAAACAGTTTTTGGTGCTTAACAATTAACGAGCTACAAATTAATTATTCTGCAAAAACAAATTATTCGCACTCGACTGACGATTCAGGTATTTTAATTATTTCTCTTCCATTTGCATGCACTTAACATAAGGAATTTATGAATTTCAATTTGAAATGAATGTTATTCGTAAACAAGCAGGAGTCGCGCGCGTTTCGCATGCGATTAAAAACGCGCGTTGCTGTGGCAGACGTCAAAACCCGCAGTTGCAGCATCGTTGACATAGCGACACAGTTTTCCATATTCACACACACTCTCTCACACACACACGTGGCTGCATTTCTTTCTATTTATTTGTGCTCGAACATATTTGCGTTTATTTTTAATTTGTTTTTATTTCTTTATTTCTTCTCTCGTTGCCCGCTTTGCTTTGCTTCGTCGCGACACACACATTTCAATACGTATATATGTATATATATGTATATTTGTTTTTTAAATTTTCTGCTCAACTTTGGTTTTTCTTAATAGTTTCTAATGTCGCCAATTTGTAAACAAAATGCAGCCATAAAAAATATTTGTATATTGAGCAATCCAGCAACATAAATTCATTTAGAATGCGCATTTAAAACGTGGGCAAACGCATATGCGAACACATATAAATACGTATTTATGTAAAGCTCATCCAACACATTTAAAAATGTCAAGGGAAGCTCTGTGTGTGTGCGTGTGTCTGGTTGCGTTTTCATATTACGTATACGCCATGTGTATCGCTGTTGGCATTGGCCACTTAACGCCTAGGCCTAAAATATGAAGCATTAAATACTTAACTTTTTTTAGAATTTTGTTTTGCTAATTTATGCAAATTTGACACCAAATTTGTGTTTGGCCTAAACATTTTATACGAGTATTTTAAGTGGTTCGAACTTTTACAATATTCTCAAGCATTTCCTTCACTTGACCTTACTCTTGCTTTTGCCTTAGTCAGAATTTTAATATTTTGCTGTTTCCATCAATATATATCATACTTTATATTTGTATTTATTCTTGGAAATGTGAACATGAATATGTAGCTGGCTCGATTTTTATATATTGTACATATCTGTTGGCATATATTATATGCTCTTGAAAGACCCCTCTCGTTGCTGTTGTTGTTGTTGGTTTTGTTTTTGTTTCTTTTTCCTGCTTGTGCCTTGAGTCTTGTTAGTTCGACTAAATTGAATGTATATTTCGATAACTATTTAGTGCTGTCAGCTGAATTGCAGAAGGCTTAAAGTCTTGTAAACGAATTTGCACTCTAATGCATTTTTTTGATATGTAAAATTATTAAAAGAACGATAAATACGTAGACTATGACTAATGCGCTTACTTTGGATAAATGTCTTAGTATACGATTTTTTAGTAGGGGAAATTTGGTTATAAATAATACACTGTTTATTTTTAGACAATTATCATTGTTTTATATATCTTTGATGTATATGCATACAAGCTAGATATCAATAAAAACTATATATTTATTAAAACATTTTACATATAAAGAGAGCAAAGAGCAGGTCGTAGCATGCAGAAATGTGCTAAAGATTTATATTAAAGATCTATGTTATCAAAACTATTTGTGTTTTATATATAAATATATTGAATAAGTATTTTATACATATAACTCAACTAAATTCTTAGCAATTATTGGAGTTAGTTCAGCGATCAATTTTGACTTGATATTAGGGACAATCAGGGAGTCTGTTCTTGACATGCTTATCGAATTTGAACAGAATTCTTCGCACATCGTTGAGTGTACATTTTTGGACTGTGCACTCAGGAGTTGGAAGAGTCAGCGAAGTGTTTAAAGTGTTTCGCCTTATATAGAGAATGATTGTTTGTTATTTTACACATGTTTGACTTTTGGCACAAGTCTGCGACGACGGCGACGGCGACGCCGATGCCGATGGCGATGGCGACACACCCACAGCCGATTTTGGGATTATCTGCTGGTCATTCGGGTGGGTGCTGGTTGTAGCTGCGGCGACCACCAGAAATGCGCCGCATTGCAATTAAATATTATTGTACAATTAAAGAGAAATGCAAGAGACAGCGCGACAAAGAGCATTCGCTGCGTTCGTGTCGTGTAAATTTCACAATCGCAAATTTATTGACGATGATTTCTTTTTACTGTCTGCTCGTTTGTTCCCGCCACACATCGGGTTGGCAATGGGTGCGGATGGGGATGATAATAAGTATGGACTGTGGAAGGGTCGACACGGTCTGCTGGTCCGCTGGTCTGCTTGGTTTCTGTGTGGGCCCAAACTGACGTCGCCTGAGTTTGTCAATTTGTCAATTTGGCTGATTGTCTGTCAATTTTTTTAATTTATTAAGCAAGATCTGTCACAGCGCATTATTGTGAATGAGTATGGAATTTTTATATTAAAAATTGCATATTTCCGAGCGAGTATAAAAACACTTCAATAAATCAAACAATAATTTGATGGAATTTATTTTCATAAGCCTGAAGAGTAGAGTCAAACTGTGATATCATTTCTCTTTTTATATCGGAGCCAAAGAAAGGCATGAAAACGAGAAGGGATTCAAAATAATGCTTTGACTCCCTAGAGTACCAGCCTGATTAAAAAAGGATTTTTCAGCTGATGCATTGAGCAAACTCATAGATAAATATAATATAAATATTTCATTTGATTAATTCACATCTATTCCTTAAATGCTTTTTGAATAAGAGCAACTTAATATAAGTCTTAATCTAACGCTAGAGAACTGAAGTATGCAATCGCAGCTGCTGATTTCAACTTCGACTCTGGCTGGAAGTCTAACTTGGATTTAGTAATCTAAATATTAAATCCTTTCATTTCATTTATACAATTACTGTTTTATATTATATTCACACCTTGTCTTTGCCTTATATGATGCTAGCAGTCTACGTCAATTGCTATATGAGATTGTGCGCCTGATTAGAACTGCTTATTCACTTATTCACTAGCCAAGTATACAGTACGAAGCGCTTGTTTGGAAAGGTCTGATTATGCGAGTAAAGAATAATGGAAATTTACTGGATTTGTATCAAATTTTGTACAATTTCGAAATGAATGTGCATTGATCGCACGACACTCTGCTGGCCACTTTTTTCTGAATTTAAGTGAGCTCAAAATTCAGTTGAGCTGCATGCATTTGCGCAAATCAAGAATCGATGGCATTGGAATCTCACATAACAAAATAATTTATATTTTTATGGGGGAATATGATGAATGCCCTTGGCAGAGGGAACCCATTTTATTGGCTGTCGACTCGCATTAGCATTCATAATTGAGTTCTTTGTTAGGCCTCCTGTGCGCGCCGTGCCAGGGGCTCGATTTTTGTTTATTTTCGCAAGCCGCTGGCCTGCAATTACATTTGTGTCACAGTCGGCAAGCGAGACTTTTTGATTTTTTGAAACAACAGCACTCAAAATAAGTGGAATATTAAGCGTCGAGTGTCGAACGCTACGAAAGTCGCCATTTCGAAAACTGTGGCAATTCGCATTCTGTTTATTTATCTACCCGCAGCAGACGGATGTATTGTGTGGCCAAATATGAGAAATGCGTAAGATTTATTTTCGGCATTATGATGCCAGCCTGCAAGTCACTGCAGGCCGCATGTGTGCCTATACTGCAAAGAGCATCTGTTTACAAAATCACTCGAACTTAATGATCCATAAAGCATTAAGCAGCCAAACAGCTAGCCACCAGGTTGGGTTTCGAACCGGTTCGGACTCAATACCCAAAATACTTCAAATATTTTGCTAGTCCCCAATATATTTTATATTTGCACTCTGCATACGAACTCGCCTTTTTCTAATCATATTTGCCAACGATACACAAAGCCACACAGCCAATTCCTCTATACATAGGTTCACTTCCTAATCATTCAAGTTTTTGACTTGTATAATATACATTTATGACAACAGATGCAGCTCCTTGAGCACAACAAATTTAGAAATATTTCGCTATTTTATACAAACAAAACCATTTTATGTATTTTGAGTTTCATAATGTATTTCAGAACTCGATTCGTTCCGGTTGACAGCATAAAAAAGAACCATTTTCAGCCCTGGCTGTGACTTTTCAAACTTCTATTTGATTTTGGCAGAGATTTTCAAACAAATGCCAGTTGCGACTGCTTTGAGCTGGCGCCGCCTTGTCAAGCTCACGTCACGCTTGAATGGAGCTGTCAAACGCAGTTGCAGTTGCAGCTGCAGCTGCTGCTGTTGCTGCTACTGCCGTTAAAGCTGTTGTTGTTGCATGCATCAATTGGAGTCGAAATTCAATTAGCAAACATCGATTGACGTTAACATGTCTTATCAGGCAGGCATTTATACTAACTAACAGGTGTCCAGCTGTCTGTTTTGCGCGACGTGTGGACAGCCAAGAGTTAATCGCGAGCAGAAAACGATTTAATGCACATATATTTAGCAGCGGCACGATTCGCTGCGCATTCAGATTTGCATGTCAAAGTTCAGTTAAGAAACGGCTTGGCTCTGAGCATTAATCAAGAAAATATTTTGTTTGGCCAGTCAGGGCCAGCACAGTTTCGGGCTGGGGCATCATTGATCATGCTGATTATGGCGTTGCCGATCGTGACTTTGATATTTTCCTTAATTTTCTCTCATTGTGCGGCGAACGAAAAAAAAAACGCCAGCCGACACAAAGGTCGCCAGTGGGCAAAGAAAGTTTCGTGCTCGTTATGGCCAAAAAACCCAAAAAAAAAAAAACTCTAAAAGAAAACAACAAATCTTGGAAAATTTGGTAACTTACAGTTCGCATGGAAATTGCGTTGCACACGGCTTATCAGTTGTAAATGGAAAGCAAACATTGTTCGCGGAAACTTTTCCTAGTAGCGCACAGTCATGGACACAATAATAAGACCATGATGTAAGCTTGCACTGCATACCGAATATTTTATATATTTGAATCAGATTCGAATATAATTGCATCATATTCAAAGCTCCCAGAAAATCTATTATTCAGTTTAGTTCAGCTACACTAATGAATAATAAAATCGTACTTAATCGGGAATTAGGGCAAAATGGCCAAAGTGTGATGTAAGCCAGTTTAATATAGAACTTTTATAATATTATATGAAGTCATGCACTCTGCCTAAAGAACATCTTAATGCATAAATATATGACTCTTTGACTGCAAAAAGAGAATGAAATGCTTTATGCTATAGTAAAAACAAATATTATTCTATATGGCAATAGCTGGATGTAATGGACAGCTTAAAGAGCTGCAGAAGGAATTTTATCCAAAATCTTATCAATTTTGTATGGAAAGGAGCTTGTCTATACAATTTAGAAATCAATTGGCTTTAACGCATTTCTTTTTCATTCAAGAAAACATTTTTTTTGTTGTAAAGTATTTAATTGTGACACGCATCAATTGCTTAAAGTTGGCTTGAATTCCAGATTACCTGAAGGGCTTCATTTCTAGTGCTACTTAAGATAGTTTGGCCTATAATTTGGTTTCTAATGCCAATCAATACTAATTGCCAATACTTGTCAAACTCTGTTTTTAGTAAGCAGCAGTAACGACTGTGTCTACAAGCCGTAGGGCTGGCTGTAGTACTGCTATCTTTAGACAAGGCAATTATTATTTGAGCATTAAATTTGAAGAGAAGCAGAATACATTTGGCTAATTGAATTCATTGATTTTATTTTTATTTATTATTTTTATTTATTATTTAAGCGTTAAATTTGAAGAGAAACAGAATACATTTGGCTGATTGAAATCATTGATTTTTTTAGATAAATGCGTTAAGGGAAAGGTCAACTCTTTTTGGGATGTAAGCTCAAATTAGAGAAGCTTAATCAGACTGCTGGCAATATCTGGGCAATATATTACTTGTGTGGGTACGTCTGCATTTGTATAGCTGGCCGTTCCCCAAAAGCGAATTGCTTAGAAAGTCAATCAGCAATAAAAGTCAAACACACAGAGAATTGTGACAAGACAATCGAAGCTGAAAGCGAGAAGCGAGAAGCCAAAAGTAAATGACCGCCGAATCGTATAAAATGAAACAGAAAACCAAACGAAACAAATTAAATTTTGTGGCTTTTATTTCGACTCGATTGTGGTTGAGTTTTATGTGCATTGATTTTTAGAGGCAGGCGCGAAAATTGTTGTTGTCAGCTTTATTTACATGCCCCGTGACTGCACTGCCGCCATCAGGCGGGAGAGGTCGAGCGATTGTGTGCCACAAGTGGCGCAACATGTCAATATTTTGTGTGCCATGCATTATGCAGGCATTAGCGGAGTTTTATGACTCAATTAAGTGGTCATAAAGCAAACTTTTCCACAGTTCCATTTACGAGCCAGTTTTATGCCTTGCTACCGACCCAGCAGATAAGCAGAAGCGCATTAATTATGCGGCTTTGCTCTGTAAAGCCATTTGCCCAAAACCCAATCGCTTGAGGGCGGTTTGCGGCAAAGTCCTGCGACTTTGTGTTTTTTGCAGTCCTTTTTTTGGTCTTCAACTTGCTCGCTTTGAGCCTTTTCAAAGCCCAGTTAACCGACAAACCATTTACCTGGAAAGCCGCCCGTCTGGCCAAGTGTTAATAATCTCTATGCATATTTACATAACTCAAATTTGTGGCGCCTTTTATATTAATTCAACAGTCCCACAGACAACTGAGTACTGCGTCGCCCCACCACGTTGTTTGTGACTGTGTTTCCTTTCAAATAAATATGCATTTACATCGGCTTAGAGCAAAGGCAAATGTCGGCTGGCCAACCCCGTAGAAGTAAATTATAACCCACGATAAGCATTCCACGTATTCTATATAGTAAATTCGTGTAATAAGAACAACAAATAAAAGCAATATAATCCGCTCACGTTCGTTTAGCAGATGGCAGTCAAAATGTGATCACAAACGCAAATATAATAAGTCTATTTAAGCAGCTATTATCTAATATTTTTAGTTATGTATTAAGATAAAGGCTTTAGCTCGACTTTGGGCGAATTCCCACGAATCTGAGATTTACTTCTTAGAGTCTTAGAGAAATTGTGTGCAGAGAAGTATTTAATATAAATCTGTAGACTTTGTATAAATATGAATAATAAAATTATAATTTTATAACTCAATGTTTATTCTCGATCCGTGTGGATCGTGCAGAGGTTCTTATAAAACTGTCTTAAACATAATTCCCTAAACATAACTTAAGCTATCAACTGTCGACGGCGTTCCCAACAGAATGCTGACCACGTGCCTGTTTAGACTGCTTTGTGTTAACTTTTATGCAATGATGCATCTATTATTTGAGTGTAAACTAGAGTCTTAATTAATATTAACAGTTAGATCATCATTTACTTTTTAACTGTAACGAGATGCATCTGCCAATTTGTAACTTATAAAATTCTTGAATTTTCTACATTCAATTTTTAGTTTTTATGTAAAAGTTCACGTATTCAACAGTTGTATAAATGTATATATATGAGTGATAGTTATATAGATAATAAAATTCATTGACTGATAAATATAAAGTGCAGCTCTGCTTATACATAAAATTTATTTCAATCAACTCACATTAGAGTCACAACTGAATCTAATGCATTTATTCCATATTCTCGCAGTTGTCAGTCAAGAACTAATTAAATAAGCAAACTGAATATTTCGTGCCTTTTATCAGCTTTTGACGTCTTAAGATGCTTTCGGCTGAAACGTTTTAAGCTGAGAAAATATGGTCGCAACTGCAGAATTATTGTGTATCTGCATTCTCAAGATGTCGGTATCTTATCTAGATGTGAGCTGCAATCGTTTATCTTTGCAGTTACGCGACACCAATTTGACATATGTGTCACATGCCTCTGTGTGCGTGTGTATGTGTGTGTGCAGACCAAGTTTAGTTAGGGCACTTTCTTTGCGCTCATTGCTGTAGCTGCGGTTGGTCTCGTTTAAATGGCCTGAGGGCAAAGTGGAAATCAATGCTAATTAGAGACATGTCGATACTTGACTCCACATATTCGTCTCAGTAAATGCGTATTTCGAAATTGTTGTTGGCGGCCCGCATAGCCAAGTGACACTCAGATGCCGTCGACTGCCGACTGCCGACTGCCGACTGTTTCAGTGTCAAATGTCAACTTCCATGTGGATGACGACACAACAACAAAAGCGGCAGCAACAACAAGTGTGTTGTTTGAATGTGACGTCAAAGCAACAGCACATAAGTATTAATACACACATGCTCATGTCCGTGACTGTGTGCGTGTGTGTGTGTGAATGCCGTGGTGCTATGATATACAACATTTAATTGACACATGTACAGCTTGTCAACAAAACACGGCTGCCTCTGGCATCAATAGCCGTTGGCCCCATCTACCCCAGCTTCGGCTGCAGGCCCCGCCCTGCGCCCCCACACTTTGTGTGGAGGCCAACTCTAAAATATATGCCTGCGTGATATATGGGCACGCTAATTGTGGCTGCCGATGCCGATGCCGACGCCGATCGGCTGATATCGTGGAAAACTGAAAGGAAATCGTGCGAATTTGCAGCGAGTGTAAAAAGTTTTTCTTGTTTTCTATTGGTTTTTTTTGTTTTTCATTTGTGTTTTCATTTTTGTGAAGTTGATTTAGTTGCTAAACGCTGTTGACGTTCCCAATGTGTGTGTGCCAGTTTTGTGAGCGCTTATTTGTTGTCTTGTTGGCTGTTTGTTAAACAAATCCACGCCGTTAATTGCCAGCACAAGTGTCAAATCCAGACTAACAAGACACGAACAATGCCCAATGCAAACAATGTCGAGCGAGAGAGCAGAGAGGGAGTAAGAGAGAGGGCAGAGGGCTTTGCTTTCATAAAGAACTTTCCAAGAATATCCCAAGTAATAACATATTACGACACAGATCTGGATTTGACAAAGGCTTCTCCTACTCAGGCAGGGCGCTCTTCTGTTGGCCCATTAGCCGAGGCGTCTGACTGTCTGGCTGCCACTTTGGGCTGCCACTTAATAAATAGTTTGATGCATTATTTCTGCTTGCATTCAATCAATAAGGCAATCGACTCTGCGCCCCTTTTTTCTCTGTTTTTTTTTCTAGTGGCTTTCCGCAAAATGCTTTTAATTCAATTTTATTTCAATTTAATTGCCACATTGCCGGGTTGCTCGTTGCCTCAGCTACAGCCGCAGCCACAGCCGCAGCCGCAGCCGTCGCCAATGCCTCGGCATAGCCATTGCATATGTTCGTCTATATGGGCCTGCCTATCTCTGTCGATCAGTTCAACACAATGACTGGGACCTGGAAACGGGAATGGGACTGCGACTGCGACTGCGACTGCGGCTGTAAATGCGAGTGCAACTGACTGGACTGATTATTTCGCTCCGCTCTCGATATTATACAATATTTTCGCGTTGATATATATACACGGCATCAGCTTTGCAGTGGATTTCGACTTATTCCCCTCAAGTTTTCTATGAATTTACAATAAACAATGCTAAATGGAATGGCTGCCATGCCATTCGCATTTTGCTGGCAATTGAACTACTTTTCATACAGTCAGTTTCTCAATACGATTTATGCGTGCAGCTCATGCAGAGGCACCCAAATTGATTGCACATAATAGAAGGAAGACAACGACATTAAATTGAAATCAAATGGCCAATAAAATGGAATTTCTCTCTCAAATAGAAATAGATTTCACACGCAACTTTAAGTGCATATGTAAATGCTCGCATACATATATTGTACAGTGGCTGCCAGAGCAAGTGTAACACAAATGCACAGCAAATAAACAATGCAGGCAGCAAGCACTTCCCTACTGATAATAATGCGTGCGGGACGAGGGACGCTTTGACAGTATTAATTGTTTGTACCATTGGGCGTATACGTAATATATGACACTTGACAGCGCCTTGATGCATGTCTGATTGAGTCTGATGGGTGGCAGCACGTTTAAGAGATAAGCCCATGGCATAAGTAAGGCACACTTAAACCGACTGACCTTCAGCAGGGGCTTTGGGTTACCGCAAACATTAAATCTTCATCATAATAAAATGCAATCACATTTCTCTTCAGCTTCACAGCGTCACTGCTTCACGGCTTCTACGCTCACGATTCGCTGTTGGCTGGCGTGTGGACAGGGCGACAAATAGGGATTGGATTTACGCAGCTATAACGGCGCCATGGAGTTAACCAAACATTTGAGTTTATTGGCGTTCGCTCTGGTCGCGGTGCTGGCGTTTTATGGCCACACCACAGATGCCTGTATGTGCATGCCCTCGCATCCACAGACGCATTACTGCACCGCTGATTATGGTGAGTAGAAATGTGAGCCAGTCGAGTGCGAAGTGTAAAAGCTGCTCGCATATCCTTGGAGAATTCAATCTAAATGCCAGCGTTCCCTTGCAGTTGTGCAGCTGCGTGTGCTGCGCAAATCGAACACCATCGAGCCGGGCAAGACTATCTACAAGGTGCACATAAAGCGCACCTATAAGGTAAGCACTCGCCACTCCACGCCAAGCTCAAGAGCTAACATTGTGCTATTTCGCTTAAGGCCACACCTGAAGCTCGCCGCATGCTGCGCGATGGTCGCCTGTCCTCGCCGAACAGTGACTCCATGTGCGGCATACAGCTGGAAATTGGCAAGGTGTACATCATAGCCGGACGCCTGCCGCAGCTGAATCTGTGCAGTTACTACAAGGAATACATCAAGATGACAATCAGCGAGCGCCACGGCTTCAGCGGCGCCTATGGCTTGGCCTGCAACTGCACAGTAAGTGTCATCGAGTCGACTCCCCGCATCCAACAGCTACATTCGAATGTCTTTCAGATCAGCCCGTGCTTTGGCATGCAGTGCCTGCGGCAACGAGAGCACGCAGACGGTTGCAAATGGTCCGTGCAGGGCAGGTGCGAGCGCGACTATTCCTCTTGCGTGCCGCACAACATCCGATCGCCCATGGGCGATATACAGCATTGCCGCTGGAGACGCACGCAGCTTTACAAAAAGTGCCTAAGCTATCCGTAGAGCGCGCTCAAGGTGGAGGTGGCCATGGAATGGCTTTTGTTATGCAACAGTTTTTTATTATAATTTTATACTCGAGTTTTGTGTAGAGCTTTAATTCGTACGTTATGCTTAATGTGTTATTTATTAATGGATGGCTTTTAGATGTGACCACGATTCAATGTAGCTACTTAATTAGTAATTAGCACTTAATGTTTAATACACTTACCAAATCACGCGGATTCGGGAAGAATGTCTGCTCGATCAGCGGAAAGCCGTCGCGTCCCAGGCGCCGCTGCAGCTGCAGCAGATGCGAGAATACCCATGGCTTATCCTATTCAGAAGAAAAGAGAAAAGAACAAGCAAAGGATTTCATGCCAACTCAATGCAAAGAACAACTCCTCCTCAACTCACCTGGAACTGGTAAATGGAATGCAACGAGTTGATGCTGGGCACTCCGCCGTACTTGAGGCCCAATATTGTCGAGCGGAAATCGCTGGAGCCATCGCGAGGCGGTTGACGTATCAACACGAAATCCGGCCGAAAAGAACGGGCAACCTGTATTTGTTTTTTTTTTTTTTAATATTATTATTATTATTAATTTGAGTTGTTTTGGTGTGTGATATTCCAAAGTTACATTAGAAACACATATGAAAAGCAAAATATAATATTATAATTTTTAGCTGAGTCTTAACTAATAATTCGCAGTGTGACATAAATAAATACGAAAATCAACAGTTTAAAGCCACAGCTGAATGCATTAAATTGAACTTAAACGCCGCGTATTCTGACTTTTTACTGTCCTACGAAGGCGTCACTTAATTGCAATACAGAACTACCAACGATGCATACACGTATAATCAACATATATGCTCCGTAATTATATGTGACTGTCAACTCAGTCGTAATGCGCGCACACATGCACACACCATTACGTGCCGCGCAAATCCCTCTGGCACGTAAGCATCGGATAATTTTATCACGTTCCATATGCTGTGCATCAATTCCAGGGCTGTCGATTCATACTTTTTAGTGCATACTTTTAAGCTGAGCAAACAAATGCTTTTGGTGAAAATAAATGAAGAGTCTTGGATACTGCACTTTATGACATATTTGCGGATACTTTGTTTCTGGGTACAAATTCGGATAAACGAGTGTTACTACAATTGTGTGATAAGGTTCGAAACTTGGCTTTGAAGAAGATTTACCAAATAAAACCAGAATGTATTATTTATGTAGCATAATTTTGGGCTGAGCCAATAAATATATATTTTGCGAGAATTTATAAAATGGATGCAATCCATTACTTACGGAATACAAACTCTTAAGATGTTTGTGGTAAGGTGAAAAAATGTAATATGAAGAAGATTTATCATAGTAATGTATTATTATCAACAACATATCAACAACAATCAACCAATCTCTTTGCGGCACATGTATGGTGAAAATAAAACTTGTGCCTTGGATATGGTATCAGATTTAATTTCGAATAAATGAGTTAGATAGACTTGGATAAGGCAATATCCACCAATATTAATGTTTTTCGCAGCATACTTTTAGGGTCAACCAAAAATTACTTGTGGTGAAAACGAAGTATCTTCGAGCATCTTGACTAGCGAATAACAGCAGCATACAAAAGCGAGTAATAAAAACTAAACGAAAATGAAATATAAAATTTATTTGTGTTCTTTAAGCTTCCGTTTGAATCCAAAAAAGACTTATTTTCTTTATGAGACGCTTCAATTGTGCGCTGTTTTAGCATCTACTAAGTTGTATTATCAACTTATATCACCCAACAATATATGTAGTGAGCAATAAGTAGGTCATGGTTAAGGCACTTGCGTTTTGATTACTTGCTCAGTTGTGACCACAACAGAAGTGTATAAGTGCAGGGAGATAAATAAGCACCTCTGTGTGGACAAGTGTTGATAAGCGTAACGCTCGAGTATCCTTTAGCTGGGAAATAAATTGAACGCGTGCCTGATGGACTCTATCGTTGGCGACGTCGTTGGCTGGCCCTTATACTACTCGAATGCGCAATAGAGTGAAATGTGAGGGCAATAAAAGCAAGTATAACAAAGCTGCAAATAAACAGGCAGCTAACAACTGAATAGAGCTGACAAGGAACGAGAGTTGAATACAGAGCGGTGGCTGTCCTTTATGCTCTATAGCGCGCAGTGCACTAATTAAGTGCAAGCAGGATGGCTCCCAGGATGGGGTGTAACTCACCCGGGTGCCGCTGCGATAGGCGGCCATGGTGACGACCGGTCCGGTGTCGGCGCTGGAGACGACGGTAATGTCCTGCGGATGCACAGCAGATAATAGAGAGGGTTCAGAATGGTGTTAGTGTGTCGCTAGCTTACTCGGAACTCCGCCTGCTCCACGCGTATGTCGAAGTCGCCATGCAACCGCCGGCCGCGGAAGTACTTGGACCAGTCCGTGTTCTGATCATCCAACACCAGCAGCGTGAAATATCTGTCCTTGTTGAAGGTGGGCGCCCGCTGGGTGGCACTCTGAACCGCAGCTCCTGTATGTGTCAAGGGTTGAAAGAGATTAGCGAATAATTTCATTAAGTTTATTTTCCAAATACGACGGCACGCAGTTGGTTTTCGTGTCCATTTTGTCTACAATTTCGCTAGGTTTCATTAACGCTTTACCTCTTCAATGCATTTTTGAACACAAATGTTTCATTCGATTTGAAAACAAACACTATGGAGCTGCAAGTTTAAGCATATTTTTTGTTACATCATAAATCATTCTCAGAGAATCGATTGATTGACAGTGAGATTTTACGTTTAATTAATGCAATTCACATTCAAAATTGAGATAACGAAAAACTGAATTTATGAGGCATGGCACGATTGACGTGGAAATGATTTATTATACTCTTGTTAAGTGTACTATAGTTTGGCCATGAATTTGTGTATTGCATAGACGGAGGCAGCTCCCGACCTTAAGTCCTTATGTATTCTTCATTAGCATCAATGAACGGCAATGCAATCAATCATGAACCTAGTCGCTTGGCTATCAAGCAATTTAGCAAATCTATTGCAGGCAGTTGCCTGAATGGATTATTAAATTACTGTTTTGAAATTTAGATATTTAATTGACTATATCAGCGCCTTATCAGTGGCGTTTATAAATCGAAACTGATCTAAAGTAATATACATGGGTAATCGTACAGCAAGCTTAGTTATTTTGTACTTAAAAGTTACAACTGGATATGTCCAGCGAGCAAAATGGGTAGGGGATACCGGCCCCTCTAGTTTCAGTAGCACGGACTGAGAGTGCTCCAAGCTTATCGTTTAGGTTGGTACTCTAGTGGGATTATCAGGGTGGCTGTGGCTTATGCAGCGTTGGCGTTTCCAACGCAGCAGAGCAGTTGCTGTATGCTTCGCCCACACTGAGGAAAATTCACACAAATTGGTACCGACAAGGTGACGAGGCCTTTCCTGTTACCCGCTGTATTATATGCCTGTATAGCTGCTACGTGGCTCAACTTGCCAAAGGACACGCGCCACTTAAAATAAGTTAGAGTAATTCAGATTTATATGTACTTAAACAGAATGTAATTAAGGATTATTATAATTATTTATAGGCAATACGTACGCATATATTTGAGCTACAATTTGAAGAATGCTAACCATGACTTAACTCTATATAGTCAATTACCCTTTGGCTATTCTATTTCAGATCCTCGTGTAGTCACCGAAGTATCAGTCTATATATCTAAGGAGAGTTTCATTATATATATTTTCTAGCCATAGCATACCCAAAATGGAAGCGCCCTGATCTCGTGCGGCGCCTGTTAAGCTCTGCACGCGCTGCAAGAGACTTTCACGCGACTTGGCCGGGCTGGTAGGCGCGCTCACGCCACGTGGCGGAGCTGGAGCCGTAGTGGGCGGTGCCTTGCCAGCGCCAAAGCTTAGCGACAGCTCTGGAGCAGCGCCGGTGGGCTGCGGCGGCAGTTGGCCCGGTGCCGGCGGCGGCGGCATGTTCGGTGGGCCGCCGGCCACATGCGGCTTCGTTGGCTGGTCCTGTATAGGACGTGCAGCTGGCGGCAAGCTATTGGGATCAACATCGTCGACCTCGGAAGACAAGTCTCCCGAGCTGAATCTGCGCACGTGGCGTGGATGTGGATTAGATGTTAGTGTTTGGGTGTGTGTTGGTTGTTGTTGTTGTTGTTGTTGCGTGGATTGGTTGTGATTATCGATAAGTCGTTTCAAATGCGGGCCATTCGACAAGTAGACAAGTGAAAGGTGCAGCGCAGTTGAGTGAGAGAGCAAGATAAATATATAGAGAAAGAGAGAGAGAGAGAGAGAGAGAGAGAGAGAAAGAGAGAAGAGCGCACATTTGGCGTGGGGGAGAGAAAATAGACAAACATATGAAATCTCAAATTAGTCTCGTCCAACTGTTGCCGCCCTTCCCGCTGAGGAAGGGGGCGTTTCCTTTTAAGGTCTTTACCTTCTCTTCAGGAAATTAACATTGGAAGTGAAGCTTGATTTAAACGACGAGAAATTCAGGGTGCTGCTTTTTGGTTCCTGTGCGGCACGCGATCGAACGAAATAGAGAATACAAAGTAGTATATAGTATTTGGTTCAACTTATTAGTTAAGTGCTGCAAATTTTGGGCATTCAATAAACGAATTGTAGTTGCAGTGCATTGATTGGCATTTGCTGTCTACCACACCAAACATATCGATATATTATGTAAGCACTCTGGCAGTATGTTTGTGTTTTTATATATATGGTATATTCAAGGCAAAACGTTTAAAGCGTTACATAAACATAAAATGCAATTAAAGACTTAGGCACACTGCTCTGGCTTGAGTTTGCAATTAGGTTGCTTGGGCATCAGATGCCCGATTTCACCCCTGAGGGAGTTCCTTAGTTGGCCGTTTAATTACCGGCACACGGGGCGTATACTTGTTGGTCACTTCGAATGGAAATTCACACAGTGAAAGATGGTAAAAATCGTAAAAAAGAGAGCAAACATGCGCTCGCAATGACAGTCGCATTGCTGAGCCCACTTTCGACTGGGGGGAGCCCCAATTTCAAATTTCATATGTCATCTTGTTGAGAACACGATTAGTAAATTTCTTAAATTCTTAAATAATTCATTTGCTAGATTCGTTGCAGGTCACTTACAAGCTGCCAACTGGATATGTGTTTAGAGAGCATGAAATTGCAATGACGATTAGCTAATAGAATATGTTGTGGGTTTGACTGAGCTTGGAATGGTCGCGCGGACGGAGTAAGAGCCAAAGTAAATGAAACTCAAAAGAAATTATTTCAGCAAATGCTGAATCTTAATTAAAAAATACTCGTGTGCATAATTAACATAAAAGCTAACTACGTGCAAAAGGATAACGGCAGGATAGTAAAATTTAATTGCGCACAGCATGGCAACAGGTGCCAATACGACTGCCAGGCTGTTGCCACGGACAACTGCGGACAATGGCTGCATGGAGTGCTGCACTTTGGGCGTCTTTTGTGGACTTCGCTGGCAAATATAAAAATCAATGACGAATTCTTTGTGGCCTCTGTAGCTAGGCGCCTTGTTGTGCCCGTCAAGCATGTCAAACACTTATAGTCAAAACGCTGCTCGGCCTTCTCGTGCTGTTGGCCTTATTGTGCTCTATTTGTATTGGCTGCGCCTCTTAGGCTCAGGGCACTTGGAACTTTTCAGGCTGACATTATGGGCCAACACACGCACAATAAGCCGACAGCCCACCCTGTTTGTGGACCACTCGACGTTATGTGGGCTTCTTGACTAAGCCAAACTTTAAAAACATTTAAGCCAAACTGAAAAGCTGATAAACTGAAAACTGCAAGCTGAAAACTGAACTGAAATAATCATGGTGAAAAAATGTGATGCAATTGCTGATGCAAGGCGTGGCATGACATATGCATGTGTTTGCAGTTGTGTGTGGCTGTGTGTGTATGAGTGGCTGATGAATGCATAGATATGAGAAATGCAGAAGATGGCACTGCCTTACCGGTGGCGGGGCGCAGATTCGCCCACACCCAGCAGTTGCAATGGCGCTAATATTGACCGTGGACAACGATGGACCCGAACAGTTGGCCGGTTTTCAGTTGTCGATGGCGCTGAGCTGCTGTTCAGACGATGCCTTCCAGTAGCTTGTGTAACCTTAAGAGTCTCCGACCGACTGCTGCAATTAAAGAACAAAGAAATGGTATTTAGGTTTATTCACTCAGCCTTCGGCAAAGCAACTTTTTGACAAAGCAAAAAACAAACATTCAATTGTCAGGCAAACTCCATAAAGAAACAAGCAGACAACTCTCTGGTTGCCTCGCAAAGGACTAGCATAACTAACCGACTGCCTGACTGTCTGACAGCCTGACTGTCTGTCTGTCTGTCTGTCTAACCGACTCTGGTCGCTGCTGTTGTTGCGACCAACTCGAACGATTATTATTGTTGGTTCAATGCACTCGCCTGCCGCAAAATAGGCCAATGCATACAGCAGAAACGTAGTATGTACAAAACTGAGAGTACGAAATATTTGTAGAGAAAATATTTTACTTTTTCATAGAGCAAAAAGTTTTGCCCATGCTGAATGAATTATGACCCCACAATTTGTTTTCATCAACTCGTCGTCGACCTCGAGCCTGTCGAGCAATTTAATTGGGAATATGAAGGACAACATTTAAGCCATCCGTAAACTTTTGTTCCCCTCCTGCAATTGAAAATGTCTCAATTCTTAGCAAAAGATTTTATTATTTTAATTAAGATTTGAAGATTTGAACCAAAGCTTAGAGAAACTTAGGCAACTTGGTAGGAGTGATTAAATAAGAAATAGCCTGCCAGCCTTGCTTCCAACCTACTTCTAATACCCTCCAACACCTCTGGCGTTGGAATGTGAAAGTGAATAACCCAAGTATTAATAGTCCCATCTTAAGCGAATTTCTGTGTATACACAAGGCATTCACTGCTTATAATTAGCTTATATTTTATTATACTTTGAAAACTGAAAATTATTTTATTTTTAGAAAACCTAGCGAAACCCCGAGTCTTGCCTATTTGATACTTATAAAATGAAATGAATGAATCATTGAAACTAATGATAAGATATCTTGTGCTTTACATATACATAAAGTTTTAATTTAATAATCTAATAAGTTAGCTTTGAAGTTTTCTAGATTAACACGGAAAAGACTTTTTGAAAGAGAGACGAACGTGCAGACTGTCGGATCGACTCACGAAGAATATATATCTAGCTATCTAAAAAGAATATATAAACTTTTTATTAAGTCGCTTAAAACTATTGTCAAGTTGAAGTTGTCTTCAGCACATTACAAATAACTGCATTAAAAAGCAAAATATATTATATCAATATATATTTATATAAACTCGTGTAAACATGTTCAAGCATAAGCTGATGCGCATAAAAAATCAATTCTGAAGTGACGCGCTTTGATATTATGCACATATTTTGAGGAAAAATATTCTAGAAATCCAAAGCAAATATTCAAATTATTTCCCTAAGCAGAGCATACTTCACTTCTGACTAGTTTATGCACTCTGTGTAGGACAAGAGAGCATATCCACAGAGCAACAAACAGCTGAGCACATATGAAATAAATATATTGAATGAACTCTTATTAAAGCAGAGTTTAAGATACAATTTATATATTATATATAAACTAAATACTTTAAAATTTAAGTATTGAGAAACAGAAATGGATTCATTTCACCTGTACGTGAAATAAAAATCAAATAAAAATAGCACAATTAAAGCTAAAACATATGACGATAAAGTTGTAGCTCGCAAATATTGTACTGGCCCAGTTTGTTGGGCCTTCGCTCAAAAGCTTGAGTGACTTAAGGTGTGCGTGTTACAAATTGACACAAAGGCCTTAGGCGCTACTTGGTCTGCTACGTATGTCCTTGGCAGGCTCTAATGATATGTACATAAATTGAAATTCGTTAGACAGCGGAATGGGAACGGGAAGGGGAATCGGAAGGGGAATGGGACTCGGAATTGCAAATATCAAATTTACAGGGTCATAAAATATGCATAATGCTTGGATTCGGACAATGTAGGACTTGCATTTATGGTATAAGCTCTCATGATGGGCAATTCGAAGCTGGCGACATTACGCATACGCCATATAGTTCGGCAATGGCGTCACTGAGTCTGCTCTGACGTTTATTTGTGCCACATTCGCGTGGGCGACCAACAAACAGCTCACAGACTGTGTGAGTCTGCTCGAGTCTGTGTGCATGTCTCTGTGACTGAAGCTGTGCAAGTGCCGACGTTGCTCCTTTGCCGCTCCTTTCACCACCGAGACCCACTTTCTCGCTCGCTCATGCACGCGCTGCTACAAATGTCAAAGGTGACGGATGACTGTGCCAAATAAACGAATTCGGAAGTCGAATGTAGCTGGTGGCAAGTAAGCTGATATTGGTCATGGATGTTTATTGTTTAATGCAGCGTCTCAAATTGTTTGCTGCACGCAAACTTGGCCTACGCAAAATAATACAGTCCGTGATGAATCAGAGTTTATATTTGTATCTTTTGATTGCTTACATAACAGCTGCAGAGGCCATAGAATAGAAGCCAACAATTTTCATTAGACTTATTAAAGGAATTCCCATTTGTTGCATAGCTTGAATATCTTAACTTTCGTAATATCTAAACTGTTGCCCTCACACACTGGAAATCAGATACTCTGACGCCAGCTCGTCTGCCAGTGGCTGTGGTATGCGCAATTTGAAAAATTTGAGAACTCATAACCCAGCTTAACATTCCAACAACTTTTCTGGTAGTCAGCTGAAAGCTGTGCTTCAAACTCCATTACATCGTTTAGCTCCTTGATGGTTGTCGATTGCGGCTCACAATCCATCAACTTTGCCACGGGAGGGCAATGCCAGTGGCAGTGGCTACGGCTCATATGAAAGTTTTTCTCGACTCGCTGCATACAAAGTATTAAGTGACAGGAGGTGAAGTGAGGCAGGAGCCGTGGACTCATTATACCGTTGCCGTAGCAAAAAAAAAAGCGAAAGATTGCCGCAAACACCTGCAGCCACATCTAACCCATTTTCAGGTCGCATTTCCTCTTCTGACAGTTTAGCTGGCATTTGCGTTCGGGTCATGTGGCGTTGGCTGCTTCAGCAGGCCATAAACGAGCGGTTTAATGTGCTTTCAATGGTAATTAAAAGAGAAAAAAAACTTACAAAAATGTGACACAAATGTGACACCGCTTGCGGCAGAGGTCAAAGACTCGCAAGCCAAAAAGCAACAGCAAAATGTGGCTTAAAATACGCAGGCATGCGTATGTGTGTGCGTGCGTGTGTGTGTATCTTCTGATAAGCTTAAGTACAAACTGTTATACGTTGCATACTTCTGGGCTGTTTTCTATAAATACTCTTTCAACGCTAATGTTTGTTTACTGCTCTAATTAATATTTGCTGTCTTGGAAATTAGCAAAGCATATTATAAATGCACAAGCAACTCCCATCTCCCCGTCTCTCTTCTTCAAATGCTTTCCTCTCACGCCCATTATCCCTTAAGCGTGCTGCCTTCACAGCGGGTTTGTGGGTTAGCAGGTTGCCAATCCGTGGAGACGCAATCCAAACGCTTTAATCGCTCAGTGCTTTTTGTTTTGCGTCTAATTCAATAAAACGCCTCTGCCTCAGCCTCTGCCTCTGTTTAGCCTTTGCCTGGGGTTTGTTGTTACGGCGTCTGTCTACACTTATCACACACACACACACACACTCTTAGCTAATACAAAAGATACACGCACACGCTGCTCGTCTGACTGACTTAGTGATACAGAATTTTTTACCGTTTTTCGATTTTTGGCAGTTCCCAATTCCTTTGGGCCTGAGAGTTGCACCTTTTGCTTGGCTGAACTGTGCAGAGGAATTCACACTGATTTTTCGTAATAGAGTGATTAATTTTTTGATGAAATAACCGAGTGAGCTTTGGGGCAAATTTAGAGATCAAAAAACACAAAAATGATTTTTTTAATTTGGCTATGAAATTTCGAGCGCACAATGCAAAAAATAGCTGAACTATCAACGACGGTGATGAAATTTTCACTGAGCGTCGAGTCGAGTTGTTATATATTAATTTCCCACCAAAATGCTATGTGTAACGGTGTAAGAGAGTGGAATCCACTGAGAGCAGAAAGAGCAGAAAAAGAGAGAGAGAGAGTTTCAAAATCTTAGAATGACAAACTAATTTTTTATTGAAATATATAAATCTTGAATTTGTATTTGAGTTTCGCATTATTGTTCAGCGTTTACTTAACGAATTTCCGTCAAGTTATTTGTAAAGTATTATTATAATTGCTGATAAAGTTATACATTTCCGTTATTTCTTCGGAGTTAATCAACACTGCCTCAATTTTCTGCTCTCTGAGCTCTGTTGCCCTCGAGGGGGCTACGGCGCATGCGTCTGATAGTAAACCTGCGGGAGTATCGATTCATTCAAGTCTTCTTACTAGCAACCACCGTCACGCACCCACACACACACACATTCGCACACACGCAGACACACACAAAGCCAAACGCACGCACATGTGCTTTGTTTTTATCAGCAAAGAGCATAACAGTAACGCTATGAATGATATAAGACCAAGTGAGCGCCTATGGCTGAACCATTTTTGAACAATCTGGCAGCACGATGCGACCATGGCCAACAGCAGATACGGATGAGATACCAAGTGAACGAAAGATGTGGCCAAAAAGCGAGACATGAAAAAATGTCTGTGTGTAAACACAAAACAACAAAATAATAAAAAAGCCACAGCAAAGAGCACAGAGCGAAGAGCTCAGAGCGCAGTCAACAACAACAACATAAACTAAAGCTACAACAATAACGAGAACGGACAGCAATGGAGCGGCAACTAAGCTCAATGCTAACTCAACTTGGAGCCAGAGCATCCAAAGCGAAGGCCCCACGCTCCCAGTTTCAGTCCCAACAAAACTCTCGAGCCGTAAAGTTGTTGCAAACGTGTCACACGGAAACTTTCAGTTAAGCGCGTAGAACAGCCTCGACATAAACAGTTTTTAATAATTTGTGAGTGCAGCTAGTAAAATTTAATTAACACAAATGCTTAAAAAGAAACAAACAAAAAGTTGTTTTTTTTACATTTCAAATAACAATAAAATCGCCCAAAAAACTTGTTGCATAAACTTGTTTTCACGTGCTGCTCGTTGCCAACAGTTGCTGAAGAGCGCAACAACGGAGTGAATGAAGTAGCATTAGTTGAAACACTTTGCATAAATAAACAAAAACAATAAATATTTATACGAAATAAAACAAACGGCAAATTTCATGCGAAAAAAACTTAGGGGAAATAACTTTAGGAAATGATAAATATTAATAGAAAAGCTCGAAACTCGCGCGATCAGCTCTTCGCACGCTGATCGACGCTCTTAACTTGGCTTAGACTAAGCTAAGCGTTTCTCTTCGTTGCGTGTTTGTTGTAAGCCAATAGTTAACAACTGCTGGCCAAATGTTTTTTACGTCCTATTGCATAAATTCAGTTCACGCTGCATAAATTACAAAAACTTTGCACTCGCTGTGGGCTGTTTGCCGTTGCCGTTGCTGTGGCTGTGGCTGTTGCTGATCAACATTTACCCTTAGGAATTATTAATAATACACTTTAAAGTTGTTTCTATATATTAGCTAAAACACTTTTGATACTCCACCACATTGTGTCACATACATACAGGTTTTTTTTTTTTAATGACAATGCGATCTCATGACGTAAGCGCGCTCTCGGTTGACTTTTTTCTGTGAGTCTGCGAGTCTGTGAGTCTCTTATAATGCGCGCCAATTTATTATTGGCATTTATTTATTGTATTTTTGCCAGAGCTCCAATTGGCATGCCATAAATTCATATGAGTATCGCTGAAAAACTTGTTTCGCACACTAATTCTCATTGTTTCATTTGAAACGATTTGCGAAGCTTTTTCCGTGAAAACAAGCAGCTTCATTTTAAAGTTTAATGCGCCGCTCCCCAGATCAATCAGGTCGGGGTCGCTTTTAGTTTTTCAGACAAGAGAAAAAGGCAACGCGAAATTGAAAATGAAATCGTGTACGTGAGAAGCAAATGCGTAGCTTGTGGCCCACATTGCCGCACATGTTCCAAAGATAAAAAATCATATTAAAAGATTAGAAATTGATGTAGCCGGGCCAGGCCCTATACACTTGTGTCACGTTTGCGTACTTCAAATTTCCTAGAAAGTTATGGCTACAAAACCACAAAATCTCAAAACGATCTGAACTGCAGCTGTGCCGTTGAAAGCGAGGCAGTAAACCGCAGGAAATCGTCTATGGTTGGCTCTGTCGGCAGGGCAATTGTTGAAAGCTCGCATTGTTCTCGCATTGACTCATCGTCTGATGAGCATTTGAAAAACACAAAAACAACATCGTCCACAACCACATCAATAGCAATAGCAACATGTTGAATGAGTAATTTGTTATGAACTGCAGCTGGGAGCAGCTGTTAAGCTGCCAGCTGCGTGAGGCGCATGAAATTTGCCATAATTTGCAATAACAATTTGTAGCGTGCTTGATCAACGACTTTTTGCAGTTGCCAAAAGGATAAGGCTCATACGGCGCCACAACACAACACAACACAAAAGACTTAGGCAACAAACGTGCCCCACAATGACAAACCACACAAAGGAAGCTTGCGGCTCCCGTTCGAGCTGGGCGGCATTCTGGCTGCTCTTCAGCGCTCTGCTAGTCACACAGGTAAGTTAATACCAACAACTCACACACACACACACACACACACACCGAGGGCTGTGAGAGTGGAAAAAGTAGACAATTATAAACCGTCAAATGGCGCGTAGTTTTCTTCCATTTCACTTTTCATTTGCATACAATACTGTTCTGGATGGGCCAGGCATAAAAACGAGGTTAACCGCGGGCTCTGACATTACCGCTGACCATTTTCATGGCGCACTCGTCGTTAGCTCGCACAAACAACATTCGCTGCGGGCACGTGAATTTTCCACGGCAATTTTCCAGGCAAGACAAATTAATGAACTGTGCTGCGGCCGCAGCTGCGCCAGTTGCTCAGTTGTTCAGTTCGTCAGTTCATCAATAGCCGGCAATAGGCGGCAATTCAAGCGACTTGCGCGCTTGTACTTATTTTTCACTTCTCAAATGTGCCACTGACCGAAATCTTAGCTTTTAACTTTTACCAAACAGAGGTTCTACTCGCCAGCCCTTCTGCCTTCTTCCCCTCAGGGCAATTTTCAATTGTTAGCGTTCGGCCGAGAAATGCTTTGATTTCGTTTTCGGCTTATGAAATGGCACAAATCTGTTAAAGCGACAGCTGCAAAGGCTTGGCATCAATTGAAATTGGTCCAAGCCGGTCTTTAAGCAGCTGCATGTGCCCCATCGTCTGGTCGTAGTTGTTGCAGCTAGTTAGCTTTCAGCTGCGATGGGAAGGCTAAGAGCAAAGCAAACAAAAATTTGCTATCGGCCGCTGGCCATTATTGTGGGGCTTGGCCAATTGATTGACAGCTAAAGATACAAAACTTTCAGTTTCTGCATATGCAAAGACACATTGAAGCCACTATTTATTGATGTCAGCGGGCGCCTAAAAATGACATCATAAAACATAAAGCACATAGCGCATAGCACATGCGCCCACGTGGGGCGTCAGCTAGGCGCTGGGGCTTGGCAACCACAAGTGGCTAAAAACGCTGCCTACAACTGAATGCAAAGCACAACAGCGAACAACAACAGCAGCAATGAATAAAAGCAACAACAACAACAGCTATTTACCTTTTAGTTAGCTCTGGCTAATGCAAAACTCAGAGAACCTTGAAGCAGAAACAACGGCAAACAAACGCAGCGAAGCAGCTTTGATGAACACGATCAAGATGATGAAGATAATGAGGATGATAAAGATAATGATGATGCTGATGAAGGGTTTGCTGTTCATTATGACAGTTTGTTTGCTAATGAAGATTATAATATAAGTTTACCGACTTTGAGACTGCGTATACAAGTTTTAAGACATCCACACACACGCACACACACACACACACATGAATGGGTGCATGTTGAATATCTGTTAAAATTGAAATTTTTAGCTACCTTACGGTACTTTTGCTGTTGCTGCCGCTTTGCTTTTCACACTCATTAAGTAACAAGCGAACTTGCGTTTTCTGTTTAAAGCCACAAAAGGTTGTTCACACGACGGCCAAGAGACCAAGAAATATTTGGACATGGGCAAAAGTATTTAAAATGCGCCACGCATGCGACAACTATCGACCATGTTATTAAATATAATTGTCGCCCCAATGTTAATACAATACAATTATTGACTTGCACATTAGCAAAGTTTAGAGACATGTTGTTGTTGTCGTTGTTGTTATTATTATTATTGTTGTTACGAGCCATTAAAATCCATTTCAATGTCATAGCTGACAAAATATGCTAATTTTCGGAGAGACTCATACACATACAGACATATGTTATTATATATATAATCACATATGAATAGCTGCTATACTATGCGTGTGTATTAAGCATGTCGTCATATTGTTCGAACTGTTGTTGCCCGCTAAAGTCGAAAAGGTAACAAAAATCAACAACAACAAAAAACAGACAAAAGCTATTTAAGATCTTGCGTATTTGGTCAGAAATGACGCGTTGTATTTGACCGCAAATAGCTGCACGTTAGCAGCAGGTAAAGCCATCGGTGTTTTGCATTATATATATCTATATTCATATGATAATAATGATATTCAGATGACAAATGCTTGCACACATATTAATATATCTGTATTCACTTGGCAAGCAAGCGCATGTCTTACAAATGTGAATTAAAGTGAACTACGTCTATATAGTTCCTATGGCTGTAAACATATACATATACTATATTATTCATTTAAGAATGTCGCACTTCATACCTGGAATATGATTCATTGCTTATTTCAGAGAATTGTTTTCTGAGTTTTCAGCAGCTACGCTAACAAAAGACTTAGGCAACAAACTTGTTGATTGTTTCAGATGTCTTGATTGAAGCTCTTTCATCCTAATTTATTTTTATGTATGTCTTTCAGCTTACGAAACGGTAAACTCTAGAACAGCTAGGCATTCATAAAAATGTCGACTAGCTCACAGTTGGGTCAGTTTTTAGTCTTAGTTTATGTTTTTGGAGCTTTGGAGTTCCGAATGGCAACCATAGAATGCAAATAGAATATTTGTGATGCACGCCATTATGCTCCAATTAGCAGCCGGGTAGCCAGGTTTTCTTCGTTTTGGACTCGCATCTAATCATAACTCGACCGCAATATTGTGTGCAATGAAGTGAACTACCCGAGGTGCACCTCACTGGATTGTCATGTTGTCATACTCGTAGTGGAACTAACCGCCGGCTGGACTGGGGCAATTAGAAGAGCAACCAGTTTCTATGCCGCACGCAACCGCCACTGGGTTAGTAGTGTGTCTGCGTCTGGAGACGATGTGACTAATACCGGTGCAGGTACAGGTACAGGTACAGGCACTGCTATAGGCCAGGAAGCGTTGTCGATGGCCATTCCCATTGGGTTGCCCAGCTGGGTGTGCTACGCAGTTAGATGCCAACTGCTGACCATAATTCTCACAGAATAACGCAACAAAATGAAAAATGTAAAGCGGCCTAAACAAGAAAAAAGCATGTTTATGTCATGCCAACAAAACTGGCCACGAAATCTATTGGCCTGTAGCATTCTGAGTTGACGCAATTTAACGCCGCGTTGACTTCGAGTGCAAATTATTTGTTTACTGGCCACTCGCCAGTCGCCAATTGCCAATTGCCAGTTGGCAGTTGGCATTTGCTAGTTGCCTGTTGTCAGTCTAGCGTAAAATACATTAAAATTTATGCAAAGCTCTTGGCATATTGGGTCATCATCAGCAGCAGCAACAGCAGCAACAACAGCAGACGCAGCAGTTGGTTCTCAGCAGTGCGCCATTGAGAGAAAGTTCTTTCTTTTGTTTGGCTTTGGTTAGTAGACTTCATTATTTGATTAGCTTGCATTGTTTACGTTCAGTGCAGTGCGCACTGCTCTGCTTCTGCTCTTACCACTCTTTTCGGCCATGTCACTCAACGCAGCAACAACAATTTAGCATTGATTTTTTTTCTGAGCTGCGGTAAAAGTGGGTTTTATTTGAAACGAATAGTAAAACCATTTGCCAGCTGCATTTTTGTGAAATTTTCATTGGCCCATGATTCGAGCTTCTGCTCCAAAAGTTGTACGACCAAAAGAAGCAGCGGACGAACTGTCTTTGACATTTCATGGCAGCTCGGCTTGCTTGGCAAATGATGCGCCTGGAAAGTGGCGTTTTTGAAAATTGCTCAGCGCTGGAGGGTATGTCGGAAAAATGGAAAATGGAAAATGTTGCACAGCCCAGAAGCCTAACAATAGCTCTTTCGTGCATTTAAGTGCTGAGTAAACAATTGCAATCCATTAGGGAAATTAATAAACAAAATGTCTAGTGTTTTGAGCAGAGTTTCATGCGCATCTAAATTTTTGAACAAATTTCACACGAGCCACAAATTGCATCAGTATCTGAAATATTGACGACTAACATTAATTTAATTTAATCAGTAACATCTTGATAAATGAGAATTAAAGGGCCCAAAAATATGGAACAATTATAGTAAGAATTTTCGGCTTTTTCCCAGCTGTATTGTTATTGGGCTAAGAGGGTTATGGCCGAGATAAATTCAATTAAAGGCAGCTTTCAAAGCATTTTAGCCCATTTCTACTACACGTCAAAAGCAGCGTGATGCCCTCAGATAATCGCCTTGGCAAAGAAAGTGCTGGCCATGCTCATAAGTGGCTGCATTTGATGGAAAAACCATTAAGCTAACTTTTCTTCGGCTACTGTTAGACGAGAAGAACGCCAACTGGGGCTGGCTCCGGGTACAAAGCCACTCGAAAAGCAACAATTAGTAAAACACATAAATAAGCAACAACTGTCCGCGGCGCATGACATGTTCTATGGATTTTTTTGCTGTGTGTCTTCTTCTTGCTGCTTCTTTGTGCATCGTTTAACAGTAAGAAAAAGCTTGAAGACTTTTTCTTCATGGCGCAGCAGCAACAAAAGGCCATACATAAGTGCTTATTATTATATTAGTGCTACGACAGCGTAAAAGCCATACAATTGACCCCAGCATGTGTTGAATGGGGCTGTGCTCCGGGCACCGAACAACGACAGCGACAGTGGCAGCACCAGCAGCCTCTATTCCGAGTTCGGGTCCGGGGGCCTAGGTCTAGGTCTGGGTCTGACTCTAAGAACGTGCATGATGGGTACGTGCCATGAAATTAGCGCGTCAGCGCCAAAACTTCAATGGAAGAGTGCGCCAACAATTGAAATTTAATTGTGGCAAACGCCTCAATAATTGCAACTCAGATTTTTAGTACACAGCAGCAGAGTTAGATCGCAGTCAGCTCATATTATATAAGCTGGACAGCAGCTACAGCCTGAGCCCAGGCCTGTAGCTTCATTAAGCTTTTGGCCAGGCCCAAAACACTCGATACCAACATAAATACTGCCTACTGCGACTGTACAGCCGCTATGTAATGTGATCTGCGAGCGCTTAAACGGCAATTTATGCGCTGCCAGCTAAAATACCGTGACAATTTGCAATCAGCAGCGGCAGCCAGAGCAGCAGCAGCAGCGGCTTGGCCAAGTTGGTGACTGCGATATACGAGTGGCCCGGCTGGTCGGTCTGGGGCTTTATGTTATAATTTACTTGGCAAGCTTTATTACTGCACGGCTGCATAGCGGAAATTCAAATGCACACAAAATATGTTAAGGCGCACAGCCCCTTGTGCCACCCTCCCCCCAACCCCCATCTCCCCGCCCCTCCTCACCGTTCTGGAGGCCGTCTTTTGTTATGCACGAGTTTCGTTTTGCTTCTAACACAAGTTGTTGTTGTTTTTCCGGCTTCAGCCTCAGCTTTAACATTAGCGAATTTATTTGGCAATCAGTCGAAAATATGCACAGCTGGCTGCAATCGCCTATTCGCAGTTCAGACTCTGGCGATTGTATCGCTTAACAACTATTGCGCAATATTAATGTTTTCCAAAAAGCCAGCCAAAGGAAACACACCCAACCGCAATATGCTTGTGCATGTGTGTGTGTGTGTGTGAAGTCTGGCCACAATTTAACTTAAATTAGTTGTGCATATAAGATGCAAGCTAACTTTTAGACTTTGTCCTGCGAACAGCATTGCAAATTTGTTGCATTCTGAAGGTTGAAAATTTATTACAATAATTACAATACTTAATTAGTGTAACATAAATATTATTATTTTGTACTTTTGTTCAAATTCAAATGGCTTTTGAGCTCAATACTGACTAAATTGATTATTTATAAATTTTTAGCTTTTATATATTTATAACTTTTACATTCATTCGTATATTAATTTAATTGTTATATTAATTACTCTCTCAAAATTTAATAATTCTAGCTAAATTTTAAATAACTATGAGCATTTTTTGGATTAAAATAATCTTGCTAAAATAGAAGAAGAGCAATTGTAAGTGCGATAGTCAAAATTTCCAACTGGTCGAAACTGATCAACTGATCAAAGTTGATAATATTTAAATTTTTTTTTGTTTTAGTTTGAGCGATATGCACTTTAAAATGTAATTTTTATTTTATTTTTTATTTCTTGGTTAGTATCAAATAATCGTAGTACAAAATGTATATTTTATTAACTTTAATTTAAAAGTGTTAACTGCGCGACTTAAAGAACTCAAATATAGTAAAGAATGGAATAAAAGATCAGCTGCTAGACTTAATTTGCATCCATTTAAAATGGAAATTAAAAATATAATGTGAAAGGTAAACAAACACAATAGAGTATAAGTATTCTTTAGCCGGATTAAGAGCTCGATCTGTCTCTCCGTATGTATGAGATACCTTATGAGAGATTTTTAGCACACAAGAGCGAGATGCGTGTATAATACTCTTAGATTAGGTTTATTTTAAATCATCAAGTTTTCCATCTTACTAAATTTTGTAAAATTTAACACGTTAATACTTGAAATACCGAATACTTTATCTGTTTAATATGTCAGTTAATTGTCTTTGAAAAATACATTTTAGATCATAAGCTAAAATTTTGCCCCATATACGTAGCTTGGATCTCAGATCGAACTGTGAGATCAGTTAAGATTCTATTGATTTTGAAAACAAAACTCATGTTTACCTATGTATTTCACTCGAGCACTGTCGCCTGTAGCTCTCTTTGGGGATCTTTAAGTGTAGGTCTGCATGATTCCGCACCACTCAAAAAATGTTTATAGCAAGCTGTTTGTGGGAGTTTTTCTGAAATAACTACAGATTTCAACTCTTGTAAAGCTTCTTGCAGCTTTGTCATTCTTTAGCACTTAATTGCCGCCTCTCTGGCAAAACTTTCTATTACTAATTGCGCACATTTCTGTTCGTAATAGTAAATAGTTAAAGCCGCGTCAGATGATTTTGGTTTATGGCAACAGCGTTTGACCCCTTGCAGCAAAATAAATTAGCTCTGGGCCGAGCTTAATGGGCCGGCCAGGCAACCCAGCCAGAATAGCTCCAGCTGGAGGTGGCTCCAGCTGTGCGTGGCTGGGGCTGGCACTGATTTCGATACGATTTACATGCGCTGCGGCCAAACAAGTTTGTGTTGCAAGTCTTTTGTTTCGCCAGTAATCGCAGGCCGAAAGGAATTTTATGAAAAATCACCCAAGTATCCTGCGGCTGTGGCTGCTGCTGCTGCTGCAACTCCAGCTCGGCAGTGGCTAATGACTGAGCACATGAGCCAGTCTAAATCCATCAAAATCAAAGCCTGGGCTCATTGGATTTAATGGTCGCTGCTGAGCTGAGCTGAGCTGAGCTGGAGCAATAGCTCTGGCTGTGGCGTGACTGACAGCGCAAGTGTCTAATTGTGTTTGAGATTTTCGCTTTTTTAGTGTTTGCGATTTTGTTTGAACTTTTTTCTCATTTGTTTTTGTTTTTGTTTTATTTTTTTGGAATTTGTTTGTATGGAAAGTCAGCAACAATCAGAGCGTGTTGCATAATACAAAGGCCAACAGCTGGCAACAATTTTTGTTTTGCGATTTTAACAAGCCCAACGATAGCGAAACGAGCATGCAAAAACAATTTTAATTGACTAGCTCCGGCTAAGGTACTGCAGCTCGGCAGCTCTGAAGCTCTGCAGTTCTGCGGTCTCCGTAACTGAATGTAAAATGCAAAATTCATACAAAACAATTGCATTTTGTCAAGCGACAAATTGTCATGGGAGTTGCAGTTGCAATTGCAGTTGTAGCTGGATATAAAATTGGAATTGCATTTTAGCTACGTGCTGTATGTGACCCTCGAGCGTTGGCAGCGCGCATTGAACTGCGCCGCCAAAAGATGTGGCTATATATACATATATATATATATATATATATATATATATATATATATATATATATATATATATATATATATATATAATTGCTAGCACGCAGACAAAGGAAGCGAACAGCCTTTAACTCGGTCTGTGAGTTGCAGCAGCTCTATAAATTCCTTTTGCGATGCAAAGTGGACGTTCTAGTTGGCATCAAGCACCAAAGTAGCTTAGAAAGTGGCACACTGGCCAACATGTTTTTTGGCATACACACAAGCTGCAGCAAAAAATTGGGTCGATTCGGAGCTGCATTTCACTTGACGCACAGTAGCCGCACACTCTGGCTCTGTCCGAGTCGTAAAAGTTTTAATGACTGGGCAGTTGCAGTTGCAGTGCAGTTGCCGAATTTGCTGTTGCTCGGCTTTGAATGAATGCATCCGAAATGGATTTCTCTGGTCACCTTTCGAAAGTAAATACACATAAATCAATGGGGCATGTCAGGCGTAGGGAATTGTTTTCGGCTTTTGCTAGACAGGCGCTGCCTGAGGGCCGACTCCCAAGAACGTGATCAGAGCTGGCCGAAAAGCCAAAAGCTAAAAGCAAGAAAATCAAGCGGACTCAGTGCGATTGTCATGACATGACTTACTTAACTTTTGTGCTGCTTATCTAGCGCCTACGGTCGGGAACTCTAGTTCCAGCTTAGCTTTGCCTTTTCAATTGGCTGGAGCTGGAGCACAAATTCAATTATCACGACGACGCGATGGCAACCGAAGTCGAGAGCATGCCAATAAATTATCTTCAAGCCAAATGCCTTGACAGTGCGCGACTGGAGTTTGAGCTGGACCAGAAACTGGCCCAAAACGTGCAGACCGCTGTGGCCGCCAAAGAACTCAAATTCAAACACACATAGCCAAACGCGCCTCGATGGCAGTAGGTCTAAGTTCCAAGCTTTCGAGTCGGCTGCCGTTGCCGCTGCCTTTGCCTCTTGCAATTAATTGCGACTTTTGCTGACTCTTTGGCTAACCATTAAAATTAATTAGAATTCTCGTGTTCTTATGGCTTCCCATGCTTACCCAATGAGTTGGCTAAAAACGTCTACCATCTTACTGTCATGTGCGTTCCCAGGGTACCTAAAATAGGTCATAGTTATTAGCGAAAAAAAAGAGAAACAAAACCAAAACCTAATAGCACTTTGTTCTCTCCTTTCACAGATAGCCGCCGCCCAGGACCCAGCGGCGGTGCCCGGCGAGTTTGCCCCCCATGTTACAGCCACTTGTAAGGCGGGCACCATGAACATCAAGGTGAAGTTCAGTTCCGGCTACACAGGCGCCGTCCATGCGCGGGATCATCGCACACAGCCCTGCATGGCCATGGGCGATGGCAGCGACGCGGTCGCATTCAGCCTCAACCTGTGGGCCAAGCAGGGAGCGCCCGACTACTGCGGCATCTTGGTCAGCAACGTGAGTGGAAGCAATGTAAGTATAACCAATCAGCGCTTCTCTAACCATATTAACGACTAAGATCTATAAAAAAAAAACACGAGCATATCATTTATTTCAGCTGTAACAAGATTAGTTGGTTATGAATCGAAGCACAAATAATTATTAAGATGTGAGAGCAGAGATTTTATTAGCTCAAAGTGTTTGTTAAGACCAACTTTAGATTCTACTCATCAGAAGAATAATTATAATGTTTGTTGACTTTATTATTGTCAAAGACAAATGATAACCCAAATTAAGTTTATTCTTTACAACTATGCCCAACTAGATGATACCCTGCCCCTGCATATATAGTCTTGGGTATATAAAAGAAGGCACGCGTACTTTGCTCTTCTGTTATTAGTCCCAAACTATTTGCAGTCATATAGCAAAGACTTTCACACATATATATATATATATATATATATATATATATATATATATATATATATATATATATATATATATATATATATATATATATATATATATATATATAATATATATATATATATATATAATATATATATATATATATATAACAGATATTATAAAATGTAGCTTCAATAGTTTCTGGTAATTGCTGCTGGACAAGGTAATCCGGATATAGCAATGCAGCTAGTTTTATATATATTTCATGAGACAGTTTTGGATGTTTGCCACACACAGGAATAGTAACTAAGTTATTATGCCTTTATTACCATTATTCTGCGACTTAGAAGTACAGTCATAAGCCAGGGATCAAAGCCCTTGCAGCTTTTTAGATACAGACTAATTAAAGGCTTCATGCAGAAAGCAGTTAATAAATCTACGCTATCAAAGAAAAGAGCAGCCTTAATGTGAAATAGTGAGATAAGAGGTATCTCATAGTCGTGCCTGGCTTGGGCTTGAGTGTGCTTAGCACAAAGACCTTGTCACGGGCAAGGGCTGGGACACGCATGTCCATAAATTTAAGTGAGTCTCGTATCTGGTGTACTTGGCTCTTGGCCCCAAATCAAGGCAAATCAGCAACAGCTGCGACGCAAGCGACGACGGCGACGACGACGTTGGCAACGACTAGTCGTCAGTCTATATAGTAACGATGGCCATAAAAATCAAGTTTAATCCTACGTGCATCACGGGCGTTGACAGGCGGCGGCTGCGTGTGGGTAAGCAGCCCCCAAGTTGAACAATGGCATACAAAGGCAGTCAGAGCCCAGGCAGAGCCATTAGCATTAGCCAGCGCCATATGAAAGTAGATACCGCAGATATAAATACGCATATGTGTGTGTCGTGGTGTGTTTCTATGAAGCGCTCATAATACATGTTGAACAGTGTCGAAATGCAAATTATCAGCTTACGCGTCATGTTCAAAGTTTTGAGCACGTGCGAGCGAGTACAACATTATTAATTGCAATGTCAAATCGCCAGGCTGCGCCCTGTATCCCAATTTTATAAATAAACTCTGTCTGGTAGTCTCAGAATGCCTTGGCAGGCTTACCTGCATATGCATAGGTGTAGCACACTCATTTCAGCGCTACAGCTTAGAGCTGTGGGCCCACCTTCCGTTTGCGGGCCAAAAAAAAAGGGAGGTCCCCCATAAAATTAAATCACGCTTATCGCGACGGCAGCTTTGGTTTCATTTTAGCTGCGTCTGTTGGACAGCGAGTATGATATGAGGGACAGGGTGAGGGTGGACAGCTGAACAATTGAACAACTGAACAACTGAAGAAGTGAAGAACTGAAGAACTGTGGCCTGGGAGTGTCGACTGCGCGCCGGCGTCTAGTGCGGCCTAGGCCGACGACGCTTTACAGACAGTTCACATGCCCAGACAAGGTTTTCCACGCTTCAGCTTTGACAGCATTCCAAGCTGATGTTGTTGCTCGAGTTGTGTTCTGTTGTTCTCGTTGTTCGGCGTGTGCGCGGTATTTGTGTCAAAAGAATTTTTTGTGTCTACTCAAAGCTCTCGAGCAATTTTGATTCTATTTCTTGGCAAATATTTTCGTACGGCTTTAATTGCTTTCGAAATGCCTCGACTTTGGCTGACCTTGGCCCTGCACTCCAGAGCCTGAAGTAGATCCTTATACCCAAGCCAAAGCTAGAGCTCGGCTCCAGCCTCTTTGGAGCGCCGTAATCTCACTGATTTGGTTTTTATGGCAAAGCCCTCGCATTGCCGTACTTGGCAAAGCATGAAATTGGCGCTGACAATGGCAAGACGCCCAAGCCGCGGCAAGCCAACAATTTAACTTAAAGTTCAAGTTGTTATTGCTGCCATTGTGGCTTAAGTTTTATGTACTTGAACCCATTTTGTACACCGCGAGTGGGCATGCGGCAGACTCGCAAATTGTTTGCCATTATTTTATGATGGGTGTTATGGTGTGTTCTCCGTGCAGCATTATTATAATCATCCGAATGTTAATTGCACAACACAAGCAGCAAATCTTACGCCAATTTACTATTAAGTAATTTTCAAAATATGGCCTCAGAGCTTAGAGCTCTGCGCTGAGAACTGTGCGCCGAGCCGCAGCGCATATGGAAAACTCTGCGCCAGTAATTTTCTCAACTTAAACTTGGTTTGATAATAACTTGATAATGAGCCCATCCGTTGCTGATGCTGCCTCTGCAGCTGTAAGCTGCTCGGCAGTTAATCGCTCGACTCCAGTCCTCTCGAGTCTGATGCACGAGCTGGCCAACAGATTGTGACACAAATGGCCACGCTCGATCTCTAGCTGAATTGATATTATTTTGCAGCTGTGTCTGAGGTATTTATCGAGTGTTTATTTGCTAACAGCTTCTACTAATGCCGCAACTACTCACACACACTTATATACATACTTATCTAGTTTCTTGACTTCATCAACTAAAATGCACTGATCCCAGTCGAACCGTAAAAGTAAAAATTCATTCACAAGATGCTGGCAACATTTGATACACGCAAAGATCTTAACGCAGGCGTGGGACGTCAACCAGATAAATCAGAAATAAATAATAAAGAAATATCATTTTGATCATATACATGTATACATAATATATTAAGGCATTAGGGTATAACCGGTTTGGCAGCTGCGACAAGTAAAAAAGTAAAAATTGTAAATTAAACAGACTGCGGATGCTGTGTATATTCATATACATATGTAATTGCTATATAAGAAGCTCGCTCAGTTGGTCAACTGCCTTTTTATAGTAAGTTGCTTGTATTACTTAATTGCTGTCAATTGCGGGTCAAGGCTAGCGTGACTCATCTCAGTCGTCTGAGAGTTCGAATAATGGCAATAAATAGCTCAGTTATTCAGAAGCTAATAGCTGACAGTTCAACAATTTTAATAACTCAACTTACAAGTTGCATAATGATGAGCAAGTACTATAAAAACAAATAAGAAAAAGAAGAAAAACTGCACAAGTTTCTCGTCTAAGTCTTTCGTTTTGTGCTAGCTGCCTGGTTACATGTGGCTGCACAATTAAAACGCTAAATTATATCAAATGCCAGCATTGCCGCATTCGAAATGAAATGCAAACATGTTATTACCGAAATGTCTGTTACAGTCACTGAGAGGCAGCAAACTCATTAACTCGAAAGCGCAGCTATTAAAGTGGCTGCAAAGCATAAGATTCAATGAAGTTCAGACGAATGCTAAGCATGGTCGAGAAAATTGTTAAATGAGATAAACAAACAACTGGAAAATATGTTTAGTTATATCTAGTGTGGGCCACCTGGCTCTCTGACTGGCTGGCTGACTGCGTTGGCTGACAGCGTCACACTTGGCGGCATTTTGCATTTCCTTGTTGTTGCTGCTGCTGTTGTAGCCGGGCTGCAATTACATCATAATGACAATTAACGTGCCACAGACTGCAGTCGTATGATCAGCTGTATTTAATAACCAATAAGTCCCATTAAAGCCAATGGATATTAAGAGGCCAAAGCTAAACGTAAATGTGATCACTAAAAAGGCGCTCCCAACGCCTGCAGCTCAGTTTATTAACGCGCCATTTTAAACCCAATCAACATAAATGCTCTTTACACTTTTAATAACCAGACTCTCTCTCTCTCTCTCTCTCTCTGCCATTCTCTCTCAACTCTTTAGCGCACAGAGGAGCGATCCATTCAACTGGCGGTGCGTGTGCATAAGACTCTTGAACTGGCGGATGATAAATTTTATGTGATTACCTGTGGCAAATCGGGCTACTCTCGGTAAGTTTGACTACCTAAGCTGTAGCTGTCTAGACAATTGCACTTACTACTACTACTACTGACGACTCGTATGTAGATGGTTGTAATTTGGCTAAGCTTCCGTCAGGCCAAAGTGCTTCGAGCGCTCGCCAATTTCAGATTATTTCACAAAACTTGTTTTCGGCGTCGGCGCACAACAAATGAAATCAAAGATCAAATAATGCTGACTGATATATATGTATATATACATAGGTATATAAAATATATATATACAGAGGTACTCGTAGGTGTTGCCTTTCTATTGATCTGCTATATAAGAATCAGCGCTAAACAGAACTCAAGGCCATTAGCGTTTGTTGCTATGAAATTCTTTTCTTCTTTCCAACCAAATTATTTCACATGAACAACTTGCTCAAATCAACGGTAAATTATTTATGGTACCTCTTAAAGATTACAATCTGTAGTTGAACAAACAATTTAATTTGCCTACGCCTCATTTGCATAATGCCAATGACTTTGCCACAACTCTAAATTGCGCAAGTTCGTTGTCTAAGTCTTTCGTACGGCTAGCTAAACAAACTCCAATACAAATAGAAAAACAATTTAGAAAAATATTGGGTTTGGTAAAAAAGCAAATAATTTCTGCAAATTGTTGCGCTCTGTTAACGGCACACAGGAAAACACAAGCCGAAAGCCAACAGCAAATTAAAAAGAGTAAAAAAATTGACAGAAATGCACAAAACGGGAAACAAGGTAGTGAAAATTAAAACTATTCATATAATATGGGCTATGTTGGTTGATGTATGTCTATTTGGCATAAAACGCAACTGTCTATAACGTAATGACCGGCAATTGCATAAGCATAATGAAACTGCAAGCGAGTCACAGTGACTGCGGCTGCAACTTTGGGTCTATTGGCTGCGCTTTTAATTAGCAGGCGCAGCCGCATCGAGTGCGCAATTGGGGAAGTCCACGCAGATAAACGTTAGCTAATGTACCACATCCATTTCCATTCAAATTCACAGCGATGACAATGCCCATGTTGTTCTCAAGTTTCTGGAGAATGATCACCGCGTGCGTGAAACGGTCTACGGCCACAAGTACAAGATACGCGCCGAGTTCTCCAAGCCAAACGGTGGGTAATCAACACGGTTGGCTGTCCGCCTACAGTAATCACTAATCAAGACTCCCTTCAATAATTAGATACCTATGGTCTACGTGTGGGCAACTGCTTTGCCTTTGACAAGAAGAACATCACCCTTGAGCTGACAGACGATCGCGGGTAAGTGCAGCTCAGTCTTCGACCAGGCACTCCAACTAACGAACTAACGGTCTCTGTTTCATGCTTAGCTGCCCCTATGATCCCAACATTATGAGCCGGTTTGTGCCCACAACCGATGGCCGTGCTGCTGAGGCAACACTGGACTCCATGTTCAAGTTCCCCGAGGGTAGGTGATTACCACAAATCAAAGACCATCATCATTAATTCAAATTACTTTTCAGGATCGGAAGTGCATCTCCAGTGCGATGTCATACAGTGCTATGGGCGCTGCGTAGAGATCGACGATTGCAGTCAGGTAGCACTGGCTGGGTTCACAAAGGGCAACGGCAATGGTCCACGCAAGTTTGGCCCCAACGAGGAAGGCTCCAGCATTGCGGGCACAACCGTCTTCGTTTTAGATCCTGCCGAGGCGCGACGTAAGAAGAAATCTCAACAAATATCTTCAAATAATTCCAAATTGAACAAATCATTAAATAACTTGCAGTTATATCACCAAATTGCGAGGATGGCATTCGACCCAGCTGGCTGTTGTGGTTGGCCATAACACTGGGCGTTCTGTTTCTCATCATGTTGCTAATGAACATTTTCCTATGCACTGCCATGAGCTGTAGTTGTGCCAACACAGAGGTAAGCTCTGCGCATATAGTCTACTACATAATGTACTAAATCTATATTTGTTTAGATCATTGAGAAGGAGCCCTCGATCATTGAGGAATACGATCCTTACCGCAGCTGGCATGGCAGTCAGTATGGCTCCCGGTACTCGCTGCATGGTCGTGATGCGCACAAGGGCTATACCAGCGGTGGCTCGACGATACACTCAAATAGGTCTGATAGATATTAAGCTGATCTACAAACAACACACACACACACCAACACAAAGCTCTATTCTACACTTGATATGCATCTGCTCTGCTCTTAAATTTATTTCTGGTAGCCAACACACAGACACACGCAAACATAAATATAAAGCATGTCTAAAAAGCCTTGTACCGTATCTATGTATCGTATTTTGTTAAACTCATATCTATTGTTAACTCTACTGAAGTGCCTGCCCTGCTGGACAACATCTACAACAAAACAAAACAAAAACACAACTTGTGTTCACAAACAAAAAGTTATGAATGAAAAGAAGAATGAACTTTCGTGCCTTGTATTGCAACTGTAATTAACCGTTGATAATTTGCATTTTGTTTCAAATTATGACTAACTTTAACTTTAGAACTTTGAGTTTCCATTGGCCCACACCCGAAGACACTAACCGTCCTCTTCAATGATTTTGCTAACTAAACTGTTCAGATCCTCTATTGAAATATGCCACATACATATATATATATTTAAATATATTATAATTAACTATTGATTTTGTATTGAACTTATCAACGTACTACTTCGAAGGTCTATACCAATTGATAACGATTATGCAATTGTACATTCCCGACCCGGCTCTAGACATTCATCCACGTTGCATGGACAGCGTGCACATCGCGGACCGCCCAGTAATATATGAAATCCTAATGCTTAAGTCAAAATGTGACAGTTTTTTAATGTTTAACATAGCTTAGTTATCGCCCACTGCAAATAAGTCTCAAATGTACATAACTATAACACAGTCTATCAATTATTTTCCAAATTCTTCGATGAAAATGATTTCGCTGTAAAATACTAAATGAAAATCAAAAACTTTATATCATATCATTGAAACTTTCCTAATATTTAGATAACAACTAAACATAAGTCATTAGTCTGTCATAAGTTCGATCGAATGTGTACGAGTTTAAGTGAAAAGTTTTATTTAAATGCGAAAAACAAAGCAATGAAAAAATCACTAATTCGAAATTCAACAACTTTTTACAAGTAGTCTAAAAATCGGAATTGCGTTAAAACGTGAAACTTATGAATTGTAATTAATTAATTTAAAATAAAACATAAAATTAAATTAAAAACAAACTTAATTTACTGAATGATATAATAAAGTAACAAAACATTAAAAAACAATAAAAGATTTTTTATTTTACCATTGATTTTTGATATGTATTTTTTATGGTTTATTTTAAAAAAATAGTTTAGCACTAGTTTAAAACTCTAAAAAAAATCCTTAGCAAGGATACAATTTCGAAATTAAATAAAACAATTTTCTTTTTAACAACGACAAAGTAAAATGTGATATTTTAATCAAATTAAAAGTTAATATAACAAAATATTAATATAAAGAAGGATAAAACTAAAGAAGTTTATGAACAGAGATTAGGGTCGGCGGAAAACTTTCAACGACTTTTCAAAAACCTTTAAAATATGGCTTAAGGCAAAATATTAAGAATACCTTAATGCTTATAATCAAATTATAATATTTATAATTAATTTTAATCGGGAATTTAAGCATGAACCAATCAGTCTACAGTATTAGATTGGATAGTTAAGCCTTTTACTTGACTACTTTTACTTTAACTTGCACCTCTTCCAGAAAGCCTAGGTACATAGCTTTTTATGAACTCATTAGGCCCACTTGCTTATGCATAAAAATATATATTGAAATAAAAAAACTAAGCGTAAATAAAACTTTTTTATTCTTTGATTATATTTATAAAAGTGTAGAACATGTACAATAAAATTTAGTACCTTAACAACACATGGATATATATGGAATTAGAGCCAAACCAGTCACAATATGAGGAATTAAAAGGAGACAGTTTACACCATTCCCATCGTTCTGGCAAAGCCTTGCCGTTTAAGTCGTCTTAGGGGTCTGGCAGGGATTAGACCTCTTGCAAGTAGGCTTCGGTGTCGTTGCAGTCTGCCCGTGTATCTGCTTGTGTGTCTTCCAATCTGCTCTTCGACAGTAAACAGCTTAAGGTCTCTGTGGAGTATTGAGCCGCGTATATACCAGGGAGAGTTGGTTATTTGTCGTAGTACTCGGTTCTGCAATACCTGATCCCGCTTATAATTGGATTTGGCCCACTTGCCTATGCATAAATATATATATTGAAATAAAAAAACTAAGCGTAAATAAAACTGAAACAGAACTAAATTATGGACGATTGCCAGCAGTAAGAACATCTTTATTTATCGAGGGTATATTGCGTATGCAGGGATATCTACAATACAACTTCGTATTTGCTTTACTGCTCTGATGTTGAACACCCATACTTTGATTGTTGATTGAACCTAAAAGAATAACTTCTACTTCTTTTTGGGACCTAACACACAAGTTTTTTAGTTATTTATTGTGTATTATAGTTGGATGTAAATACAATTGTAATATCCCTAAAAGTATGCAACACACCACGCAGATGCATCGCAATGCAATGTTATTTTGTTATGATTAGCTGCATTAATTACACTGTTAGTCTAAAGAGTTGTTTTGATATTTTACAAATTGCAAAAATGGAGGTTTGACACCCATGTTGAATGTTATATGGTATATACTATACTCTTGGGAGAGTGTTATCAGTGTGTTACGAAACATGTGACGCATCAAAGTACACAACATGAAATAAATATATATAATATATATTATGCATATAATATATTTTCATCATATGAAACTTTGGAAATCCCTTGTAAGCCAAAAGTTGAATAACAGCGTTAATTTCTATGAGTTATATATGTATATACTTATGTCAACATTTGAAAGATTTAGTTTAATCAAGTTTTTTAATTTTATATAATTTATATAGCCGGCAGATAAGTCACATCAGTATTGAAGAGAAAAAAGAGATGTTTGAAGAAATTTCAGCGCCGACCACCAACAGTGGCAAATCCCACCCTGTTTTTTTTTTTTTTTTTTTTTTTTTTTTTTTTTTTTTCGTTTTTATTTCTTTATTTTGTTGCAGCTTATTGTCTTAGACTCTATAGCGCATTTAGCTCTAAACCTTAACTAATGGGAGGGCAGATATGCCAATTATTCTGCACTTGTAGCTACTATCTTAATTAGTTCTAATATTGTCTAGAGGATGCAATCTCTTCAGTCTTCGCCTATTGTTGTTTATAGCCAGGTTGCTTGCGAGATGGTTAGGATGCGCTGCAAGTCTGTCCGCGTATCTTGAACTGTGTCGCCCAATGAGTTCAGCAACTGTGGGAATTGCTAAATCCCTATGTAAGACTGAGTTTCTTACAAACCAGCTGGCTCCAGTCCATCTGCGTAGTGCTTTATTCTGCAGGGTCTGAATTTTGTTCCTTGTAGTCTTCGCCGAGGAGCCCCATAGAGAGATACCATATACGAAGGTTGGGACAACTATTGCCTTGTAGATGGCGGCCTTGCTGCTGTAAGACAACTTGCTTGAAGCTCTCAGCATCCAGTCGAGGGTTTTTAGCTTGCTTTTGCATTTTGAGGTTACTTGACTTATGTGCGCTTTAAAAGTCAGCCTTCTGTCAAGAGTGATACCAAGGTACTTTACTTTTGAGGCTTTGGGAATAGTGGGCCCCAATGCAACGCTTGGGCAATCTCCTCTTCTAGTGGCGAAGGTAGTATGTACAGACTTTTGTGCATTAATGGTGATACACCACCGTTTTGCCCAGCGTCCGAAAGAGTCCAGATATTTTTGTAGTGAGTCTGAAGCTTCTTGCGCAGATACGTGACGTGATAAGATGGCGGTGTCATCTGCATAGGTCGCTATGAGTACTGCATCTGTACTTCCTATATTTGGCTCGGGAGTTGGCATATCTCCTGTGAATAAAGTATAAAGTGTTGGGCCTAGAACACTACCCTGTGGTACTCCAGCCATAATTGGTCTAGTCAAGGATACTGTTTGCCCCCTTGACACTTGGAAGGTTCTTCCAATAAGGTATGAGGATAGCAACGCGAAAAATGGGGCTGGAAGGGTGGTCCTCACTTTCTGCAGCAGTCCCAGGTGCCAAACTCGATCAAACGCCTGTTTGATGTCTAAAAAGACGGCAGAGCAGTACATCTTTTCTTCAAAGGCTCCAAGGATATGGTGCACAACTCTGTGAACCTGTTCCGGTGTTCCATGCTGTCTCCTGAAGCCAAACTGATGGTTTGGAATGGCCTCCTGGCGTCCCAGATGTGTCAGTACTCGTTCCAGAAATATTCTTTCGAATATTTTGGAGAGTACTGGCAACAGGCTAATTGGTCTGTACGACTCAATTTCTCCCACGGGTTTGCCAGGCTTAGGAATCATCACAATCACGGCGCGCTTCCAGCAGGCTGGAAAGTGCCGGATGCGGAGCATGGCGTTGTACACCATAGTTATGTAGTCTATGGTGGAGTCAGGCAGTGCTCTAAGGACTCTGCCGTTTATTAGATCATATCCAGGGGATTTTTTTGCCTTCACTCTTCTGATGTGTTCAAGAACCTCTTCTTTTGTACATCCAGTTATCTGGTCTTCAGCTGGGAGGGGCGAGAGAACGATGTCTTCTGTTGCTTCGATTTCTGAGGCCTCTGCGGTAATCACCGGCGTGAATTGGTCTTGAAGGTGGTTTGCAAAAGCCTCAGCTTGAGCTTCGTCTCCAATGTGCCAGGAACCAGAAATGCTCCGAATGGGATGACGTCGTATTGGCTGCCGTTTGAGCTTTCTTGTAAATTTCCATAATTGAAACTCTGCGTCAGTGGGCGATTCAGCTCGTACCAGCGCATCGCTGATACACCTCTTTTGAAGCAGGGCGAGAGCAGCTTTAAGATGCCTCGTGGCTTCGTTGTACATGGATTTGGCATCAGGCGTGCGTAATCTTAACCAGCGTCTCCTGGCCCATCTTTTGTGTATTAGTAGGTGTTGGGCCTCCAAGGTGAGGGGGATGTTGTACGGAGACTGTTGTCTTGTTTGGCAAGATGGTGGGGCGGCTTGGTGCGCAGCTTTGACTATTTCTTCCTGCAGTTTGTTTGCTGCGTAGTCCACGTCTTCAGGAGTGTTAAGTTCCATTTCTATGTGCAAAGAGTAATGGAGCTCGCGCCTAAAGACTCCTAAATCTGATCCTGCTGGCAGTAGTTGTTTCCTAATGGGCAAGGGCTGTGGCTGCGCGTGGATTGTGACTATTAGTGGCAGGTGGTCAGAGGATAGGTCCAAGGATTCTTCAATGGTCAATTGCCGGTCACAGATGCCTTTGTAGACAGCGAAGTCGATTGCCGAGGGCCTGTGTCCATTAATTGGGTAACGGGTGGGGGCTCCAGTCGCCAATATGCTGAATTGTAAGTTTTGAATCGCCTCAAATATGACTTCTCCGCGACGATTCGCACTATTGCTTCCCCAAAATGGGTGCCATCCATTCCAGTCGCCGCCGATGAGGGTCTTATTCAACCTTTGGCCTAGAACCTGTTCCATGTGATGATCACACAGACCAGTGTTTGGCGGAAGATAAATTGACGCAACTTCGATCGCTCCAATAGACGTAGGCAGGGTGATGGCTGAGACCTGCATTGTTGCGTTGCAAATTGGCAGTAAAGGTGTATGCGGTATTGTTGCTCGTATGAGGATTGAGGATCCACCAAAGCAGTTTGCTCCTTCACCATGAGCCTGATAGTGTTCGTATCCGAAAATTTGTGTAGTGGGGCACTCATGAGTTTCTGTTATTAACATTATATCTATGTTTTCTTGTGAGAGAAACGCAGCCAGTTCCTGAGTCTTGTTTCTCAGGCCATTGGCGTTCCAGATACCCACACGTAAAGCCATTATTTGTAGGCAAGCTTGGTTATGATGGCCATTAAACTGTTTAGCATGGTTGCTTGTTGGGATTGTACTTCTCGCATCGCTTTGAGCTCGGCATTAATTGCGTCAAACTGACGTTGTTGTTGCTGAAGCATTTCAGTGAACAAAGTGTCACTTGTGGTATTCTTATTTGACGGTCCACCTCTAGCGGCCTGTGCGTAAGAAACACCACTAATAGGCGTTGCAAAGCTCGTGGCTTGGGTAATGCTCCGGGGCCTTGTAATTTCGGAAGCAGTACTCGGACCCGTAGACGGTGTTTGTGTGGGACTCCTTTTTTGTGCTGGGGATTGCAATTTGCGCAACCGCTTGTATACTTGGCAGCCCTTATAGTTGGCTGGGTGCTGTAACTCACAGTGCACACAAGTTGGTGCCTGGTCCTTTTCGCGGGTGCAGTCTTTGGATGCGTGTTTCCCGGCGCAACGCACACATCTGGGAGCTTTGTGGCAGTAGCGTTGTGTGTGTCCAAATTCTTGACAGCGATGGCATTGTGTCAGGTCGTTGTATCTTCTTGGCAGTTCCACTGTGCAGCGTTGCCTGCAGACAACTCGAATGTCCAAAATTTCTTTGTTGTTGGGGGCCTGAGCCACGTCAACAAAAAATATATTTAGCGGTGTTTTGTCCATACGGCTCAGTGGGTTGTGCACATTTGTAATTGTGTGGCCTTTGGTTTCCAATTCCTTTTTAATTAGTGTTGTATCAGTGCTGGAGTGAAGCCCTTTGAACACGACTCTATATGGTTTGTCCTCCTTAAGCTGGTAGCAGTGGAACTCCAATTCCAGCTTAGTAAAGTGGTCTATAACTCTGCGATAGTCCTCACTGCATTGGGTTAATACACCTATGTTATTCTTCTTTGGCTTAATTACGTATGATTTAGCATCAATTACTTTATCTATTATCTGTTGAAGTAGGGCCACAGACTTGATGTTTGGACACCATATGGGGGGCGGACGAGGTTTCGGAGTAGTTTGCTGGTCGGTCAATACTGGGGCTTCTGGAGCTACAGGTGATTCGCTGTAGTCTTCATCTTCTTCTACGAGCAGTGAAAATCGATTTTCTGATATTAATGCTGCATTGCTGGTGCTTGGTTCGTCGAAGATGAGCCTTTTCTTGATGGTTTTTGGTGAATTTGGCTGTTTACGTTTCGTGTTTTTGTTGTTAGTGATGCCTTGCACGGAGGCGATATCTATTTTTGAGTTTATTGGCATGATGGAGGCTTGCCTATTTGCCATCACAACGTTAAGCTGGGCTTGCATTTCTGCATTTACCTTTACAGCTGTAGCGAGGTTATTGACATTAGATGTCATCGCGGATTGTGCTTTTGAGTGCAGGCGCACTCGCGCCAAGCGACGAAATTTCGTAAATTGCAATTAAAGCAATTGAGTTACGCGGAAGCAAGCGATAAGAAAACGCTGCGTGTGCGGTTTTTGTTGCTGTTGCGTTGAAGAATGCACCGCAAAGTTCTATTTTTAGAACTCTGCAGCAGTAGAGCTTAAGCGAAGGCTGTTCGAATTCACGTCTTTACAGGTCGAACGACTGATCGCGATTAAATCCCACCCTGTGCTTGGCTTATCGCCTTTCTGCGCTCACAACCAGTAGTGTTCTCTATCTCTCTCTCTCTCTGTCCCTCTCGCTCTGTCGTTGGCATTCCCAGCTATTGGCGTAGGTATGGTTTCGCCACAGCTGCCGGCAAAGTGTTCCCAGTTCTGTTGGTATTTTCGCACTGTAGTTTCAGTCTGAATTTGTCGGTTGTTGAGCGCGGAAGTGCTCAGAGTGCGAGAGTGAACGGGCACAGAGCGCGATTTGTTTGAATGGCTGGTACGTTTACGTTCGCGTCTATATGTGTGTGAGTGTGTGCGTGTGTGTGTGGGCGAAGAATAACAACACCGACATCGAAATAGTGAAGCACAAAGGCCAAGCAAAGAAAGAAACACAACAATAACAACGGTAGCACTAGCCAACGCCAGCAGTCAGCGTCGGCGTCAGCGTCTTGAATTTTTTTGTTTTGGTGAATTTGAGGTGGAGTTGCTGTTGTTGTTGCTGTTCATACCGCGTGTACCTGGGTCAATTTAGTGGCCGTACTCACGTGATTGGCGCTGTAAATCAAAGTTACAACTTGCATCTGTGTTAGTTGGCAATAGTAAGTGGTTATGACATGACTTAATAACAGTGCAAACAATCACACAAATACAACAGCTAACCCATACTTACTTTATATACGTAAGCCGCGTGACTCTGAAATTGCATCCGGTTGATGCTTTGGTTTCAACTCACCTAAAATGAAGTTGGGAACCTTAAGAGAGCTCTGCATAATCTCACCAACTCCCCACACTAATGCGTAATATTTTGGCGACTGCAAAAATATTTACTTCTATTTCCGTAAAAGCTGATAGTATATATATATATGTTGGTGTGTGTGTGTGTGTCCGTGTGTGTGTTGGTCCACTGCACGCATTGTGAGTCATCGCACGGTCCGCGTTGGTCAATATGCAATCTCAGCACAATTACTCCAATACATAGCAGTTTATTTTTAACCCTTGGCACTCTCAAAATTTGTGCCGCATGCAAATTCGAGTAGACGACGACGACGCTCGTAATGAATTTTAAAAGTGCGCCGCGGCTATAAATACCAAATTTGGCAGAAACAACAACAACTAAAACACTCAGAATATAATAAAATAAATGATTTAAATGCTGCTCGGGTGCGCTCAGTTGTCAGCAAGTTCATCAAAAGGCAAATGCCAATAAAATATCATAGAAGTACTTATGTAAAAACCTTTGCCTTATACCAATGCCTGTACACAGATGTGTTTGTATGTGTGTGTACTTGTGTTAGTGTCTGTGCATCAATGCTTGTGTATTTCTGTAAATACTATACCTACTATATATTTAGACACACGAAGATCTGGCAGCAGTCGCTAACTTTTTGCAATAAATGTCATTAACCTCGACGAATCGACGAGTTTAGTTCGAATGTTGTCATTCGCTTTCAAATGACGTGATTACCAACTTCTCATTTATTCAAATGATAACATTTTTCACGTGACTGACTTGTCATGATAATTTGATTTTGTGTGCCATTTCCATTGCCAAGAGCTAACTCCAATGGGGTTGTTATATAAGCCTCGACTCACTTGTAGACATCTATATATACCTGCTATACTTGCTTCCTATATATATATATGTATATATTATATATGAACATATATATATATATATATATATATATTTATTTACGCCTGCTTGTGGCTGATGACACAGTTCTCGATGGATTACCAGGGGAAGCTGAAGTTGACAACCTTAAAAGTTAATCTGCAGTGGAGCACTTTATTTTTGAGTTTATAATAGTAAATCAGGTCAGTTTGCACAATAAAAAGGAAAAGTGATTAATAACAATAAAAGGTCTGTGTTGCCATTCGATAAGAGTGCAAAGGAACAGGGAGCGGACCGCATAAATGCAGTATGAAATACAAATAGGGAATGCTAAGCAATCAGATACCCTGTAATAATAGATTGTCTTAAAAAAAAGAAATTATTTAAGTTTTTCACACTTTCTGCATAGTAAAAGACTGCTTCTGACAGACAGTAAGATACCCTACACATATATAGCTTGCATTAGAGTTTTTTTTAGTTTCCATCAATTTTTTTCCTATAACGAACTATTATAACGACATTTGTTATTAGCTAAGGCGTATGTTAAAGAAGCTGTGGCCGCTCACTAATATACCCTGTTATAATAATATACCCATGAGTTAATGTCATTCGATAGGATGCTTTCTTTCATTAAATGCAATTATTCGCTGTGAAGCCCTCAAATGCCCTTTGAATGATCTTGAATAACAGATAACCATTCTCAATTTTAACGGATGCAAGTGTACTCAAATATAAATGTGACAAATTGATGTATCTTGGATATTAATATATCACTGCATTTAAATCTTGTATCGTGTCAGACTTTGTCGTCTCGGAACTCGCCCTTTGTTTCACAGTTATACAAGAGCCAAGTGAGTCATTTGCTTATCAAATACATATTCGTAATGCTCTCGCGCTTAACATACATATATATGTGCAAGTTAATGCCCTAAATACCCGCTAAGACACAGTTGGTTGATCACGCTGGCAAATCGAACGCACGCGTATTTCGTGATCGAATAACCCATATCAGCTGCCAACGTTAATATATATAATTAATAATAAAATATGTTGACTATGTCGAGATTTTGATTTGCTTGGGATTTACGAGCTTGAAAACCAAATAAATATTAGCAATAATAGAATGGATGTATTTGTAGCCGTATACAGTACATACACCAAGCTCTACCAATTTTTTTTTTGCGCGTCTCCAGTTCTATTCGTAATACAAGTCAAGAGATGATGTCATGATCCAGACCCAAAAGCAAAAACCCGGCTCACACTCGCATTCACAAACTTACTGAGTCTTTTTAAGCGCTGAGCTCAGTCCGTGCTGTGTATGTCGATCATTAGCTCACCGGTTCGCAGAATGGATCGTATTTATTTATTCTCTTCTATACGGAAATTCATCAACATGCTCTGCTCACTGAGTACAGACTTTTCCCACTCGTAATCGGAGATATGAGCTCATCTTTTATCATCGTTAAGTACACCATTCGTGTTTTTCTCGCCACATGCGTTTCCACTCATATTTCCTTATATCTACATCACATGCCATTGAACAGAAGTTAAATTTAGGGCGGCTTAAATGGATGTGCTCTACTCTTGGGCTACCCAATGTGATCATGGCAATAAAATTAATGTATCTTTTGATATTAACCTTTTGGGAAATAAGATATAAATATCTTAGCTGAAAATCGATAATTATCGGAACTTTCCAAATTTTCACTGTCTGACACCTAGTCATTAAAGCAATACTATTATTACTTTATCAATGAATACAGGGTATATATACTCTAATCTAAGACTTAACTGAAAATCGATAATTATCAATCTGATACCGACTCGTTAAAGCACAACTGAACTGATAATAATATTCTTACTTTCTTAAAGAATATAAGATATATATATATACTGTAACCTAAAACTAGACTGAAAATCGATAATTATCAATTCGGCAATCGAAGAAGACACTCAATGAGACACTTCGATTCTCAATTTCATATTTCATTCATGCCTCTACATTTTCAATGAATACAGGGTATCGGAACTGTAAAATGACGGCAACATCTTACGATTCCAATTGCAAAGTTTGTTTGTTCACTCATTTATTTGCAATCGTAGCACTAGAAAAGCGGCTGACCCTCGGTTGACGCCTTCAGCTAGAATTGTTGCAGCATCAATGGCATCGCCCACACGCGATCTGTCAGCGCTTAACTTGCCTCAATTTCTACTACATATCAAATATATACACATATATGTATGTATGTATGTATGTATGCATGTATTTGTATGTCTGTATCTTTGTATATTTATATCGACACTTTGGATGAGCTTGGAGCTACTCCACGTTCCCTACAATTTGTTAAATTGCTGCAATTAATTTAATCAGCTCGTAACTGTTGCATTTTCAAATGTTAAATAGAATGCAATGCATGCAGCTCAGTTGTGTTCCGCGTTTATAATGTCGCATGTTTAATTGACTTTTAGGTGGAAATATCGATTTGTTGAATTTCAAATGCATTATTATTGTGGCTGTTGCCATGGTTAGAAAATGTCTAAAAAAACAACAGGTGTAGTTAGTATTTCTAAATTTTATAGTGCAATTATTATATAAGAAACTAAGTAAATATTGACTTCTTCTCTGAATTAAAATACATGAGTAGCATCAATATAAACAAATATATATATACCACTTCTTTCTCTCAGTGAGAACAAGCGTATTGGCTACGCCCCAATGAAACAGCAACAAAATGTGTATCTATCACAATCGCGAAGTGTGATCAAGAAAATTAGCTGATTTAAAGAACAAAAGCCGCAATCTCAACTGCAAATACATAAGGAGCCAATTAAAGACAAGTTGCGAAAATGACAATAACATATACAGGTGAAGTGGCCACATGTCGTGGCTTTGGCTGTTTTCTCAAACTGCTTCTCAGGTAAGTGATAAAAGCTATATATATTATATACATATATATATTTATTGATTGACTGCACAAGTAAAAGCTAAATTTTGGTAGAAAATTACTTTTTTTTTATTCAATACAATCTTAAGACCTTTGTGTAAAATGAAAGAAAAACAAATAAAAAAATAATTTTATTACTTGACGCAGACGCTTATGTTTCATGCGATCAGCTTCAAGTTTGTTTTCAAAGTTCCTTATAAAAATGCCGTGAGTGTGCGTCAGCAATTTAGTGAGTTGTGTGATATAAAATATTATTTTGGGTTCGGTTAATCAACCATTATTATTACACAGAGCTACAAAATTTGATTGACTATATTATTAAAATAGTTTTTAATTACTCAAAATGAATTCGAAACTAGAATAACTCTATTACGTCAAAAGTTTGGAATTTAAACCTGTTTGCTGTCCGCGCTTTGCCTTGATCTTCAACAAAAGAGTTTGAAAGATTTTGGTCTTGGTTATCAAATCATGTTAGCCAGTGTTAGAGTTCCATTATAAACAAAAACAGCTGTTTCATAAATTATATTTTAGAGTTTACAACAAAATTTGCTCTCTACCCGATTAAACGAAATAATCTTTAGCAATTTGATTTGAAAAGGGAATCTAATATTGAACATGATGCAAATGTACGCACGACCAATGTCGGGTAATGTCCGTTCTAATGCTCATATCATATTTCAATGTAGGTGTATGGAAAACAAGTTGTATATTTACGAATAACGAATTACAGTGCTAAATGCTAGTGTGTACAAAATTGCAAGTCGAGTGCTAATTAAAGAACTGACACAGTTCGCTCTGGCTAGCCAATTGAGCTAGTGACAGTCGTCAGACATCACACAATTGCAACTAATGCAAATAATAGAATTTTCCATGCATTCACAAGCACTCACCCACAGCAACACATACACTCGACTATTAGATTGTAGTTCCGCTGATAGCGGCAACAACTCCACCCACACATTATACTCTTGCCCCTGATACTGATACTAACACTGGGACACATCCACATCCACATCCACAGTGACTGCTGCAGTGTTATCTAAGTCGTATTTGACATCTGTCACGCGTGTAATTTGAATTATAATTTAATAATTGGTAGCCAGGGCTTCTAGCCATATCAATGAGCATGTACGTACATGTATGTAAGCTACCCCAGTTCATTTATTTGAATGATCCGCTGATAGTGTCGGTGGCATTGATTGTTGCTGCTAATCAATGAATCGGCCAACCTAGATTGATGATAATCAAACCAAAACTCTGCCGACTTTGCCAATTTAATACGTCCACTGCACTTAATATATAAAATCGAATGCAAATAACTAGCTAAAGGAAATAGAAGTAAACATTTTTGATAATTTTAGCTACTTATAAACAGATACCCTGTAAAGTCTTTTGAACTCAAGTAAATTTTAATTAAAATTATCAGACACAGACCTTGAAATCTATGTGGCAACTGATAAAAGTCAAATTTTGTTTGTCATTTGCTTATGATAAATGATTACATGTTTGTTTTTGTACTTTTATCATACAAATGTTTGATAAGAATTTATTTTATAATTAGTAGGCTTTTCGTTTGAAATGATGGCTGGGATATTTTTCAAGCTTATATAGTATATACCTATTTTTATGACGTTTAGACGGTGGCACGATTGTTGTTCAATATCAGCCCGATGACGTTGACAGCTATAGATATATATATACATATTGGTAAACACACGCCAGACTCTGTGCCGCATAATAATAAAATTGATTAGGGGCAGTCGATACTGGTGGGGATCGTAAATGATGAATTTTTAGTAAAGTTACTAAGCTACTACAATTTAAGCGTGCACCATCTATTTATAAATATGATCTGATATGTCTTGAGCCATAAAATAACGTTCTGTTTTCTTATAGATGGCGCGGAAGTATTTACAAATTAGTCTGGCTGGATCTGTTGGCCTTTCTGACATTATATTATCTACTTAATCTGGTCTATCGCTTTGCGCTCAATGAAGGCCAGAAAGAGTAAGTGACGCTTTAATGAAAGTAAGCACATGTTTATAGTGTTCCACTTGCAATTTAGAACCTTTGAGGCGATCGTAGCCTATTGCAACAGTTATCGTGATCTCATACCACTGTCTTTTGTGCTGGGCTTCTATGTGTCCATTGTGATGACTCGCTGGTGGAACCAGTACACTTCCATCCCTTGGCCGGATCCCATCGCTGTCTTCGTCAGCTCCAATGTGCATGGCCAGGACGAACGTGGTCGAGTCATGCGTCGCACGATCATGCGTTATGTGTGCCTGTGCCTGACCATGGTTCTGGCAAACGTATCGCCGCGCGTCAAGAAACGATTTCCTGGCCTCAACAATCTAGTGGAAGCGGGCTTGCTCAATGAGAATGAACGCACTATCATTGAGACCATGAATAAATCGTTTCCACGACCCTCGAAGCACTGGCTGCCCATCGTTTGGGCGGCCAGCATCATTACGCGAGCAAGGAAGGAGGTAATAATAAAAAGAATATCAATGTCACGAGTGCCAATTAATAAATATGTTTTATATATCTATATATAAATATATATACACATATAGGGCCGTATTAGGGACGATTTTGCTGTGAAAACTATAATCGATGAGCTGAACAAGTTCCGAGGACAGTGCGGATTACTGATTAGCTATGATACTATCAGTGTACCCCTGGTTTACACACAAGTGGTTACTCTGGCTGTATATTCGTATTTCCTAACCTGCTGCATGGGTCAGCAGTGGACGGATGGCAAAGTCGTCGGCGGCAGCAGTTACCTTAATAAGGTGGACTTGTATTTCCCTGTGTTCACCACGTTGCAGTTCTTCTTCTATATGGGTTGGCTGAAGGTGGCCGAGTCACTGATCAATCCCTTCGGCGAGGACGATGATGATTTCGAGGTAGATCGGTCTTTTGAAATAATAAGTCAATTGATAACTGATCTAATCCTCAGGTTAATTGGATGGTGGATCGCAATTTGCAAGTTTCCTATTTAATTGTAGATGAAATGCATCATGACCATCCAGAGCTACTGAAGGATCAGTATTGGGACGAGGTGTTTCCCAATGAACTACCCTATACCATTGCTGCGGAACGGTTCCGTGAGAACCACCCGGAGCCCTCGACTGCCAAAATCGATGTGCCGAAGAACGCGGCCATGCCCTCGGGAATGTCCTCTGTGCGAATTGATGAAATGGTTGGTAATAGTGGCAACGCCGCCTCTGGGTCAAAGCCGACTGCCAATGAGCAGCCGCAAGGGGCACCCTTGCAGACAGTTACTTATGACCTTTCCAAGGCAGCGCCAGACGAGGAGGTTAGAATCAAAACGTTGGCAGCATTCACTAGCGATACGAAGTATTGGCACCAACTAATCGGCTATCTTAACTAAATGTGTATTCATGAACGTAACACATGAACATGGCGTGGCGGAATCTCAAAACAAACAAATCAAATCTAAACGTATTTTCTAACCTTCTGTAATTAACTAAAAGATCTATTTCATATGGGACTCAATTCAATCATTGGCATTTCAAATCACAACGGTGTTTGGTAGTTATACCTAAGATTTACTTAAGATTTAAAAAAAAGAAACACAATTGAAAACTAAAATGAAATGAACAGTGGATTCTTCTATGAACTTAGCAAATATGAAAACGAGGCCTACTTTTTGTAGAGCAAAGTCAGATTATTAGCAGTAATCCGTCAACTGCTCATATGGAATCCACTGAACATTATCACTAACCTAATTATAAATCTATTGTGGTGTTTGTGTTATTGTTTTAAGCTATAAGACTGCATACTAACTTTTGATTCTAACAATAATCTGTTTGCCTACAGCCTCTAACTGCACTACGCACTGCACGGCTTTCAGTTGCTTTAGTGCACCCCAGAACCAGAACTGCACCAATTGGTTTCAAGTAACCTATGCTCACTTTAAATTATCCTTATAAATATCTCCGAAGCATTACTTTCAACTAATGTACATCTTATTTACAATGCTAAATGCAGGCTGACGATGCCAGCGGCATACACTTCTCGGCAGGCAATGGCAAATCGCGCCTGGGACTTGGCTCCTCGCCCAGCCTGGTTAGTGTATCTGGTACACTTTCACGGGTTAATACTGTGGCATCGGCACTTAAGCGTTTACTGAGTCGCGATGAGAGCCGTCCAAGCTCCGCTACACCAAGCGACGATCCCGGCAAGTACCGTTTCCCGAACAGCGCCAGTTCTGCAAGCTTGACGGGCTCCAATCTTGGTTCATCGGCTGTTAAGCCGGCGGGAAGCATGCGCATTACACAGCAGGTCATTGAGGAGGTGGACGAGCAGGCAACCATCACATCGACGCGCCCTTACGATCCGCGTCCTAATGTGAAAGATATTTTCGCTCCGTCCACTGGTGAGCCACAGCAGCAACCTGGTGGCCAGCCACTGCAACCACCACCGCCTGCAAACAGAGGACCTGAGCAGACAGCGCGCTCCCAGCCAATGGATATACCCAGACGTTCGCCGCATTATGAACGCGCTCACTCGCAGTATGAACCAACGCCATCGCTCTTTCCGCCTGGTGGTGTGGACGCCTTGCTGAGTACCTCGGCGCCAGCTGGAGACGGACCCTCACTGCTGGCAGCAGACACGGCTCCCAGCTCGCCGCAGGGCGACAGCAGCAAATCGTTATTTGAACCACACAGGGCAGCCAGCCGCGAGACAGGTGAGTGGTCGGCGCTGGTGCCATGGAATGGTGCCCACAATGCCTTCCTTCTCCTGCTTTTAATATTCACATTTAACATTGATCTTCATCTATACACATCCATACACACACATCCACACACTCGAACTTTCGACTGTTAATACTTAAAGCGATTGAGAGACCCGATGCACCGCAGTTCTTCCGGTGGTTCGTGACGCCCGGTAAAGTTCAAGCATTGGCCAAAATAACTTATTTCGTTCCTTAGCTTATTCCGCTTTTATGTTGCTAGTCCACAAATTATTCTTGTTGGAGATGTGGTATCGTTTATTATTTTCAGTTCTCTTAATCACAATTTATTATTATTTTTTTGTTGTTTGATAAATCAGTTGATTTACTTATTATAATTACTAACCAGTGCTTAGCCATTATTTGCATTCGTAGTTTGTTTTGTGTTGCGTAAGACTCGATTTTATTCCTTCGATTATAGGTTGTCGACCAGGTAATACTCTCGTTACCGTCAAATTTATATATAGAATTTGCCTAGCCGTAATCCCTCTAGTCTTTGCACGTCTTACTTACTCTTCATTAATCGCAACTATTTTCTAGTCCAGTTGAAGCTAATGCAACTCTCTGTCCTTACAGTCGAAAACCTCGACATTAAAACATCGGCCGATGTGCTGGCCAATACAGCTGCCGATCCCGCGCCAGACGTTGGCGATGACTTCGAGAAGCTAAGAGCTGCTCGCGAAAAGGAAAAGCTGGTGCGCCAGCAAATGAACTTGGCACGGACCATTAGCACCGCCCCAGGCGTGGATGCCTCTGGAGTGCCAGTTGTGGTGCCCGTGGCACTAGTGGCACCCCCAGCGGCTCAACCGAGTGCCCCAACCACAATGACAGCAGTTGCGTCCAGTGCCGATTTGCTCGTCGGCACTGATCCAGTGACCAGTTCAACCATCAAGTCCGAGGATGCCACCACAGGAAGTTGAACTGACAGATAGAGTTTTATATTTGGGCATGCAACACGAAGTATGCCACATGTGCTGTACACTTTTTCAAACTACCTTTAAGTTAATTAGTTAGCGTTAGTTAATTTATCTAAGCTACTAAACTTAATACCTTAACATGCAGAATGATACAAAAGACAAACAGAAACAGAAACAGATTAAGAATGCTCATAACGTTAAAACGATCTTGAGTGAAAGTGGACCCATTAGCGCAGTTAATATACCTATTATTTATGAATTAAGTCAACAGTGATTTGAATCTACACAATAATATAAGTTTTTCTAAATGGCCAACTAATTGTGTTTTACTTACAATAAATAAACAAATAAAATTGAGTGGGAATGCCCGACTTGGAAATACCCGGACTCTAATGCAACTGATGCCAACAATTGATATTTCAATCATTCTCTGCTTCTTGAATGGGTTTTAAATATATTGCACAAACTATTTGAATTCGAATAAATATATAAAATTGAATAGCGAAGGCTCTACATATATGGTCTTAATGACACTGGTTATCTACACTAATTATCATTTTTGATGGTATGAGGGAAGGATATCCACGATCGGTTTTATTTTTTGAATCATCATTGTATTTTTTTTCAAATTTTATGTTTCTTAGCTATAAATCAAACCACTCTTATCGATAATGTGGAAGTTAAAATCTTGCCCTACGATAGACTGGTATACGGTATAAGACATAAGGTATATCAGTATACAAAAAGATATTTAAAACTTGAAATTTTCAATTTCAAATTTACAGCTACTACACAATACTCTATTTGCTCTTTCAGTAACAGACTAAATTAATTCAACGTTCTCATGGTTATTGGATTATCGCAAATGACTTCAAAATGCGATTCGGTGAACGATTTTAGAAATTTATAGAAGCGAAAGTGAACCTTTGGGTTCCTAAAAGAATAAGAAAGAGTGCTTTAGTCGGGTCGGTTCTAGGAGATACCCTGAAGCGGTGATATTCCAATCTCGAGTTCTGCTTACTGAGCAGCTTACGCAGCCAAGTCCAAAAGTATTTTAAGATCGTAGGAACGTTGTTTTTGGTGTTTCGAATCTGGAATGCTGGAAACAAAATCCTAGTCACATTTTTTATGGTACCACTACAAGAGTCAATCATGTGCCTTAAAAATGAACAAAATAATTAATTTTAAAATTGTATTCATTTCCTAATCCTTAATATCTGTATATAAAAAATAAATATAAATGATCCATGTTTGAACTTAAGATTCAACTTATGAACACGTACATACATATAAGTTCCAACTAGCATTTCTCACATAATTTATAAGAATACATACAACACTTGATATAAATTATATATCTAATGATATTTAATGTAGTTTTAGATACTAAGTCAATACAACTAAAAGAAATTAACATAAACGCTAAAAGCGTTACAGGAAAAATCATCAAGTTTGTTGGGATAGTGCGTAAAAGATCTTCAATTGGCTCATAAAATGTGTGTGCTTGCAGATCAATCTAATAGCGCGTCACCTGGCCGCCATAGCGGTCTTGTGCTGGGCGACTGCCACCGTACATTCCACCAGCTCCGCTGTTGCCTTGATAGCCACTGGAGCGTTCGTTGTAACTACGGTCAAAACGGCTCTGTGTCTGCATTGGACGCCAGCTGTCATCGATAGTGGCCGACTTTTGCCACGAATTATTTCCATGCATGTTTGATGACATTCCATTGTTGCCATAAGATTTCAATGGTCCTCCACCACCCCCCAGATGAGCGCTGCCACTGCCACCGCTGGATGGTGCCCATATGTTAACGTTGTTCGAGTTGCTGCCATATCCACTGGTTGCTCCACCACTGGTCGAGTTATCATAGCGCTTGTTACTACTGAAACGATCGAAAATTGTGCTATTGTGTCAAGTTAAAAAAAATTATTGTTGATTTACTCACTGTGACATGTCGTCAACGCCGCCACGTCTGTAATTAGATGTATTGCTACGATCGGCATCATTGTACCGACCGCTACCACCGCCAGTCCCACCACTTGTGTTGTTCTTGTGACCATAGGATGCGGTAACATTACTAGTGTTGTTCTTGTGCACATATGAGCCGGCACCGCCGCCCGTGTTGCTCTTGTGAACGTAAGAACTACTAGAGCCACCAGTGCTAACACCACCTGACGAAACTGGCAAATGGCGTACCTCCACCTCGCGTTTGTAATCTTCACGCTTGCTGGTAGTGGACGACGAGTAATCATGCTTGGAGCTTGAACCATAATCATTGCCAGAACGCTTGCTAGGCACCGCAGTATATTCATCAATGGCACCACGCTTGGTGCCAGTGGAACTGCCATATTCGCCACGTTTATTTGAGGAATATTCAAGGCGTTTGGAGCTTGAGTAGTCATCAAGTCCACGCTTGGAGCCCGATGAAGTACCATAATCATCATGCTTCTTGTCATAAGTACTGGTGCTGGCAAAGAAAGGGTCAAATTAAGTAATTGTCGATTTAGCATTTGGATTTTTTAAACGTACTTGCGTGAGCTAACCAAAGATGCATCAAAGCGTGGCGGTGGTGGGGCATCAAAGACCGCGGAACGCTTGCGGTCCGAAACATCGGTATAGCGATCATCAGCCCGCTTGCTTAGCGAACGCTTAACTGGATCATCACGTGATTCCATAATCCTGGAGTGGCAAGTGGGGAAAGATGAAAAGAGTGTGTACGCAATATTAGAAATATTTTAAAATTGTGCCATCTGTTTTGTACATATATGTAAATAGAGTTTAGACTAGGATGCAGTTCATTTGCAGTTGCATAAACATACATGAATGCAAAAGCATTTGCCTAGACTGCCGACAGTTTTTTGAGGTTGAAGAAACAACGTGGCTGCTGCAACTTAACACACTTAACTTAATTTACAAGGCCAAATGCCTTTTGAGAATATGTAAAAATAAATATGGTGTTTGTTGTTTTTTTTTAACGTTGTGTGTGCAACGCTTTTACGTTTATCATACTTCATCTGTTGACGCTTCAATTCGAGGCGCTCCAGCTCGATTTTCTCACGCTCCAGCTTCTGACGCTCCCGTTCCATGCGCAGCAGTTCAGCCTTCTCACGCTCAAGGCGCTCCCGCTCGATGGCCAGCTTGCGTCTTTCTTCGGCCAGGCGTTCCTCCTCAATGCGCTGGCGTTCACGTGCTTCGCGCCGACGTCGCTCCTCCTCGCGTAGCTCACGCTCTCGTTCACGCAAACGCTGGCGTTCCCGCTCTTCACGAATCTTCTGATAGGACAGCATCTCACGTTGGCGTCGCTCACGTTCACGTTGACGCTGTTGAATTTCACGGTCATCTCGTGGTTGGCGGGCCGATCGACGCTCATTAGATTCACCACGGTGCTGAGATTTGTGACCCGTGCCAGAGCGGTGATCACGCTCATGGCGCTTGTCATTTCCTGTTGATGACTTGTCCTTGTCATCACGTGATGTCTTGCTGTTGCGGTCCTTGTCTTTGCCATCGCGTTTATTGCTAGATTCCCCGCCTGCATTTTTACCGTCCCCACTGACGTCACTGCTCTTCTTGTCTTCACCCCCGTTACCCTTGGCGCCAGACTTCTTATCATCATCCTTCTTCTTCGATTCAATGCTGGACTTGCTGTTCGTCTTGTTATTACCCTTGTTATTAACATCTTTGGATGAACTTGCGCTGCCTCCAATTTCGTTCTTGGTGCGTTCCACTGATATAATTCGGCCGTGCAGCTCCGTACGATGTAAGTTCTCAATGCAGCGCGAAGCATCTCCGGATGACGACATGGTTACGTAGCCGTAACACCGTGTGCCAGGAGTACGGGTATTGGTGACCACCTTAGCTCCGATCACCTTGCCGAACTTCGAGAAAATGGCCTTCAAGTCGCTAGCGCGCGTTAAAGTAGACAAACCGGATACCCAGAGATTACGTGACAGCAAAGCCTGCTTGCCAGCAGCACTGGTCGAAGCACCAGCTGCGCCTGTACCTCCGGCTGATCCCGACTTGTTGGCAGCGGCACCCAATGATGCCGATGCTGTACCCGCTGCTGTTGTCGATGTTTTCTCTGCAAGTTCCATGTAAATAATAACAATATTGGAAGAGAGTTATGGTCAGAGCTGTGAGTGGCTGGAAAACTGTTTTGGTATTTGGTATTTTTATCATTGATCGTTAAGGGAAGCACTTTAAACGCACACTTTGTAGCTGCTGCTGCTTGCTGTTGTATCGTAAATTATTGACATAACGAATCAAATCTGACTACATTAAAAGTACATCGTTATTAACTGCGCACTACGAAAGCTAAGAGAGTGTGAATTTGATTGGGTTGCCGCTTATGAATCCACTGTCGCTGTTGGTTCGACCTCAAAGGATGTCGTGAAGAGCTGCCAATGCAATTTCGCTGTTATGGTCTTCGTGAAGACTTCACCAGTTGCCAAGTGTAATTCTTGCTCCTCAGATAGTCTCCACTAACGTCACGATCATCATTTTGTCATCATATAACAAGCTGCAAGTCCACTAAAGCGCCAATACACTCATCGTCAACATATTGTAGATTGTGTGCAGTGATGGACAGTCCCAAATACAGATTAATTAAAAACCTTTGTTCTCGCCTCCCCACGCCAACCGATGGACATCCACGAATTCATCAAATGAACAACCCTTTCGACATGTCAAATGTCTCTTCTCCTGATATCTCTTCACCTGCTTCTCTTCGCATCATTTAAGTAGGGACTTTTTCTTCATGCAATGAACCCTATGCAATCAAAACGACGGACAGCTGGAAATCCAGAAGAGCCATAAGACGCCTCGCATCCAGCATGGTTAAGTACTCGTCAGGGCAATTTCTTTATACTACGTCTTATGCGATCTATGTATACATCAGAGACGATTCCTTCAAATTGATTTGCTGTTCTTTCAGTAGTTACGTCCATTCCATTCCCAACCAAATTCACACTCTCTTATACACTGTGTTACAAGTGTGCCGCATATGGCGTTTTTCGCAAGCTTTTACTGAGTTCATGCGTGACCTAACCAACTTATATGTATAACCTTTCAAGCACACTGATCTTCCTGTTGCAAAAGTAACATAAATTACCTTTATCGTCTTTTTGATTCGACGATTTCGAAGCCGATTTTTGGTCGCTATTTGGTCCAAAATATACGTTGAACAGAAAGTAAAAAGAAATTTGAAACGATGTTAGTAATTAGAATTGTCATAAATAATAGACATTTTAACTGAGGTCTTTAAGCCAACAGTTTGTTTGAACCAACCTAGAATCCTTTTTATCAGTACATTTATCATCCTTCTTCTTTGAACGAGCTCCCTCATCATCCTTGTGAATCTTTTTATCACCGTCCTTAGCAATTGTGCTCAATTTATCAGTTTTATTTGCCGGTTTTACTGTAAATTATATTACTTGAATTATTACATTTATAACACTTACAGGATAATCCCTATATGTTGAAAATGAAATCCATCTTATTTTATTTATGCTGTAATTTTGCTAATAGTAATTATTTATATAGTTTCGTCTACAATTGCAAAAAATGTGTCCAAATACTAAAAAATCTAAAAAGTGTCATTGACATACTTTGAGAAATGCACTAAGAACCTAATATTGCCACTTTAATATAGACGCAGTGCTCATGGCTAGCGTATGTATACTTATGATAGATGCACATGCATCGTACGTTGGGACAGACAAAGTATGTGTGCTTACCCGACTTAATAGACTTATCGTCAGGGGCCTGAAACAAAAAATTTCATTTAGAAGGCTGCCAATGAGAATATATATATACACATAAATTACCTCATCATGTAATAGTTTTTGTTCTTCTTCACCAATTGTCAAGTTAATGGACTCATCATTGTCCATGTTTACAGTGTCTCCTGTATTCTCTTCCTGCATCTCTTCGAAACCGGCAGGCTCACCTTCGCCGTCTTCTGGTACGTCTGCTTCATGGGTCGCTTCATTGTCATTTTTCTCCTGGGCGTACGTTTCTACATCCTCTTCATCATCATCTAATATGACACATACATCGTCAACATCGCCCACTTGGTCTATTTCGTGCCCGTCATCAACTGCGTGATGGGCACTGTCTTCCCCATCACCACTTCCATCGTATTCACCCGGTGCTTGGTTTCCTTCTTCAGTATCGACTGGTTCTGCCTTAATTAGAACATCAGTTGTATCCTTCATTGGTATCGGCAATGACTTCTTTGCCTTAACAGCAGATTCAATCAAATGTGTGTTGGGATCGACGCCCTCTTCTTTTAGTGCCTACCATTTTACACATTATTATAGCGGTACTGGCCTATTTCATAGAAGTTTCAAGCATACATACCCTTTCAAGACGCTCGATAAGCACAGCCTTTGGACCCACAGTCTCTAGCTTTCGCTTTTCAAGCTCATCTTTCAAATCACAGACTCGTAATTCACCAATTTTCTTGCCGATCTCTGGCATCTTAGTTAATTCTTATGCACAGCGATAATACAACAACCGGTACTTATAAACAACTCCCCAATATATTTAGAAATAAATTTAAGAATTTCCTCACTTTTACAATGTGTGCTTCCGTAAGCCAACTGAGAATCTTTCACAATTTTTTCTATAATCAAAATGGCGACACAAAATATCCACCAGGAATCAAATATCGATAGGCGAGGGCTGCTTAACTATAGGAAACCAGACAGGGCTGTAGCATCCAGCCAGATTTATAAGCATGATTTAATTTATGGTATGTCATAATTATTATTGAAAATATTTAAATAAAATTAAAAATACTAAATGGACGACTTTTCACCCTCAGTTACAATTAACTTTTAAGAACATCTTGTGTATATTGTTTGATTATTATATAAATAATGCATCAATATATAAAACCCAAAATGAAATTAGGAGTTGTTATATTTTGTATAAACATTTCAATATATTCAGATATTATCTGGAAATAATAGTAATTTATGGGGGGTAAAATTCAAAATATGTTATATTATGTTATTGGTATTTTTTGGACTCCAGCGTACGGTCTTACTGTTTGTGTAAAGCACTTTCCTGCTGCTTGTTTCTGTAAATAAGTTTTTGTGAAAGCCTACTATGTCGGTGGTTATTGAAACCACACTGGGAGACTTAACAGTTGACCTGTTCACGGACGAACGACCAATCGCCTGCCTCAACTTTATAAAATTATGTCAGCTAAAATACTACAACTACAACTTGTTTCATACTGTGCAGCAAGGCTTCATAGCTCAAACCGGCGATCCCAGTGGTATAGGAAATGGCGGCTCTTCTGTATGGGGCGTAGTGGAAGGCATACAAAAACGCTTTTTCGAGGCCGAATACATACCGAAAATACAACACTCAAATGCGGGCATGCTGTCGTTGGTCAGTGCTGGAAAAAATCTAGTCGGTTCCCAGTTCTTCTTTACACTCGGCGAAAACCTAACTTCGTTGGATGGCAATCATTGTGTTATTGGTGAAGTTGTCGAGGGTCACGAATTGCTGCGGAAGTTAAACGATGCCATTGTAGACGACAATTTTCGTCCCTATCAGGATATTCGCATAACCCATACAGTCGTTCTCGAAGATCCATTTCCAAATCCGCGTGGTTTTCAAGTACCCAGTCGTTCTCCGTCTCCCAGCGCAGAAAGGCTCCAAAATGGACGCATCGCGGCAGACGAGGACATTGATGATGCGAACGGCAAAAGCATGGAAGAAATGCAAGAGCTATTGGCAGAACGCGAAGCCAAAGCACGTGCTACAATCCTGGAAATTGTGGGTGACCTGCCAGATGCTGAGATGGCGCCACCAGAAAACGTGCTCTTTGTATGCAAACTCAATCCCGTAACGACAGACGATGATTTGGAAATCATTTTTAGCCGTTTTGGCATTGTGAAAGGCTGTGAAGTGATACGAGACCGCAAGACAGGTGACTCCCTGCAGTACGCTTTTGTAGAGTTCGAAGATCAGAAGTCATGTGAAGCTGCCTATTTTAAAATGGATAATGTGCTTATTGACGATCGCCGCATACACGTGGACTTCTCTCAGTCTGTGTCTAAGGTGACATGGCGGGGTAAAGGTCGAGGCGTCATTGGGGATGAGGGCCCATTGGACTTTAACAACTTGAGAGAAAGCAATGGCAATAAACATGATAATAAACCAAGGAAAAGTGGACAAGATAGCCGCCGTACTGATAGAAACCGAAACGACGAAAAGAAAAAGCAAATTACGACGGAAGAACGCAGAAAGGCTCGTGAGCAACGGCACAAAGAGCAAAAAGACCGCGAAGATCGTGGTCGACGCAATAATTTACAACGTTCAAGATCAAGGGAAACCAATTTTAGACACAATGAAAGATACGAAAGACGGCGATCCAGATCGAATGACCGAAACGGTCGTAGAAGGCCAACATCGCCTTACAGAGGTTCTCGATATTCACCAGAGCGTAGACGCTTAGAAAATCCACGCGATGCAAGCGGTGACAGATATCACAGGTAACTTATTTGTTCTTATTTTTAAATGTTTCACTAACATATATATTTAAAGATCTACACTTAGAACCCAGACGAGCTCACAGAACGACCGACGGCATGTTGAAAGAAAGTACAATGAAAAAGCATCACAAAATGTCTCAAAAGATCGAAAGCGCGTCACTGTGGAAGAGGATCGCTCATCTAAGATAAAATCAAAACGAGCAAAGTCCAGCAGCTCGGAAACTGACGATTCCTCTGATGATAGCGACTCATCTTCTACTAATAGCTCCAATGAAAGCTCCTCAGATGAACGTAGCAAACGCAAGAAACACAGCAAATCGAAACAGAAAAAGAGCAAGGCTAAGAGAAAGCACAAGTCAAAGAAAAAACACAAAAAATAATGGCTGAAATGTTTTAATAATATATGTATATAATTTTAGTTAGACTAGCTTGCTAATAATCACAAAATGTAGTTTCATTTATTACGCGCGTCTATCTCGGCTTGTAGCGCTGCCATTGCTGATCCACCACAACACCCTGTCGATTTGTCACCTCGCCCCTTGCGCGGAGCGTCTATTACAGCATCGGGATTGAAGACCACATTGTCCAGGCGAGTTGTTTCTGGCGTAATACGGAGCTCTAGAGAGATTGTTTTTTTCAGTAAATTTGAATACAATTTATGTAATATTTACGCACCGTATACGTTATCTTCTCGCCGTTTGGCCTGTATTACATTTGTACGCAGCTCGTAGTCTACTTCCACAGCTAATTTGATCATCTACAATTGTAGATATAGATTAAACTAAATTGTAATTACTCCAAAATGTTAATGATACCTTTTTAATTTCCGCTTCATTGGTTTCGTTCCGGTTTTTCTGAAAGGACTCGTTTATTTTGTCCCGACCGGCCAATAAAGCCCTGTCATCACCATGAAACACATACTGCCGCGTGCGATGCAGCTTTTTAAACGCACTTAGCACCTGCGAGTACCAAAGTTATAAATATTACATTTTATACGGTACAAAATCAGTAACTTGCCTGGCGCTTCAATGAATGGGACATCTTTTTATGTCATTAACAAACAATCAGCTGGTATTTGAGTGGCATAGCCAACCCTGAAGCAAGGCAGAGGTGCAAACTGTTAATTTATCGAAAGTGTCTATCGTAAATTGTTTCGATAGCCATTTGTTTTTGACATCCCCAGTTCAGTTGCATGAATTTTGTACGTCGGATAGTTGTGTGCGACGGTCGTTTCGGCGCGAATAAATAATGGGCATTGCTAAAATGCTGTACAGTTAAAATCTCAAAATTATTTTTATTATTAAATTGTATAAAACGGCAATGCAAGCAAACACGAATTTATCCCATAAGCAATTATAAGCATAAAATATCTATCTGGACTGCGGTCGTGCGCGTACGCGGGAGAAAAGTGAAATTAGTTACTATTGGACATTAAATTGTGTGCATACCACACTGAAAAACGAAATAAACTGCGTAGAGGGCGTGAGCGGGCCTTGCAAAATAAGCACTAAACTGGCTCAAAACGACAAATTAAGCTTCTTTCTGAAGAACATGGAGGAGGAGGAGGAGGAAGTGACGGACCTGAAACTTCAGTTATTCCACAATACCATACGGGAGCACATTGTAAGTAAACACTCTCATCACTATTGTGACGTCACATTACATCAGTGCCAACAGCACCACCCCTAAAAGGTGCAGCTGCCTACATTACGCTATTGTTGCAGCTGCAACAATTGTAACTAGTACACGTCGCGAAATTCTGGCTCAAACCACAGTTAACGCCGAATAAACTCTTGCATGTGTGTGTGCACGTTTGCTTTTGTTTATGGCTCTTATCAGCTGAGCGCTCGATTTACGAGGCGAAAATATAGAAATTAGTGATAGCTGCCGCCATCACACAGTTTATATTTAAGTTGCTGCTTAAGTGATTTCCTGTTAGACCGTTAACTGCATGACCATACAAATTAAAAGGCGCCGAGTAGTTTGTAAAATTTAGCACTTGAAAAATAAAAAATGAATAAAAACGGCAAGCGAGAAAGAGCCGCGCAGCAACAAGTGAAAGTGTTTCGGTATATTAATAAACATTTTGGCTTGTAACGAAATCTATAAGCATATATGCATATATGCTTATAAGACATTCCGCAATCAAGAAATACACCAAGACCAAACAAAACAAATTTGAAATGTTTTCAAAAATGGTTGCACTTGCTACTAGTGTCAAGCGCGGGGCAGATGGTCGCGATCTGTGCCCAATCCCTAATTCAAGTGTGGCACTTGTGCCGGGTGGCAGTGGCCTCTTGTTGAAACAATAGCCACACGGCGGCGGTCAATTCAAGAATATATTTCAGTATTTTCATCATGCCGTGACACGGTACGCAGTCAACACAAAATGTTGATGTCTGCCAGTGCGATGTTTATGCAGCTAAAAATAAACAATTCATTCGATTAAATCATACAATTGCTTATGTATACACTGCATATATGTGTATGTTTACTTGTTTAATATTATTTAGTTTTATTATTTGTGTCAAAACTGACCAGGAAACCTGTAGCCGTCGCTTGGGTGCAAATGTTCTTCGTTTATCGCATTCATTAACGAAAATTGAATAATGTAATGCGGTATGTAGGTCAACCATTGGAGTACGTGTGTCGCATTCACAATGCTTTCCCGAAACCTGGTCAAAGTGTCCATAAACCCCTCAAAGAACAAAAAAAGAACTGAAAATGAAACCAAAAGAACGAATATCTTCGACATGCCGATGCCTAAATACTCTTGCAGCGGTTCTATATACAGATAAGTCGAAATAGCAATTGGGTGGTTATATATGTGTCTCTAAATACATGTTGGGGTTGGTCAAGATACGATTTTACTTAAACCTCAAGAGCATAGTAAACATATTCTCGAAGTGCCAAATCTAGGCAAGAAATAGATTGCTTGAATTACGTTAGAATTTCTTCTTCTTGAGCGTAAATAACATTTAAGAGGCCTCAATAGACCTTCTACAATCTATTGCTCTACAATATTCCAATATTTTGAAAACAGGCAACTAATCATAACCAAAACTGCCAACTTATTGAATATGTAGTTATTTACTCATACTCAAAAGCTTAAACAAGCCTTCAATATCTGTCCATTATTTAGAAATGTTTGGCTTCAAAATACATAATAGTTTATTTAACCATTTGGAAAACATCTTTCACTTAATGGAAGTGCGCGAAACGTATTTGTGGATCCACCATTCGCCGGTAAAGTTGTTGCACCGCAACATCAACAGCAACGGAACGGCAACAGCCAGAGCAACAAATGGCACAACATGCCGCCTAGACAACATTTATGATTGTCGCTCCCCTATTCGCGTTGCCTCTCTTTAGTCGGAATATGCATCGCTATTTTTAGCCAAGTTTTGCGTCGTTTTGGGCGTTTTTTCATCTCGAGTTCATGTCAAGTCATTGACTTGCTGCATTAACATGGCCAATGCATTTGGCTGAGCAACTCGCAGAACTTGTTGAGCCCATCGAGCTGATGGGCTACGAATAACCATATTCCAGGCAATCTCAATGCATACGTGCGTGTGTGCATACTTATTATACTTTATACGATGTCTATACTTTTGTTAAGCACTGTTCTATTTATAGTGAGTGCAATATATAAATGCATTGCTAGTTACAACATATGTTCCTACTTATGGAATATTAATTAAAAATTAAATCATCATAGGCTATGTATCTATCCTATATGTAGTGTATATATAAGTCTATATACATATAGTCTTGGAATTGGAAATTCGATCGGGTTTCCAATTTAATGCGGTTTTATAATACAGTCTACACTTCTGTGAGACCCATTAAACTCTATGATAATTAATGTATCAATTTTTATTAATTTTTTTTTTTTTGTTAGTGCTAATTTAATTAATACACTACAATAAATATTTCGTGTTTGAATAGTACTGATAATCTTGTAATTTGTGCAGAGGTTAAAACAATAAGTTGGAGGTCATATACTGTAGTAATAATAGAATTCTAATTATACTAGAATTCTTGAAGTCTTTGGCTTAAGCTGATAATTTGTCTTTTTACTTATCATCCATAAGAAATCGATAAAAATCGATATGAAAACTGTGTCTCCTGAAGCTGTAGCAACTCTAGACTAGTTTGATGGGCACAATAGCTCCATAGTTTTACACTAATTGAATGCCTTTCTCACAGCCAAAAGAAGCTCAAGTTGTTGTGCCAAGTGTATGGTGAAGTCATGTACCCTTGCTTGTTGGACAAGTGCGCTTAGGTAACAGTTTGTAATAGATTTCCGTGAGTATTCGCTGGAAACTGAACACAGCTGTGCGGTCTGTTCTTGTGAATTCCAAATGTGTTCGTATCGCAGTATTCATTCAGCATTCGTGCCAGACCGAGACTTGGCACTTAATAGCGCTTATCTCGTGTTTTATTATAAGGCGGACTGTGGGACACGCGTTCCAAGTTCAACAGCATTGAAATAAAACCCAAACGTCACAAAAGCTTTTCACATTACATAAATTCTTTTTGGCTTTATAAATATACGACGCACAGTAATAATTCAGAAAGAGAGAGAGAGAGCTTTATAGAGTAATTATCAATATGTATTGTGCTATAAATAGACAAAGTAATATTATTTATTCTTTCAATCAAACAATCAATCAATCCCAATCAACGCTGTTGGTCTCAATGAAGCATTAAATTAATTGCAAGCTGTCATACTTCAGCGTCAACTACTATATTTAAATATATACTATAACTTATATATGCATCTATAGTTTAAGTAGGGGCATTCGTTATATTCTGAGAGCCAGAGAACGACGCTGAGAGCAGAGAAGCAACAACAAACAGCCATGCGAGACATGCGTATTTATTGTTTTTTTGTTTTGAAGATTGTTTTTTGTATTTGTATTTGAGAACATGAAAAAGTCTTTTATTAATGATACTTGCATATTTGCTTATGTTGGTAAAAAAAATATATGTATTCTTTTGTTTTCTGTTTCTTTTTTTTGTCTGGTTTTTAATTTTTTTGCAGCGTAAAAAGCAATGACGTGTGCTTAAAGCGGTCGGCGTCTGTTTTTCATTTATTCGTTTACTGTTGTTTGTTATCTATGTCTGTTTCAATATATTTTAGCTATTTTAAATTGGCGTCTGAAAAAGATTTTAAGGAAATTGTCCCCAAAACAAACTGATTAGCGATTGTACTGAGACAACCAAAACCGAAATGAAATGAAAGAAAATAGCTGCTCTCAAGTTGATAAAAATATATTTAATTTATATTTATACATATTCATATTCAGCTATCTTTGAAAAGTTTTAATCTATTGTTCTCAGAGTGTTCATATGTACATTTATACGTATTTCCTTGAAATTATATTGGTATATACATCGAATATACTTTTACTCTGACTTAGTTGAAGTATATCTTGAATATGATGTCTTTCGGAATATAAACGAGTAGATTGGTTTCATGAAATGTCTGTTCTTCTGTCAGTATAAACGCAGTTATTGAAACATATTTAAGCATGCGTACCCTAGACTTGTAAAGAGTAAACAGTTCAAGATATGACTGCGGGCGTATGGGAATTACTATATATAGTTTATATATATATATATAAATATTTAAATAATATTTAATTATTGTAAAGTCAAGGTCAAGTTTGCATAAACATTTTGGGTGCGAGTCAAGCAGAAAATGGTATTTTCTGCAGTTTTTACAGTTGATTTATAGTTGACTGCTTCTAAATATTGTCCTAAAATTGTACATATAATAAGCTAATTAATAGATAAATGATTAATTATTACAAATATGAATGATAATACAAATAATCAAATGATGATCGTCTTATCATACACGTAGGGCAGGCGCTGGAGGCGTTATATATAATTATAATTAAATAGAAAATACTCTACATAAGTTGCCAAACAAATTAATTTAATAATACTATTAATTAATTATTATCATATTGATCTCATAACTTTATCTACATAATTCCGATACTCTATTGAGACTTTATCTGTATTTAAATGGATTTTTTTTTGTATATATTCAATCTAATCCTTATCAATACATTTGACGCCTTGTCGTTAGTTGCCGATAAGAAATATAAATGATGACCTTTGATCTCTATTTCCCCTATTGTGGAAGTTCTTTTAATTGTTAATCATCAAATGTTTGTTTATATTGATAACTGGGTTAGAACACGAAGGACAAAAATGTGTATCCAAGGCCGGAATTTCTTAACTAAATAAACGAGTTTTACTCTTTCGCTAATTTTTAATTTAATTTTTTTTTTTGTAAAATCATTTTAAAAGTAGTCTAATACTAATTTAAGAAACGCCTGCCATTTGTTTATCTGAATTGTCAATCTCCGTATTTTTAATTTTAACAATTATATAATTGAAGACCTTGAAGTAATCATATGAATGTGCATAATGTATATTTCATATTTAATTAAGATAACGATCTAGAAAGTGTCAAAAATAAACAGAATTGAGTAAAAAATCAAAATCTAAATGGAACAAGTAGTTTCCATATAAAACCATCATAATAAAATATGGCACGATATCCAGGTGTTAAGGTATTAAGCTATTGAATCAGCTTCCAGCTTGATTTTTACTCTTATGTTTATTTACCTTTTATTCATGATTTCAACTGTTTCTTCAATTAACGAATACTTTTCTCTATTGCAGATATTTTTGCTGCTCATCATTTTACTTTACTTTAGCTCCTATGTGGTTGTCTCTCGCTTCCGCCGACGCGATCGCGACGATCTCTACTCAAATGACGAGGACGAGGTGCTGGTCTATCGCATAAGGTAACTTATTATTACTATACAGTATACAGTTAGGTTGAGCGTGACGTGTGCCGTCTGGCAACCACCAACAACGCTGATTGCACTGCAATCGATATGCATTCACATGGCAATGATCAAACTCTTTGCAGCTTTTGGTTGTGCACCTTCACGTTGGCCGTGGCTGAGGGTGCGGCTATGCTGTTGCCCGTTTCCATAGCAAGCAACGAGGTTCTGCTACTATATCCCAACAGCTACTACGTCAAATGGCTGAACAGCTCTCTGATACAGGGTATGTAAAGCTCTAGAAAATACGAGGAACGGTCAAATATTTTTATATGCCTTTGTTGCAGGACTGTGGAATCATGTTTTTCTCTTTTCAAACCTATCGCTTTTCATCTTTCTGCCCTTCGTCTACCTGTTCTCCGAGTCGACGGGCTTCGTGGGCCACAAGAAGGGCATCCTGGCCCGAGTCTACGAGACGTTCATCGTATTCCTGTTAATGGCTATCATTGTGCTTGTGCTGACCGCCGTTCTGAGCGCGGTGTTTGGCATTGAAAAGTTTCAATTCTTCTGGTTTCTAAGTAAGTACAAGCGAGATCTGACTGAAACGGAAACAGTTCCGCTTGAACGCTTAGCAGACTGCACCCATCGCCTAATATAGTTGACGTTTTGCTAATTTCCGCTTTTTACGCTTCACAGATTTGGGCAGTGTTCACCTGCCGTTCCTTTATTCATGTGTCTCATTTCTGGGTGTAATGCTAATGCTGAGTAAGTACAATTCAATACAAATTACATGTGCTTCAATCAATCTCATTACATTTTCTCATCAATCTGGCTAATGAATTTGTCGATGTATGCTAGCTGCTGTGGATTGTGCAAGCGTGCCTGATTCACACTCTCCTCAAAGCGTTCCACATCTTTCTGTTGCTTGTGGGCAGTGGCCTTGTACAGCCAAGCACGTAGATTAGTCTCCTGCAGCTTGTCCAACACATATTGGCAGTCATCGATGGCCCGTTTGTAATTGCGGAGTCTGTGATGCAGATTTATTTAAGAACTCACTCACTCTGTATCAAGGCAGTCACTCACCTGATGTAGCATAGGGCTCGATTGTTATAGGTAATTGCGCTATTCTTGACTCGTTCTATTGCCTTGCTGTAGTGCAAAATAGCCTTCTCATAGTTGCCGCCGCGAAACGCCTCATTGCCTTGACTGAGAATTATTACATAGGTTTTTGTTCACATACTTAAGCTTAATTATATATACTTGCCTGCGCTGCAGCTCCGCCTCATATTCACGTTGGGCACGTGCCTGTGCACGTTCATTGGCATCGCGTTCGACTTCCTTCATGAATCCTTGCTGGTCCGTGAGCTGGGGCTTGTTCTGCTCCTCGCTGCGCTTATTGATTACAGTGCGATCTTCGCGCACTTTCAACTGAACTTTATCTACATCCATGTTTTCGAAGTCTTCAGCCGTTTTCGCTTTGGGCGGCTCATCTGCCTCGGGCTCACCCTTTAATATTTGGTCGATCTTCTTCAGAGTTATTTCGAAATCGGCAAAGTCATCATGCTTTTCCTTTTCATTTTCCATTTTGTGACTGTGGATATAAAAACTTGTATTGAGAATAAAGTATTTCGCTTCATTCAGTGCTAGCCGGCAGCTGTAATTTTTGTTAGTTAGTTTGTTTGCTTCGCAACCTTGGAAACGAACTCTAACGCTTTGTTTTATTTCTCCATGTTTACTACAATTTTCAGTTTGTACGCCGTACGGGTTTGTGCGGCTCTTTGGCGTTGTCAACCAGGTGCTGGTGAGGCCAATGTTGCTGCGAGACGTGAACGAGGAATTCAGCGCGTTCTACATGGAGGAGGCGAGCGTTAAGCGCAAGCTGGCTCACATTGAATTGCACAATGTGAGCATTTTAGATGCGGCGAACGGCAATCGCTTACCCATGGGCAGTGGCAATGGCAATAGCAATGGCCATGGTCGCTCACTGAGCTATCTACCACAGCCGCTTCTGCAACATTCTCTGGCGCATTTGTATCAGCGCAAAACGCTTGTCGGGAATGTGAACGAGCACCAGCTGCTGCTAAATGAAAGACTGAGAGAGCTGGACAGTGAACGCAAGGAGTTGGACAAGATGCGCAAGTCGAGCACCTTTCAACGCACATTTGTCTACCCGCTTGCCATGCTGCTGTTGCTCTTCTGCACGGCCGTAACTATACTCCTAGTTGTGCAGAACACATTGGAGCTGCTCATAGGCATTAAGGCGCTGCCATTGAGCACTAGGGTAAGGCTGCTATTTTACATTTAACTTTATAGAATTTTATATATTTATGTTTCGTTTTAGCAATTTACGCTTGGCATTTCCTCGCTTTCAAAACTTGGCCCCGTTGGCGCCGGCATGGAGGTGTGCCTAATTTTCTACTTGGGTGCCACCTCAGTAGTCGGCTTTTATAGCATGCCCTTCATGAGCAATGTGCGACCGAAGCGGCGACAAACATCACTGCCCCAGCTGATGCTAAATTGCGGCTTCATGCTGGTGTTGTCCTCAGCTCTGCCGCTGCTAAGCAGAATCATTGGTATTGACCTCTTGCATACTTGACATTTTTGCTCGTGCTAATGCAGATTATTTTTTTTAGGCATTACAAACTTCGATTTGCTGGGGGACTTTGGTGCTATCGAGTGGCTCGGCAATTTTCAGATTGTATTGCTGTACAATCTCGTATTTGGCACAACGACTGCGCTGTGCCTGGCCAACAAGTTTACGGCGACGGTGCGACGCGAGCTACGTGCACGGTTAGTGGAGAACTATGTGCTCTTTACTAACTACATGAGCTTCATCAACTGATATTTAAGACAGCGACACAACAAAGGGTTACCCTGTCAGCGACAGCGCGACGCTGATCAGCTGCTCAGGCGCTTTGTTGAGTCGCCCCTGAAGAGTCTTACTAGTTTATATGCCAATTACTACGATCTGAGAAAGAGTAGACGCATTAATACCACCGCTAGTCGCCAGGCAAACCAGATGGACTGTTGAGAAATGAGAGAAATGTGAAGGTGAACCTTCAAACATGATTATAATACACCTTATACAGAACTGATATTGATATTTAAATGTGGCGCTGTTTATTGTTGTGCTTAATTGTTATAGTTTATAGGGCCCTGAGAGGTGTACGTGCAGCATTTCAACTTTATTTTTCCGTTAATGCGCGTACACACATCCTCACACACACAAACACAAAAGCACACACTTATGCATAGACACAATATTGAATAACTCTATAATTCATATTTGTGAACGTCTATCAAATTTTATTTTATATACAATCTTCGCGTACAACATAAACTGCTGTCAACAGAATAGGTTTAGTCTAAATTGTAGGTGTTTTTGGAAATTTTATTAGTCTGAGTCTTTAGTCAACGTCGATTCAGGTCGATACCCATTTCATGCATATTTATTCAGTAATTTTCGTAATTGTACTAATTTAAAGAAAACCATTTTAACGCATGCGTCTCATTGTCATTCTTAATCATAAACGAATAATTTATATTAATATATATATATATATACATATGTATTTAACAATAATGTTCCTTATAAGGCGTACTCTGGCGTGCGCCTCATCATTTTTATTGCATACTAAAAACAATAAAACAACAACATTTATGCATCTACAAGTTATGTGATAAAATTTAAATAAAAATAGTTTAAAATTAAACAATAATGGCTTTTTCATTTCGCAAACTCAACTTTTTGCCATAATTTATCATTGAGAAACAGAACTAAGCTCAAGTTTTGTTTATTTTCAGTTTGACGTCTCTATTTTTGCTAGCGTAATGGTCAACGGCCGGCTTAGACTGTTGTAAACTATTTAATTACTGTGATCTTAAAATAAATAGACTATATTCTTATTTCAAATTTAGTTTCTTCTTTTCATTTTTATAGCATGTTCAAATATAAAATTAATTCCTATAAGAATGAATCTCATTATTTCCACATTTAAATAACTAAGATATTTAACGTAAGTTGGCATGCCCCCAAAACTATTGAGTGAACACTGTTATCGATGTATCGCAGGGCTGCAAAATGTATAGCGATAGTTTACAGTCGATATATAGTGAACACCACTAATTTTTCCGGTGGCGTCGTTGTAAAATAAAGTTCTTAGTTTGAAATTTTACTTAAAATATTTGCATAAACATGCTGAGCCGTAAGCGTCGCGCTAGCTCAATATCAAGTCGACAAGACGAGGATCCACTCTTGCTTGACGATTCGACGCCTGAGCAGTCTCCGGTACAGCAGACACAATCGGCGCGCAAAAAGCGGCGCTTGGATCCAGCGGAGCTGTGCCAACAGCTGTACGACTCGATACGCAACATTAAGAAAGAAGATGGATCAATGCTGTGCGATACATTCATACGGGCTCCCAAACGTCGCCAGGAGCCCTCTTATTATGACGTGGTGGTAAACCCCATCGATTTGCTAAAAGTACAACAAAAGTTGAAAACAGATTCTTATGACGATCTGTACGATATGATGAATGACCTGGAATTGCTGATAAGCAATGCAAAGGCGTTCTATAAGCCCGAGTCGACCGAATTTCAGGACGCACTTGCTCTGTGGCAACACATACAGACACATAGACAGCGCATCATGGAAGCTAATGGCTTCGCGGAGGAGGAACCACGTGCTAAACGTGCGCCGCGTAATGCACGGCGTCTGACGAGCAGCACAGAGCCTGGAGCAGGGGACCTTGACGACGAATGCAATCAGTACGAAGAACTTTTTGCATCTATCATGACTGCTACGGATCCAATTGGCGACAGGGCTATGCATCGCATGTTCCAACTGCTGCCGTCCAAAAAAGTTTATCCGGACTATTATGATGTGATAGAGCATCCCATTGACTTGCGCCTGATTGCCACCAAGATACAAATGAACGCCTACTCGTCACTAGTGGAAATGGAGCGTGATCTGCTGCAAATGACTAAGAATGCCTGTCTCTTCAATGAGCCCGGATCGCAGATCTACAAAGACGCCAAAACCTTAAAGCGAATATTTACGCAGCGCCGTCTAGAGCTGGAGTCGGGCAAGGCCAAACCAGTCCGACGCCTGAAGAGCTTATCAAGTGCAGCTATATCAGGTATGTTGAATTCCCGATGGACAAATTAATGAAGTATTGAAAAATCTATAATGTTGTCCAAATTATAGCGCTAAAAGAAGAATTGGATAGCTCTGACGATGAGGAGACCAGCAAGAAAGGCGAGGGACCCATGTGGGCGTTATTTGACCACTTATATAATGCTCCAGGCACCTCGGAGCATCCGGGTGTCACCGGTCCGCCGCTAGGCAACTCTTTATGGAAGCTGCCAGTGCGCCGCTTTCATCCTGAGTATTTTGAGTTAATCAAACGTCCCATTTCTATGAGTCAGATTAACACAAAGCTGAAGAAGGGAGATTATGCGAATATAAGTGATCTCACAGGTGATCTGTATTTAATGCTGGACAATGCCAAAAAGGCATTTCCAGTCACGCATCGCACGCACAAAGATGCACTGAAAATGCAAAAACTCATGAATGCAAAACTGGTCGAGGAATCATTGGAGGAAACCAGTGACATGGATGAAGATGAAACTGATGAAACTTTCACAACCAGCGTGCAGCCAGAGAAACGAAAGCCGGGCCGACCACGAGTCAATTCCAGTTCCAGTACGGCGCATACATCTAATAACTCAAATTCTCCTAAAACGAATCGCATTGCTATAAACGCAGCCATCAAAAAGAAGATTCTCAGCATTCAAAAATATTTGGTGGACTATACAGTGGGCAACCGTCGGCCGATTGAGATGTTCATGGAAAAGCCGCCACGCAAAGTATATCCAGATTACTATGACATAATACAGAATCCAATTGACATGAACACCATCGAGCACAATATACGTGCCGATCGCTATGCTACTGTTGAGGATGTCGTATCTGACTATCGGCTCATGTTTTCCAATTGTCGGCAATATAACGAGGAGGGCTCCAATATATACGAGGATGCTAATGCGCTGGAACGTGCCCTGAATGAGAAACTGAAAGAATTTCCCGGTCTGGTTGAGGTCAAGAGACCACTTCAAAAATACAAGCTGGGACGCAAGCCAAAGGCAGCGCTGTTAGCCGACCGAGAACGTCTGTGGCAGTTCTATGAAACACTGCGGGACTATCAAGAGCCGAAAGGCAAAAGACAGTTGTCGTTGATTTTTACAAAGCTTCCATCAAAGAGCGACTATCCGGAATATTATGACATAATCAAGGACCCCATGGACATGGAGCGGATTGCGCAAAAACTTAAGCAAGCTGCCTACGAAAGCGTGGACGAGCTAGCAGCCGACTTTCTGCTTATGCTTGAGAATGCCTGCAAATATAACGAGCCCGACTCGCAAATATACAAGGACGCATTGGTGTTGCAGCAGTTGACGCTGCAGCTAAAGCAACAACTGCGCACTGAACGTGATGCACTGCCTGATGTTCCATTGGCTGTTCAGGAGCTATTTTTAACTCTATTCTCCTCGGTTTACAATCATCAGGATGAAGAAGGGCGTTGTTACTCGGACTCTTTGGCTGAGCTCCCCGAGTACGATGAATTGGGCGAGGGCGCAAAGGTACGCGGCATCTCCTTGGATCTGATCAAGAGGCGTCTGGATAAGGGCGCGTATAAACGTTTGGATGTATACCAAGAGGATATATTTGCATGTTTGGAACGAGCGCGTAAATTGTCCCGCACCGATTCGGACATCTTTCAGGACTCTATCGAACTTCAAACATATTTTATACGAAAGCGAGATGAGCTGTGCAAGGACACATTGAGTTCGCCAGCGCTCGGATTCACACTGGACAAATTGCTTGCAGACGTGGAGGTTATGCGGCTACAAAAGGTGGTCCAAGAGGAGCAGGACCAGGAGCAAGAGAAGGAGGACTTCAATGCCAGCGCAAAAGGTGAAAGCATGACAATCAACCAGCAGGTTTATTCACCTGGCGACTACGTATACGTGCAGATGCCAGATAACAAGATTCCCAGTATTGCATGCATCGAACGGCTGTGGACTACCCCGACCAATGAGAAGCTAATGCAGGCCTCAATCTTTTTGCGCCCCCATGAAACCTATCACGTTACGACTCGCAAGTTTCTCGAGAAAGAAGTGTTCAAGAGCAGCATTTCGCAAACCATATCCATGGACAAGGTATTGGGCATGTGCTACGTCATGCATATCAGGGACTATATTAAGCTACGGCCGGATGGGCTGCCCGAAAAAGATGTGTTTGTCTGTGAGTCGCGCTACAACTTGCAGGGTCGTTGCTTCAAAAAGCTTAAAAATTGGCCAACCTCGCGCGAGAGCAACAACAGCTCTGTGCGATTTGTGCCGCGCGAAACGCCATTGGAGCTGAAGCGTGTGATGTCCGTCTTCAAGGAACGGATAGAGAAGCACAAGGGTGAACTAGAAGAGCTTAAGCTACAAGAGGTACTCATCGAAAAGGAGAAACCCAATGTAACCTGCGACGCGCCACCAAATGCCCAGGACAACAGTGTATACTATCAACAGTACAACACCATTTGCAGTGGAGTTATTAAGACCGGTGACTTCGTATATGTGGCCACGCAAAGTGGCAAGCAATCCGTTGCACAAGTCCAGCAAATCTGGGAACTAAATGGCAAGTCGTACTTCAAGGGGCCATGGCTGCTGGCGCCTAGCGAGACGACGCCGGCTTTGGGCAAGCAATTCTATCGCCAAGAGCTACTTCTGAGCACTGTTGAGGATATGAGTCCTGTCATCAGCATCGTGGGCCGATGCGCTGTTCTAGAGTATGCCGAGTTCATTAGCTCCCGGCCTACGGAAATTGCTGAGAGTGATGTGTACATATGCGAGTCTGTCTACGATGAGCTTAAAAAGGCGCTGCGCAATCTGGTAGTTGGTAATCTGCGCAAGTTCCAACACAGCGCTGAGGTTACAGAGGATGAGATCTTTTACTTTAAAACTCATATAAAACCGGCGAAAGATGTTAAAAGCGAGTTGAACGAACTGGCCATGCTGGAAGATTCCATGGATGGCGATACACCATCCCTAAGCTCGGATATAGTGGCGATATCTTCCCCAGCACCGTCTATCAACTCCACTCCGCTTACCTCTAAAGCAAAAACCAAATCGACCAAGAAGAGCCTCACCGGCTATATACTCTACTCCAGCGATGTGCGGAAGGGTAAGTACTGATTGAATGGAGCTTTCACTGGTTTCCTTATATAAACATTTTTGTTCTCATTAACAGGTATAAGTCAGAGCAATCCGGATGCCACATTTGGTGACATTTCGCGCTTGGTGGGCAACGAGTGGAAGAGTCTGCCGGCCAGCGTGAAACAAAGCTGGGAGGATCGCGCCAACAAGCTAAATGAAGAGGCCGCGGCCTTGCGTCGCGAAATTGACGACAACCAAAATTGCGGTAGTCCGTTGCCTCTAAACGCAGCAGGTGGCCAGGACGCCAGTCCGGCACTGACCTTTGAGTGCCTATGGGACAAATGTGACTTTCAGTTTGAAGAGATGGCCGACTGCACCGAGCACTGCCTATCGGATGGCACCGGGCACATAAACCGGCATCCGCAAGCGGGAGTCGAAATGGAATACGTTTGTCTATGGCGCAATTGTCCTCGTATTCGCAAGTCCATACAGGCGTTCCCCAATGTGCTGCGTCTCGTCAAACATGTACGCGAGGTGCACCTGAGCAAATGTGGCAAGCCGCTAAGCATCACAGAACGAAGCAAAAATTTTGTACCGCGCAAACAGAAAAATCTACCACAATTAGCTGTAGCAATGCCCTCTAGCAATGTGTTGTCACCACGAGCTCCTCTTAACACGGAGACAATACAGCATCAGCAGCACCAAATGCAGTTTCAACAACAGCAACAGCAGCAGCAGCAACAACAACAACTCCAGCTGCAGACCATTGTTACGGGACCGCCTCCAGAGCCTATGTTCGTAACTGTTCCACCTCGTGCCAACCGTGTCATCCACTCTGAGGCGTATATTAAGTACATTGAAAGCTTGCAGACGGGCAGCCATTTGAGCGTCAGTGCGTGCAACAACAATTGGCGGCGATCACTAACCCACGTGCATCCCAACCAGGTGGCCAAGACGCAACTGCCAGAGCACTGGCTTGGGCCCAATGTACGTGACCGAGAAAATGTGGTGCAGGCGTTGTGCCATTTACGCAATTTTATGCTAGACGATGTGCTCGAAATTCGACGCAGCTGCAACTAAAGTTAATTCTCAGTTGAAATCTCATCTTTTCTCTGTTAAAAAAAGTTTATTAAGAACACCAAACACTTGTATTTATATGGATGCATATATACACAAATGCATTTGTTACATTTGCCTGTAAATGTCATATGATTTTTGCAATACAATCGATGTATCATATATACATAAAGCGTGCTAAATGTAAGAACAATATAATAAACAACTTGTCCTCATCAAACTGTTTTTCTTTTTTTATATAATTCCTATCTATTACATCTTTAATGTAATATGCATATCTTATGTAGCTGTTTGCCATGCAATTATAATAAATGTTCCATAATTAACTTATAGCTGGTTATATTTAAATACAATCTACATTTCATTTAATTCTTTATATCGAATATAAAAATGTAGAATGCAGTTTTGCTTTATTTGAAATTTGTTCTAACGGCTTTTTAATTATGGCAAGTAAATATCGCTAAGTTGGCATGTCTGGTCGATAGACTAGAACAGCTTGGTCACTCTAATTGAAATACAGCTGAGTTTGTTTATATTGTTATTCTGCTGGAAAAGTTGAAATATGTCGAGTGAGGAAAAGAAAAAAAGAGGTAAAAATTTTACGGCGGAGGAGGAACAAGTTCTTATGGAACTGCTCGAGGAAAGAAAGAACATATTGGAAAACAAAAAGTCAGATGCGGCTATATGGAAGCAAAAGGAACAGGCCTGGGAGGAAATGGCTGACACCTTTTACGCCAGAACGGGCATTTACCGTGAATGGAAAGCGTTAAGAGATAAGTTTATAAACATGAAACGGAGATCCAAGATTGAACTGGTGGACGACAAGTCTCACAACTTTCGCACCGGCACAGGGAAATATATTGCCCTAATGGGAGAATCAACAGCAGGCGTGGGCAACAATTTTGACAGCGATGCTTGTAAGTACTATTAAAGTTGATTAAAACTTTCTAATTGTACAAAATGGTGTTATTCTCTTATAGCTAATGTTCAAACTGACATCAATTTCGAAGGAGAGGATGATATGTTTGGAAATTCCAGTGACACCCACGACGTAAGCAGAGACAGCAATATGAGAGACGGGCGAGCATTAAGATATATTTTGCATTTTAGATTCCCAACATCATTGAGCACAAAGAAGTCAGAGCAAATATAAGTTCGGACTGGCCAAGCTTGAATCCACGAACCCTGCGCAGCTTAGATGAGGAGAAGATTAAGCTAGTGCTTCTTCAGCAAGAATTTTACAAAGGCGAAAATCAACGAGCACAAGAAAAACACAATCACGAAATGCTCAAAGAGAAGATTAAGCTCGACCAAGAAGTACAAGAGGGAAAATTACGAATCGAAATGATGGAATTGGAAATACTTGAAAAAAAAGCTAAATTAGATTTATAATGTAAGCTTCAACCATATATAGAGATAGAGGGAGCATTTCATGTTTAGTAATTAAGAATACGAAATAGCTTCGGATTACCGCAGATGAATAGCCTTGCAGAGACCAAAACTGTATTGGAATACAATCTGGTTACCAAGTTAGGTATTGGTTCCGGTACAGTCCATAAGACAATAACTCTTATATACGACCGATCAATTCTATAACAACTTTTTGCTATAGAAATCCGATTCGGCCGGTTACGACATAATGTACATGTTATCAGACATAAAACATTCAAATAGATAGAGCCAAAGTTGACTCTATGGACAAACGTTGTTGAGCTATTCAAAAATACTTGATAGGGCCTTCTATGGAGCTCATTTGGGTTTTCAATTTCGAGTATAATAATAAATAATGGAGTCCTCTGATCAGATTTAGCTGCATATTTAATTATTATCTTTTTACATAAATGTCATAATGTGCAATTTGTATTGTGTCTCCTAAGCTAATAATAATATTGAAAATTAAAACGTTTAGCTTATATTTCTGCAAAAATATCAATCTTCGGTTGGCCTAAGATATGTTATTTTTATTGTTTCATTATTTATGATTTAGCACTCACTTTATTATTAATTGGACGTCTCTGTATATTACATGCCTAGTGAATTAAGTCTAGAGTTAAGCATAATACATTTTCAAAATATTTTGTAATGAAATCATCTAATGCAGACTTACAACTTGTATAAGCTGCCTAAATATATTAGTAGTAAACATAAAAATAATAAAAATAAATAAATAAATAAAAATAATAAAAATAAAACAAAAACATTTATTGAACATTAGGTGATTGTAGAGGTTTGCTGATTCTAATCTGACTTATTTTACTTTATTACAAATTAAATTTAAACAAAATGTATAATTTTCGTTAGGATCCAATGGATATGCTTTAGTTTTGTGCTATTGTTACCCAAATATTTTCGTAATATTCAGCCAACAATACAAATATATTTTCGATATTTTACTTTCTTTAGCAGAAATATTTAAAACTTTTGAACTTTGATGGTATTTTAAAATAACATGAAGATGACAGAAGACCAAAATACTGTTCCCTTTTGGGAACAGAGTATACAAAGAGTTCGTTATATAGAAATTTTAATCTGGTCACCCCAAAACATCGCCAATAAAAGTATCGTGTAAATTTAAGTACTGTATGGGTGGAACAATCGGCATCTGGCTGCCATGACGTCATGGCGGGGTCTTTTCTCGCTTTTGTTTTGCTACGGCGGTACGACAACAAACCGGTTTCCCTATTGAACACTGATAATGTCACTTGGTTATTTTAGCCATGGTTATCTAATTGGCTGTCCCACACTCTACTCACCCAATCTCTGATGTGCTCATATGCTCTCTTTCGATATTTTTCTATTTATGCTTTGTCTCAAAGCTTTCATCTAGGCGAAAAAATATCAGCGTTCAGTCATAGTTCGTCACTGGTGGATTGCAGACGGTTATTCTTTGTCGAAGTTAACGTTTATCAAATTGAGTAGCAACAATGTCCGAGGGCGAATCAAAGTTTGGTTTCAAGGATATGGAGAAGGCATTGGAGACGCTCAAGCTGCTGGAGAGTCATGATATGCAGTACCGTAAACTTACCGTTCGGGGACTGCTCGGACGCGCCAAACGCGTCTTAACGAGTAAGATTCAAACGAATCTCTTTTTTACCTTTAAAAGGAATTATATATATAAATAAACTACAATTGCCATATATAGTGACAAAGGCTGCAGAGAAACTGAAGAACATAAATGATGCTATTAGTGTGTTTGAGCAATGGCTGGAGGAGAACGGAGGCGGTGCCTCTAATAAGAATGCAAAGACTGATGGCGACGACAAGGTCGAAACCGTGCCTGGTCTGGGCTTTAAGGACAAGGCAGCAGCGCTAGCGACCCTAAGGTAGGCGCGCTTTACTCTGCATATTAATAAAAATCAGCTGAAGGTCATCATCGTCAGCGGCACTTCGTTTTTGAGGCCACTATGATGTCATGTCACAGTTTTAGTGTTTAATATCAACGCTCCCTCTTTCGGAAGTCTAATAATTTGGTTGAGAGACCGCCTAGCGACTTGCCTCTCCGACTGCCGCTCTCTGTGTGTATATGTAACTGCATATGCAAAGCATTTGGCACGCTATGCGGACGCATTCCACAGTTTGTCTATACAAATATTTATATTCGTATATGCGTATTAAATTGATGTATCGATACATTTTAATTGCAGTATTTTGGCGGAACGTGATCCAGATTACCAAAGACTAGCAATCAAGGGTCTGATTGGCAGCTCAAAGCGAGTGCTCTCTGGCACCAAGAATGAAGATAAAATTAATTCGATCAAAGAAGGGGTTCAAGTACTCGAAGAGTTCCTTGAAAAATTCGAGACGGAGAATCGGATCAAGGATAACAGAGCTTATCTTTCACATGCATTGATCGCTAAATTACCTGAACCGAAAGATGAACTGGCATCCGAGTTCCTGGTTGCTTATGGTGGATCTAAGGCGAAGGGAAACTATAAGCACCTTCGTACAATGTATCCCAAGGATGAGACAACGAGTTGGGATATAGTACGCAATCGCCAAATAGCAAAATTGCTAGAGAAGATCAAGAGCGAAGATTTGAATCTGTTCGATAAGGAGACAGGCGCTCCCAGTGACATACATTTAGAGCTGATACACTGGGCATACAGTCCGCAGCAAGACAAGGTAAAGAGCTATGTGAAAAAACATATCAAGAAATCGCCAGAGAAACGGAAACTTGACACCGACAGTAGTAGCGATGATAACAGTACTAGTAGTAATTCGGATTCGGAAGAGAAATCTGTACCCAAAAAGAAAAAGAAAGAAGAGTGATGGAAACCCAAATGCAAGAAGTGTTGCGCTTTGTGTAACGAACAAAAACGGTATATACTTTATTTAAATGCGCCAACTGAACCTCAAATCGATTATATTTTTGTGGTAAACACTTTGTTTTGTATATATGAATGTAATTTGATATATGTGTGTATATACTGCTGATAAGGCCTCGCTTAGATGAGCTATACATCTAACGCTAGCCATCTAATAACCAAATACAACAAAATAAAAAATATCTGCTTCGTTTGTCATTTAAATTTCAAGCTCAAGTTTAACCGGCTAACTGCTGTGTAGTTGTGATCGATAGGCATCGATTGCTTGTGGTGGTCTAACGATTGTCATTTCTGAACATCACCTGCTTGCCAACACTAATTTTTATTTATTGCACCATTACAAACTTTGTATTATCCATCAACAAAACAGTGTCGCACAATAAAGCAGTGAGTTCCCCACACAAACATACACACCTACACAAAAATAAATTACATAATGTACATGAGATATGGTTACACCCACACAATGGTGTTCCCACACTCCACCTACTGATACTTATGCAAGCCACTGTCATAGTAATCCACAGCCGTCGATTTTTGCACGCGAAGTGGTTGCGAATGCGACTCCGGCGACGATTTGGCCAACGACAAGGCCAACTGATGCTGCTGGTCTGCCTGTTTGCTTGTAAGGTGACCATATGCCATGTTGAAAAGCGCATCGGGATCACATACAAAGCGATAGACATACCGTTCACCATTGACCTTCTGCATAATTCCCTTCTCATAGTAATAGCGCAGACTTCGCGACAGCTTGTCATAGTTCATAGCTGGTCTATTCTTTTGTATGCCCCACCGACGTGCCACCTCCTCCGGTTCGATGAGCTTAAATTCCATGCCTCGTCCTGTCCACGCAATACAACTAGAGCTGGGTACAGTAAATGAGATGAAATCATAGTGGAAGTCAATCTCTTCCCCACTTACCTAGTAGCGGGTTCATCCAGAAGGGCTACTAAAAATTGCCATAATTGAAGCGAGCCTCGACGCTGGCTAATGGTCTGCCCATTGCTGCTGGTGGATATTGTATTGCTAGCATAAAACTGATCTAAGCGAAGCTCCGCATCACTAGACGTTGTGGAGTCGACCACACTGGGTCGCAATGGTGGCGGATAGGTTGAAGATATTGTGGCATTATACGGACCACTCTCATACTTAAGATCCGGCTCGCTAGCAGAGCCTATGCTGGGTGAAATATCGCGATACACTGTGGCATGCGACTGGGGTTGCGAATGCTGCTGGTGGGTATAGTGTGGTGCTGCGGCGTAGACAGCTGAGCTGGAGATGACCGCCGTATGGCTAAATTTGAAGGCGGAGGCTGCATGCACCGGAGTCAGGTGTGCATGCCCCTGCTGATGTGTATTCTGTGGCTGTTGATGGCTGTGGCTATGTTGATGCACCGAATCATGATGCTGTTGCTGCTGTTGTTGCTGTTGCTGTTGTTGTTGCTGCTGTTGCTGTTGCTGCTGTTGTTGTTGCTGCTGATGATGATGTGCAGCAGCGGCTGTCGTTGTAGAGTCGGCATGCTCGATTTTGGTGTTGTGCTGATGAAAGTGCTGACCAACAGATACATCATTGCAATATACAGCAGCTGCTGCAGCGGCGGCGGCAGCAGCGGCGGCTGCGTCTAAAAAGAGAGATGGGCAAGAGAGTTAAAAGAGCCAAATGAAAGCCGCTTTCACGCACGTTTAACCAAGGAGCGTAAGAGTGGGCACTAATTAAGCTGCATGTTTCTACTCTTTAAAAAGAGTATCAAGCATTCTTGAATCGTTATGTAATGCAAGAGTAAAGGACGCTCTGCCTTTCCATCCATTTATTTGATAGACATTTAATTTTTGGTCAATTCTAATAAAGCAATGAATAAAATACATGGATACAAATTCCGACGACCACCCGACCAAAGGTCGCATCTAATCTAATAAGATAATTTTAGAACATATTCATATTTGTTGTTGTGAAAAGAATATTTAATTTGTATAAAAAATATGATAATTTGAATAAGTAACGCGTGAAATATAAAGAGTATATGTAATTTCGATTGGCGAACATCTGCTTGTTCCACTAAATGGCCAAGGTATTTAGCACACATTAATTATTTAAGCAACCCACTACAGACTCTTGCAAATGGCCAATATGCTGCAATTTAAGGGCAAGCAGAACAACAGAATAAACCCCACCCAGCGCTGCGGACCCGCCTACGCCACGCTTAATGCCGTTTTCATTAGACGGTCCTGGTCGCTCCTTGGCAGTAGCTCAAAATCACATCCAGCAGGCAACGCGACTCGACGCTGGGCACATTAAAAATGCACGAGATACCTCTGCATAATCCATGAGAAAGTGTCGACAAGTAAAAACATCATTGTCGATAACACAACAAACGAGCAGCGGGACGAGCTGGAAAACCTGTTGGCTGCCAAAACGTACACAGTACTTGCACAGTAAGGATTTGCCAGTTCCCAGTGGTGCGACGCCCACCCTCATGCTTACCCTCACCCCAATCAGCAAGTATGTTCAACTCAATCCACTCAGCGGCTGGTGATTGAGTCGCTTGTTTGACTGCAACCCACCCACTCCATCCGCCAAAGCAGCCGGAGGCCAACTAAGAGCATCGCATTGCTGAGTCGTTCAGTTGCTCTCAAATTGAATTTCATGCCCGTGCCACCAATTGGATTAGCGGTTACTAACACCGCGGATACTGTTATTGTAAATTATGCGCGCGATTTCTTACATTTCGTTCAAAAAAAAAGAAGAAATCCAAGTCATCTTGTAGAAAAACAAATTGAGTTATTGGCGCACATTTGATAGCTATATCTATATAGATATATATATTGCTCAGGCGCAGTCTGCACGTAGCTGAGCTTAATTTAAATAAATGATGAACGCATGCCCTATTAATTCTTTTCTGATTCTCAAATTTTCATTTGCTTACCTTCGTCGCTCTTCTTTAAGATGCCCGCAGGTGGCGATGGTGGAAACCTGGAGGCGGCATTAGAAAAAAATAAGAATATTGAAAAACACACAAAAAGTTGATTGACTTAAAGTCGCCTTCTCTCGCAGTTGCAATCTGCTGACTTGTCTTGTCAGTCTCTGCCTGCCAGCCCCACTTCCACTTACCTGTAGCAATAGGGATGCGGATGTGGGTGCGGGTGTGGGTGCGGGTGGGTCACAGCGGGTATGTCGAAGAAACTTGATGTTCTTTCATGGCGCACGCCTTTGACATTCACTGCAGATCCAGAGCGGCATTGGACAGGTGGGTGCACAAGCAAAAGAAACATTTTTAATGTGATTTTCTGTATTAAATGTTAGCTAGCTTGACTTTTGTTAGATAATATTTCACATTACGGCTCGCGCCGGGATATCTTTGAGTCAGCAAATCGAGCTTGTCAGATGCACAAGCCGTGAGCTTCTAAGTAGACATTCATACGAATACGTTCGTACAAAATAGTGCCAAAAACATATTACAAAATAATAGCAATAAATTGACTAAAGCAAAAGAACAAAGAGTCGATTGATAGAAAAATATAATCTAGTTCGTAATAACTAAATGTGTCATCTATAAAGATTGCAGCAAATATCTGTAACTTAGGCAGAAAGTCCATTTTGAGATTGGTATTGTTTTTGCCTAGGTTTTATACTTTGATAAGATCAAATTAAAAGCTCTCTAAAATATATTTCATATAAATCTTTTCTATGAAAGATTCCCTCTTCATTTAAAAAATATAAAATTCTTTAACAAATTTAATATACTAAATGGATATCCAGAAATTCTATGGGAATCGTTAAAAATATTTCTTTTGTAACATAAATTCAATTTTTATAGCCTTGTTCGACTTTTAAAATTCTTAACTGGTTATAGCACAACAAATGAACAGTGAACCATCGCGATGACGAGCCATTAGTCGATAGCAAAGTCAGCTAATGATAAAATCGTAAAGATCTTAAAATAACTATACATACAGCCAGTTACCCATTAACATTAAGATTGTTCAACATAAATAATTAACGAATACCTTGCAAGTTAACAAAAGTTTTTGAATAGAGAGCTCACTAAAACCTAATTGAATGATATAATTTAATATATAATATATGAAATTTAATTTTTATAAAAACACATAATTTTGTTTAATCTTTTCGATATAGTGTTTATCCAATTAAATTTTAAAACAGTTTTGAAAATACAAATTGTAACTTAACAAGTCCAATAAATCTCTATAAGAAGTGAAATCCATTCTCTCCAATAAAGTTGTTCCGTTTATATATTTTGTAATCTATTACCCAGCTCGAGTGAATGAAAATGTCTTCAGCTTAAATAAGTCCATCATATATTTTCTTAATAAAGTGAAAAGTTAAACAATATGAAACAAAAGCCTCCGGGCTGAAGCGCCACATCCCCGTACTGATATCTCTGCAGAAGTACATCAGAAAACTCATAATAGGAGTTAATAAACAAAACGTGTAAATAACAAAGGCAAACAAGACGTCGATGCTCCGGCCATGGAGCTGTATCCGGGTGGTCGAGGACGCTTACCATTGTACCTTGCGTTCAAGTAACCCTCTGTGGATGTGTCCAGGCCGAATTTGCCAATGGCGGCTGCCGCTGCCGCCGTCGGCGCTGGCGCTGTGTACATGACCAGTTCATCCGTCAATTGGTGGTGGTGGTGGTGATGGTGGTGATGCGCATACCAGGACGATTCTCGCACAAGATCTGCTTGGAATATGGACAATGGTCAATAGAGAGTCTTACATGAGTCGCACGATCCAAGTTAAGTCACCATTGCATAAGGAAGTGGCGCTTCCGTTAGCGTTGCTGCCCAAGCCATTCATTAGCGCTCCAGCAGGTGGCGTTCCATTTCCGGCCATGGCCAGGCAACAGGGCGGCGACCTTTGCCCATGAGTAGGCAGAGGAAGAGTGCAGATGGCTTCCATAAGCGTGTGACTCACGTCCATTTCGCTGTGAGTGTGATTGTGGCATTTCTTGCGCTCCGTTTCGGAGTTCTCGCAACTAGAGGCAGAGGAGGACGAAGATGTGGCCTTGCCGACAGCCGGCAATGTAGAGGTGACACAGGAAACCACCGAATCTGTGGTTATAGTCGATGTATTGGGAACCGTGTGATACAGCCCATGGTGATGTGGATGCGAATGGGAATGAGGATGATGATGATGATGATCCAAGTTAGTCAGCGTCTGCTGTAGCTGCTCAAGATGGGACTTGGCCTCGCTGTAGTCGGCCTGCCGAAGAAGGAAATGAACCAAGACGCAGCAGGAAGTTATTATGAGTTTCTTCAATTTTGGCAAATGAATTGCCAAATTGTAATTTTGGTTTTGGGGTTGCTGGTCGGGCTTTAAGTGACTTTAAAACCACCTGCTGGGTCGCGACCCGGGACGCTGGTCAGGCACACAACAGGTTACGGTTAGAGTTACGGTCACGGCAACAGTTTCAATTACAGTTACAGATACCGGTACAAATAGAATGGAAACAAAGTGTTCGTCACATTGACATACTCAAGTGTGAAGAAGCTTGTGGCAATTAGCTTAACAGCTTCTAGCTCCGGCCTTGCTTGGGTGTCAATTGTCTTTTGTTGTGCTTATGGCCGTGTCATTAAGTAATGAGCCACTGCGAACGGCAGGGCGAGCTTCGCTAAACTAGAACTGGGATTGCAATTGGAATTGGAATTGGAATTGTGAGTGATTGTGGGGCATATAATGTATAGAATAGCACAACATATGACAAAGACAATAGAAACCTGCGGTTTATTGACACTTTTACATTTAATGAGCTGCGCGAACTGAGGAGGTCAGCCAAGTTAATGGGGCGGTGGCATCTGCCACTCTCTCCGCTCATTACAGCTGGCAAACATTTCACTTTCTAGCTTGTCGTCCGCTAGATCTAATGATGTTGCAGGTAAATAATTCGTTGATCTGACATTTGTATTTGCTTTTGGGGCGATTGCCAATTTGCAATTGGCAATTGGATTTTGTTTGGTTTTTGGTTGTCTGTTGCAAGCTGTATTGGCACTTGACACTTAGAAAACTGGAACACAGCAAGCGTTGCGCATCGCTGCATTTGAGAATCATTTGTAGTATGTGTCTTTACACTAAATAACAAACATACATGCGAACCTAGCTGTATATATTTTAACTTGCCCAAGCTGCAGCGTCTTTAACTTCATGCGGAAACGCAGAAAGCGGCAAGTTTCTCGGCTAGAAGGCACAGAACGTGCAGCGTGCAGCTTTCTCCGGCTATTTTCGTTGAAAATAGAGCCAAAGGTTATGTAAATCTTGGTACATTAAACCTGAAATGTGGCATTACGTTTTGCAATGGGCAAATATATGTATAAAGATAGGAAATGCTTAGCAATTTATAAATTGCAAAATATGTCTGCATCTAGTAAAGACGCTGTGCTGAATTTAATAAGTGCAAGCAGACAATTTGTTAAATCAAATTACAGACATAATTTACCGTAACCGTCAAGCCCAGCCGGCGAAGCGTTGCCACCTAGCACGCAGTTAGTGCAAAGACAAGAATTATCGAAACTAATCGTTTTTTGTTTTTGTCTTTTGAACAAACTGTGTTGGTAAATGGTAAAATTAAACGAAATTTCAAAGTAAATGTCAAGCTATAAGCCAAGTCATAAAACAAAAGTTGCAGCAGATGGTTCATTCAATTAGCTAACAAGGCAATTGTGAACACCTAATTGACATGTTTGCTAGATTGATCAACTTTGAACTTTACTCAAACCATTTGAGTGCGGGTGGCTAATATTACGACGCATGCGCTCCCGCAACTAGCATTACGAAACGCAGCGTTGACGTCGTATTTGCTTTGAGTTTGTAAGCCACTTTGATCTACTTTGGAGCAGCAACAGCAACAGCAGTAAAGACAGCGGCATCTGCGACAGAAGACAATGCTTTTCTTTTTGCCTTTGTGCGAGTGGTTGTTTCCACGCTCGTGTGCGTTGCTGTGCCTGGCGCTTGTCGTGGAAAACACTTTCACTGCACATGATGAGGCAGTGACACGACTTCGGCGTTGTCTTTCTCGCTGTCGTCGTGAACTTCTTGTGGGTGCTGCTGCGTCTGCGACTGTGTGTATGGAAGCGCGACCGAGCGAGTTTCTCGGTCTCGCATGCGTTGCCTCCAAAGCTGCGAGCGCATTATCGGTTGAGCTGTGGACCAGACTGGTAGTGTCTCTTCCGCGTCTACTTAGCATATACATCCACACAACTCAATGTGATGCCACAGCGTAACATCATGTCAGTATCAGGATCAGACTGCTTGAGCAGAGGAAATTTGTTGACGCTCTTATTCTTACTTATCGCACTGCTGCAAGGTGAGTGCTTGTACGAAAATCTATTCCGTTGACTAGCTGATTTTTAAACGTAATTATAGTTGCTGTCAGTCAACCTTACCAAACGCCACATCGCTGTTCGAATCGTCTGGAAAACGCACTTGAGCATATGCGCCGCCGCAGCGCTCAAACTAAGGGCTCCTCTCGAGCGCATTCCCGTTCCATGTGGGAACAACCGTCGCAGACGCCGTATCAGTTATATCACAGCTTCTATGGTCAGCAAAGCGAGCCTGAGGATGACTTCTACAATGTGGGCGGCAGCATGAACTATGGGCGTGGTTATTATGCCAAGCACATTCGGCGCAATGGACGTCCATATCAATTTGGTGACACATCTGCTAGTGGAATTAGCAACAGTGCTTTGGAGCTTGAGGAACTGCTCTCAACACACCAACAAAAGCAGCAGCAGCAACAACAACAGCCACAACAGCAACAACAATACCAGTTTCGGCAACCACACAAATTGGCGATATCGCGTGTAGAGGTTGAGGATCTTAAAGTACGGGTGCCGCCGGCAAAATCCTCATCGCGCTGGGTAGAGATTGACAAGTGCAAGTTCAGCACTGAAAACTCCACTTTGGATACGCGTCTTATTTTCCCAGACTTAACACTCAGTGGGAAGATAGTTATGCAACCCACAGGCGGCCGATGTAATATGATATTACGAATGAGACATGCCGGAATCGAGTTCCGCACTGTTCCGTTGGGCCCCGCTTCATCGGCACCCTCGTATGAGCAATCGCGCAGGCTAGGGGCTGCCTCTGTTCGTACTGATTCGCACTTTGCGGAGCCTGGTTTCATTTCTGTATTTGCCCATGGTTGCCAAGGACCGAGTGGCATTAGATTACGGCAAAATTCGAAACGACGGTTCGGTTACGGAGAGGGCACGCCACCACAAGTCGAACTAGGTGAACCACAAGTTTTTTTAGGTAACGCTGGCAAGTATCACAAACCGAAATACGATATTCGGCTGGAGCAAACCACCCAGAGAGATCAGAGCTTAACCTTTGGAAGCAATGAAGAATTTGGCAATTCAAATGAATTCTTCGATGTGAACGGAGACAACTTTTACCGACGGCGACAGTTAGGAAAACGTCGCCGACGGCGTCGTCGCAATGCCGACTCCTCGGATGAAATACATTTCAATGAGGACGTACTGCATTTTGAGGATGAACAGCTACAGCAGTTAGTTGAGCCAGATGCCCGTGCATTTGCTGATATTTTTAGTGGTAACAGTGGCATCAACGCCAACGGCAACCACGAAGATTTTGTGGGTGATGCCATGTCCAATGAGTTGGAGAAGCTCTTTTCGATGGGTGTGCGAGGTTTGCTTACAACTTACATGCAGCGAGCTCTTCAGCCGGCGATTAAGGAGACGCTCATGGAGAATATGGGCTATACGCTTAGTTACGGCTAAGACCATGCTATAAACTTGTTATATAAGTAGAAGTGTGAACAATGTCTGAATTAAATAAAGCTTTAAGTACTTAAGATCGAGATATCGATCGTTTTTAATATGCGAATTAAATACGCGAATTTATTTCATGTTGACCTTACCAGTTTAGCTGTATCCATGTAATTTTTCTGTATAACTGACTCTTGAGTGAACTTTAAACACACTGGCGGATGCACTCTTGAACTTGGATGTTTTTATCATGCAAAATTTCACTAATAGGATTTCACCTTGTTTTCGTGCATCAATAATTTTGCATTATTAATCACTTCATGACATTCACTTGTTACAGTCAGCGATCGGCGCATTCCGTTAATACCGTGTAACGGTCATGAAGTAACCGTGGCGACTGTGTGCAGAAATTCTTAGCACACTGTCAACGTTCACTATGATTTATGTGATGGTCATTAAGGGTTGAATAGGTAGTTTAGGATGCTGTGACATAATGCGCAGACTCAAAACGCCCACCGAGAAAGTAATTGGTGTGCGGCCAATATCTCTGCCAACCAATGAGAGCCCATTACTTCAATGAATAGGAAAATTAAATAAATAAAAATATCAAATGATAAATATAACTGTAAGCTTCGGCGGAAAGTACAATTTACAATATATAATATTAAATATATGATAAAACTAGCATTTCAAATATAATATCAAAAATGAGTTTGTATCATCTTTAGAGTTCTTTGGTGTGTAATCAGCTTTATACTACTTTGATATGAAAGTTTAAAAAAAATTGGTTTATTTGAAATTTAAAAAATGCCGCATTGTTTGACGAGTGTGTACATACGCATGATACCAAAAAGTGTTACCCTAGAGTGAAAATAATTACCTTTGTCATTACTTTCAATATATCGATATATCGATACATTGAAATATTTCAAATGTATATTTTCAAAATGTATTTAAATCATTTTGGTATATAGTTGATGAAATTTATAGAGTTTTATTTCCTCTAGAAAAGTAAGTCAACAATACATTTGTAGTAAACTGAATATATAAACGTACTCATGACTGAAATAATTTGTTTCTGTTCCAAGTATCGATTGGTCGATATGAAAACAACATCAACAAAAATAATTGAACAGGGTGGGTGCGAGTGTAGGTGTTCAATCATCAACAAATATTAATATACCCAAGTAGAGTTGACACTGGACTACTGCGGAAGTAAGCCATATCTCTATTAAGAAAAAATCATATTAGAAATTAACTGACTACGCATTGATTGGGGTCAAAATTGATAACAGTGCTGATGACGCGGTCATTCAGTCAGGTGGTGATGTAGTTGGTTGTGTCTGTACGCATTATATAATTAAAAACAAATCTGTAAACATATGGATCCAGGTGATCCGAAAGACCCTAATGTCAAGTGAACAATAACAATATTAAAAACAAAGGCCACAAAGTAAAAAAAAATCCGACAATGGATATGTAATAATACGCATGCATCGGAGCGTTCACCTTGGGAGCAAAATGATTTTCGTGCAGTCGCCTTTCAATTGCGTCAACGTAAATACATACGTATAACATTATGTTATATCTTCCATTCCAGATAATCCCACATCCACATCGCACATAGGTAAACAGAACATACTTAATGCATGTCCGGTCGGTCAAAAATAGTCAACGACGGTTAATAATGCTGTAAACAAAGATTCAGAAACGGTTTAGCTGATTTCGACATACGAGTGTCTCGTTCGCTTCACTTGGTACTGGAAACGCATGCAACAAGCGCAGGTTACCCAGCACACGGTCTCCGACAGCTGTTCCAAATACAGCTAACACAATGTCGGACAGCACCGGCGTGACTATGGAGGCCAATAGCAACCTTGCCAGTTCGAACAGGACTAGCGGGATAGAAGGCAGCTATATACGCACAATCGAATGGGACATGATGAACAAGACCAAGTTCTTTCCACTTTCTATGCTAAGCTCATTTTCGGTGCGATGCTGCCTGTTCCCATTGACGGTGATCAAGACCCAGCTGCAGGTGCAGCACAAGAGCGATATATACAAAGGCATGATTGATTGTGCAATGAAAATTTATCGCTCTGAAGGAGTGCCTGGACTGTATCGAGGTTTCTGGATCTCTTCAGTGCAAATCGTATCCGGCGTCTTTTACATCAGCACCTACGAAGGTGTACGACATATACTCAGCGACTTGGGCGCTGGTCATCGTCTCAAAGCTTTGGCTGGTGGTGGATGTGCGTCTCTTGTTGGCCAGACCATTATAGTTCCTTTCGATGTAATATCACAACATGCCATGGTTCTGGGTATGTCGGCTCATGCCGGTGCAAAAGCCGATATTAACCCACTAGGTATTAAATCGTGGCCTGGTCGCAGCCGCCTTCATATATCAATGGATATTGGACGTGAAATATTGCGGCGCGATGGTTTTCGCGGCTTTTACAGAGGGTACACTGCCAGCCTTATGGCCTATGTGCCGAATTCGGCAATGTGGTGGGCTTTTTATCATTTGTATCAAGGTATGTTGCATTGCTTTTGCATGTTAATTATATATGTTCAATATCGATTTGTTAATCAAACTTGTAATCCTAGACGAACTGTGTCGTATATGCCCAGTTTGGGTCTCTCATCTTTTCATCCAATGTGTGGCTGGTAGTTTGGGTGGCTTTACAACCACAATATTAACAAATCCATTGGACATAGTACGAGCACGCCTTCAGGTAAGTTTTTGCTAAGCTTTAAGTAATTTACCTATAGTTAATATCTATGTCTTGCAGGTTCATCGCCTAGACTCAATGAGTGTAGCCTTCCGTGAGCTGTGGCATGAAGAAAAACTTAATTGCTTCTTCAAGGGCCTGTCCGCACGCCTGGTGCAGTCGGCAGCTTTCTCATTCAGCATTATACTTGGATATGAGACCATCAAACGCATAGCGGTAGATGAGCAATACAAGCACCAAATACGCTGGTAACAAACGGAACGCACAAATCAAAAGAAAACCAAATTAAATCGCATCTGCATTTACGCAACGTACTGAGGAACCACCAGAGATTTGTTGCTGAGCCAGCAGGGGCACAATGCGCTGTGCTCCACCTTTGTAAATATCTGACGAGATGAATAGTAAAAAGCACAGGTTAATTAGCTAAATTCTTTACAATTATCATTATTGTTAGGGCGTTGAAATGTATCTTACAATTAGTTAATAACAAATTTGTTACGCTCTGCAATGTTTACGTACATAACTAATGCAATTTAACTTAAAAATACCCAATGTGTCGTAGCTTAAAGTGTAGATTTTTGCTATAGTGATTTTTTACATTATACATACTCCCAGAGGCACACCAGAGTTGATGATAAACAAAAATATTATAGAACATGTATACATAAAAAGCAGACTTGTACATTATTATTCTAAGATATGTAATTGATGATGATGTTGATAATAATGTTACAATAATACTTTTATAAAGCCAATCTGGACATTCTTACACTAGTACTTACCTAATTGTGTCCTTTCACTCATAACAGGGCGCTATATAAGGGCACTTTTTCGATATGTGTGTTTTTTGAAAACCATAAACAAAAAAAATTGTAGTTTTAGCATGCATTGTAATAAAGTACAAACCAAGAATTTATACATTTTTGGCAGTGTGAAACGTGAATTTCATGTGTTCAATGATCAATGCGATCCCAACCTATAAAATGTGAACTTGAAATCATGTTTTATTGACTAAGGCGAATTATATATATATCACGTAGATAGATAGAAAAAATTGCAATACTCATATTGTTAGGGTTAGCATTAGTGTTGTTAAAACGTGGTTTTTATTATATATATGCGTGATATCTTTAAATGATTAGGCAATTTTTTCGTTACGCATAATCTGTTCGCATTTAATCAGTTATATTCATTTTAGATATGATAATATAACCATAATATCTATGCATTGAACCCACTGCCCTGAATGCCCTTTGGAACCGCAAACTTATTAATAAAATTGGAAAATTATTGCGTCGGTAATATATGTGCCAACCAATGATTTCGATATCGATATGGATAAACGTTTAAATATGGGCTAACTGAATAGCTGTGGACGGCCAGACATGTGGATGTATCTAATGGTCGTAGTAAATCCTGGTGTTTTCTAGCTCTTATACTGCGCAGATATTGTGCTTCAGTGCCTGTTTTAAAAATAGATTTGGGAGATCCTCTAATTTCAGGGAATTACAACTGAACAACTGCCTTTTTTGACACAGGCTCCATTCCATTATTTAGTTGACTAGTACCCAGCATCTCGATTCTCACACAGCCCTCTTTTCAATGGTAATAAGAATTGCAAAGTATCTAACCTCCTTTCCATCCATACGTATTAATTAGGGAATTTAGTCGCAGATTGCACAATAGAACAATCCTCAAAGTTTGTTCGCATAATAGAAGAAAAGCAAAAACATGAGTTGTCAAACTTCAATTTCTATCCGTGCCAGCTTTTAATATGTTATACAGTTTGAAGCTATTATGAAGAGGTAATTTTAATAAATTCATGATCTTTCAAATTGTTCAAATGAATGAACAATAATACAATAATACACTTGTAGTATAGTATATTACTCAATATTATATTATCAGTGTTTATTATAAACTGATTAGAAAATGTTGCTTGATATTTGTTATGAATCCATTAAGTAATAATTACTGTAGACGTTGACATTGCGGTCAAGTTTATGGTCGGAAGATGTAGATTTCATTTTGACAATGTAGGAAAAAGAGCAAAACCCAGAGAATAAATCTGTTTATTTACCTTCAGAACTAGAATATTATTCGGAAATGAGTTGAATGAGAAGTAGGCTTAATTTAATTGGTAAGACCATTAACAGGGTAAGCACCAGCACACATTGAAAACTTAGGAGACTACAATGTACAGATAAAAAAAAAATGCAAGTGGAATAAGCAAATAATAAGAGGTATGATTTAAGAGAGCATCTTGCGAATCATATAGTTGAGGATACCGCCGTTCTGGTAGTAGGTTATATCCACCTCGGTATCGAATCGCAGTATAGTATCAAACACAGTTCCATCAGCCTGAAAAGTATACGAATTAAATAATTGTTCGAAAATCATAAAGTTCACAACATACTTCAACTTGAATCTTCTGCCCTGGCTTCAAACCAGTTTCGGGTAGAGCAATGTTGTAGACCTCCCGACCGTTTAACTTGAGTGTCTCAGCGCTTTGTCCAGGTAAGAACTGCAGTGGAATAATGCCCATACCGACAAGGTTGGAACGATGAATACGCTCATATGACTCTGCAATGACAGCCTTCACACCCAATAGGAATGGACCCTTTGCGGCCCAATCGCGAGAGCTTCCACTGCCATAGTCCTTGCCAACGACTAGAACCAATGGGGTGCCTTCCTCGCGGTAGCGTTCAGCTGCATCAAAAATGTCCAATTCCTCTTGGCTGGGTATGTGCAGGGTGCGTGGACCGGTCTTTGAGACCAGTTTGTTCACCAGACGGATGTTAGCGAAGGTTCCACGTGCCATAATGGCGTCATTGCCTCGACGTGATCCATATGAATTAAAATCTCGGGGAGTCAAATTACGTCCGGCGAGGAAACGAGCTGCTGGTGAATTTCTAGCAATGGAGCCGGCGGGCGAAATGTGATCCGTCGTCACAGAGTCACCCAAGAAGAGCAAACAGCGCGCCTTTTGAATGCTTTGCAGCTTAGGGAGTGTGTTAGTCATACCCTCGAAGAAGGGCGGCCGCTTGATGTAGGTGGAATCGGCGCTCCATGGGTAGAGCTTACCATCTGAAACCTTCAGTGTTTGCCAGTCCTCTGAACCCAATTCAATCTTACCTATTAGCAGACAAGAGTTATTTAAATATATTTCAAAATTATTACAATTAATAGACCTACTGTAGACCTCCTGGAACATTGCGGGAATAACGTGCTTGTTCTCAACTTCCTGAATTTCGTTGCGTGTTGGCCAGATATCGCGAAGGAAAACGTTCTTTCCATTGCTATCAACGCCCAGTGGCTCCGTTTCAAAGTCAATATCCACGCGTCCAGCAATAGCATACGCAATCACCAACAACGGACTGGCCAGGTAGTTTGCTCGGGTGTTGGGATGAATTCGACCTTCAAAGTTTCGGTTGCCCGACAAGACTCCAGCACAGACCAAACCATTCTTTTCAATTGTGTTCACAACATTCTCCTCAAGAGGACCCGAGTTTCCAATGCATGTCATGCAACCGTAACCCACAATATCGAAGCCAAGCTTTTCCAAATATGGAATGACGCCCGATTCCTTCAAATAATATGTAACGACACCAGATCCAGGCGATAATGAGGTCTTGACATAGGGTAAAATGCTAAGCCCCTTCTCAACCGCTTTCTTGGCTAGTAAGCCAGCACCCAACATTACTGAAGGATTTGAGGTGTTCGTACAAGACGTAATTGCTGCAATGACAACGGACCCGTGCTGGAGTTTGTAAGTCTTGCCATCGTCCCACTGGAATTCGCCGCTGGCCGCAAGTGCTTCTGGTGCAATAGCAAATCCCTTGAAGCCAACCTAAAATGTGGCAATAATGGAAAACGCTGATTACAACTGTGTAGGAAGACAAGTCAATTGGGCGTTCAATGACCCCGCTCTGTCTAAGCTATTTTGTAGGTCAGTTTGTTTGCGGAAGCGGCGCGTGAGGCCCCATCGGTTCAGGCCAAGCTGGGCCGGGCCAGGGTTCAGAAACCGCTAAAGTCCAATGAGGTGCATTAAAAACAATAGCACTTCACAATTTTAGAAATTCGGCATAAAAATATCGAGCGTGCCAGAAAGTAAAGCGCATCCTCAGCGAATTTTGGTAATAACCAAAACCGATCAGTCGCTGCCGCTGCCGCTGCCATTGGAAACCTGATGCGCTGGCAGCGGCCATTGAACGCGACGGTGCTTATAAGAGCAAGATGGCCAAGAACCAAGTTTCAGTTCCAAGTGCTACGTGCTGGTGTCTTGCCAATGCCTGTGGTCCGGTATTTCACAATTAACTGCATTGGTGCGCCCGCTTATGAGGAAATCGCAATCATAAAGCTAACACATCAATGCAATTCGCTGTGAGAGACTGATCCGAGTGATACAATAGGTCTACCATAATGCGATATCAATTTATATCGAGTTATCTAAGGAAATAGTAGCCGTGATTTTACATTAGAAACTTTTACATATCACAGTTGCTGTTTCTTTTAGATAGCTCTTTTGTAAGCAGCCTAACGTTCGGTCGCGGAGCGGTTTTGAGCTTGAGATATGAAATGTGATTAAAGATTTCAATTTATGGGATACACTAAGTTCAGTTTTGTCAAAAATCCAAACATCACTGGGCTTTGTTTATCTCATAAGAACGAAATTTGTTCAACTTACGGGACTGGACAAGCACGACTTAAAGTCTTCGGGCATATTGGAGACAGACACACGATCGTGCGGCCGTTTGGGTCCTGATACAGAGGTTACTACAGTAGCCAGATCCAGAGTGATGCTCTGCAAGTAAGTTCATACATGAATAAGAATTTATTTCAGCTGTGCAATCAGCTAACCTGACTGAATATTGGATCTTGAGCTTCCTCGGAGTAGTTGCGCAATTGCCGAGTGGCCTTCAGATACTCACGAATTATATCAATTTTCTTCTCAGAACGATCTAAATTGGCAATAATTCAATGAGTCGAAAAAGGAAGATCTAATTGTGATAAGAGTAAAAACTTACTTGTTTGTTTCATGTAGCCGAGCGTGTTTTCATCAATGGGGAAATAGCCTACGGTAGCTCCATACTCAGGACACATGTTGCTGATTGTGGCACGATCCGCAATACTCAGCTCTGCCACGCCCGGACCATAGAACTCCACGAATTTGCCGACGACGCCCAATTGCCGCAAGTGCTTAGTAATGGTCAGCACCAAATCCGTCGAGGTGGCCAAGGGGCTTAGGTTGCCAGTCAGCTTGTACCCAATGACTTCAGGTAACAGCATAGAGATGGATTGCCCCAACATCACAGCCTCAGCCTCAATGCCACCCACACCCCAGCCCAGTACTCCCAAGCCGTTGATCATGGTGGTATGCGAATCGGTGCCGACAACGCTGTCAGGATAAAGTATTTTGCTTCCATCGGCGGAATCGCCTTCAAAGACGACACGTGCCAGATACTCCAAATTCACTTGATGTACAATGCCTGAGCCGGGTGGCACAATAAGCATATTATTGAAGGCACGGGCACCCCACTGAAAGTCAATCAAGATTGTATTTCTAAAATAGTGTATTAAGGTTTATGTAATCCAAAATTCACCTTTAAGAAAGTGAAACGTTCCTTGTTTCGCTCGAACTCCAAGTTTTGGTTCTTGGACAAGGCATCTGGGACGCGTGCAAAATCAACTTGCACAGAATGATCTATGACCAAATCAGCAGGGCAGATGGGATTAATTTTCTCGGGATTACCACCCAAATCTAGGACAGCATCGCGCATGGCCGCAAAGTCCACAACAGCAGGGACTCCCGTAAAGTCCTTTAATTAGTTAAATAAGATAAATATTACTATTATAATTACAAGGCACAGTGTGCAGCCTACCTGCAGAATGACACGAGCAGGCTTAAACGAGACTTCCACATCATTGGACCCTTGCTTCAGGGCGGGCGTCCAGCTCAGAATGCTCTGTACATCCTTCTCGAGAATGTGGAAGTTGTCGCAGTTGCGCACCGCAGACTCCAAAAGTACGCGAATGGAAAAGGGTAGCTGGTCTGTAAGCGAATTAGACTTTTATTTTCCGATTACATACAACACACAACAATATTATTTGTTTAAAGAAACAGATAGCGAGCACTTATCAGGTAATAATTTTTTGAGGCGTTTGTTTTTCAACTAACCACTTGCCCATTGTGATTGGGTAACAAATATTACTTGAATAGTTCTCACCTTAGGCAATCAGAAACACGCGTCGCACTTAAAAATATTCCGCTACTATAGAGATGCACAGAGAACTCACACAAAAGCACACATACACAAATTATGCTTTACACTCGTATGTCGAAAGCATCAGGCCACGAAATCGTCCGATATCAGCAGTTTGAATTTGTCTTGTTGCTGCTGATAAGTGTATACATAATACTAGAGCTTTATTAACGTACAATTTTGTGTAGTTGGGTCTTATCAAAGCATACCGGTCTCGTCGTGTGCCTGACACTCACAAATGTTGATCTCTGCCCTTAGCTCGTCTTCTTTAACATTGATAACTTTCGCTTTCAACTAAATGCTAGGCATGCTGCGTATGCTTTAGAAAGCTGAGGTGGAAATAAAACCGCCCAAGTTTGTCTCACCTATTGACTGATACTGCTTGGACTTGCAAATTAAAGCGGTCACTGCTGGGAACGCACGGGGTCAAACTTCAAGTCTTAGCTGTTTGCATTAAGTATGTGTTTATACATGCATATGTATGTAGCTCAGTTTCTTTACAAAGCTTGCTACCACGTAGCCAAGTAAACGGCAGTTACATATAACTTACCATATTTGTTATCAATGGAAGCCAGATCAAAGTACTTGTACACCGTACCATCCTTGGTGAAGGATTTCTCGAATTGCGCAAATGGATTATCACCTGTAATAAAGTATGTGCCTCTATAAGTAATTATGTAACATCTTAAACTAGCTTAATACTATAAGTACGACTTACCAGACATTGTTGTGCTTTCTAATTCAGAGAGATTTAACCTGAACAGCGGGCGTTTACTTTGTGGAATGAACAAGTTTTTGAGGTCTTACTACTAATATGTTTTGTGTATGTGTTTTAGTTACAATTCACGAATGTGATGAAATACCAAGTATTTTATATGGCGATAGTCAAATGTTGCTAGTTGATTAGATACGTAGCCTGAAATGATTGCTTTGTACTCAAACAATTGTTTAACATTTAATGAATAAATTTATTTAATAAATAATTACTTAAGATGTATTTGTTAGTAATGGCATTTTTTATTGTAATCACTTTGTACTTCAGCTTAAGTTAATCAGCGTTCCCTCTCGAAACCTGTTGATTCGATATTTTTCAGATAGTTTTTCAGTACTTGCGATGAGTAAGTGGTAAATAAAATTAACTCCTCTCTAATTCGTTTTTTGTAAATTCTTGCACGTTGTTTGGTCGGTTTGATTAATACTGATTATTTTTATTAAAATGAGCAAAACAGATGCTGAAAGTGATGCCAAAGATAAATTACGGAAGATGCATTGTAAATTCAATCCGCTCTCCCGCTGCGATGGCTCTGTCATGTATAGCCAAGGTTTGTACCATTGATCGGCTTTTGTTAGAATGCCGGTTTAGATATCTATATTTTGTAGGTGCCACTGTGGTCATTGCCGCTGTGCTCGGTCCCATTGAGGTGAAGACACAAAATCTTAGCATTGAAGGCAGCTACCTAGAGTGTAACTATCGTCCAAAAGCTGGCTTGCCCCAGGTAAAGGAACGGATTCGCGAGGCGGCCATAAGAGATGTGCTGGAACTTGCAATTTTGAGTGAAGCTTATCCGCGGGCGAAGATGTCATTACAGGTACAGGAGCTTGAAGACCGTGGAAGCGTAAGTAATTTAAAATTTATTTAAGAATTTAAGCACTAAACAATTGCATTGTAGATAGACGCGTGCGCTTTAAATGCAGCCTGTCTAGCTATGCTTATTGGCGGCCTACCCTTGAAGTACAGCTTTGCGGCCGTGCACTGCATCATCAATGAAAAAGGCGACTTTGTTCTGGATCCTGAAGAAAGTGACACGCTGCACCAGCGAGCCAGCTTTACATTTGCTTTTGACTCTGTGGATGGAGACCTGCTGTTGGTACAAACTAAAGGCGCTTTCAAGATTGCACAGTTCAATGACATCGAATGTCTTTGTCGCCAGGCTAGTGCTGAGGTCTTTGAGTTCTATCGTAGTAATATAGCCAAATATCATAGCACGAGAGAGGATCAACCAGCGACGACAATCGAAAGTGGCCACAAGGATCTGCCAATGGAAACGTGATGTACAATAATTTAGTTTGATTAAAGCTGTCTAACCACTTTATTGGGAACGTTCTTAGTTCAACTTTTTTTGCTGTCATGGTAATGGACAATGCTGCTGACATGCAGAGGTATGCCCTTTAGGACTTGCGAATTAGATTCCACAATGCGTGCAACCACAAAGTCGCCCACATTTATATCTTTTGCCCCATCAGTCGTATTGGTTGAAGGTAGAGAGGCTGCGGGTACAATTACTTTTATGTTGGCGTCGTTGCGTCCAAACCAGTAGCTATCAGAACGCTTGCTCTTGCCCTCGATTAGGATAAGTTGTTCTTGCCCTTCGAAACGTTTGTGCAACTGCGTGGCACCATCTCTGAAAGTCTGCACCATGCGTTTTAGTCGAGCGGTCTTAACTTCTGTTGGCACATCGTCCACATAGCGTCTGTGGGCTGTGGTTTTCTCGCGCATGCTGTAGGCGAATAGAAAGGCCACGTTATACCGCACGCTCTCGATGAGGGAAATGGTATCTTCAAACTCGGCCTCCGTTTCGCCGCAAAAGCCACAAATAAAGTCACTAGACAAACCCACATTGGGCAGGATTTCACGAATGTGCGCTACAAGCTGAAGGTAAGCTTCACGCGAGTAGCCACGGCGCATTCTGGTGAGCACTGCCGTGTTGCCTGACTGGGCAGGCAGATGAAGCTGCTTGCAGACATTGGGATAGTCGCGTATGACGTGCAATACTTCGTCAGAAAAGTCTTTGGGATGTGGTGATGTAAAACGAATACGCATTTCAGGCACAGCCTCGGCCACACTTTGCAGCAGCACTGAGAATGGCAACCCACCAGTTTTGGGCTTGTAAACCGTACTAAAACCAGGGGCCGTATTGCCAAGGGCTTTGGTCGAATACTCGGAACTCCTATCCCTATAGGAATTGACATTTTGACCCAGAAGGGTGACCTCCTTAACGCCCTGCTCCTGCAGTGTCTGCACCTCATGCACGATTGATTTGAGGGGTCGTGAACGTTCGCGACCGCGTGTAAAGGGCACAATGCAGTAGGTGCACATATTGTCGCAGCCACGCATGATAGAAACGAAGGCAGTGGGCGAATCTGAGTTCAAGCGTACTGGCATGACATCCGCATAGGTCTCGTCAAGGGAGAGCAAGACATTGATGGCAGAGTTGCCATAGTGGCGAGCAACGCCCAATAATCTTGGAAGATCTTTGTAGCTGTCAGGACCGGCTATCACATCCACGCATTGCTCCTGCTCCAGTAATCGCTCCTTCAATCTCTCTGCCATGCAGCCAAGTATTGTCAGTTGCAGCGGGTGTCGTTTTGTGCCACGCCGCTCCTTTAACGCTCGCAAGTGTCGCAAACGATTCCAAATCTTCTGTTCAGCACCATCACGCACAGCGCAGGTCACAAGCATAACAACATCAGCATTTGTGACATCTTCGCTACGCTGGTAGCCGTGCTCTTTGAGTATGCTCCACACTACCTCGGTATCATTCGTGTTCATCTGACAACCGTATACCTCAAAGTGTACCCGTCGTCCATGACCATTGTAGTCTATTGCATTAAGATATGGTATTTCATTTTCAACGGCAGACGAATACTCGTCTTCCGTCAGCCGCCGCTTGGCTTTAACAGTGAAGAAGTCTCTTAGACCCGGTCCGCGTTCTATGCGTTCAACGAACGTCTCACGTGTGTTGCTGTTTGTTGATTTATTAGTTGTTGTTTGTGTAGCTGAGTTTCCTGTAGCCGGGACAGCTGCTGCCACTGTGGAAGCATTGCTTTGGTGGCGCCAGTGCTGACGCAGACAGCTATTGACTATCTGCCAGCGTACTTTCATGTCAGTTTTGTTTAAATCCAATCCTTTCCGTTTCGATATTATGTCACAAGTCTGTTGAGCAAGGGACTTTTATTAAGTATCGATACAACACTATTTTGAAAGTAGGAGTCCAAGTGCTTATCGATACTAAATAACTATTGCTTCAACCGAAGTTAATTTCATTCTCATATTTTTCACATTGAGTTCCCTTTAATACAACACTTGGTAATAAAATTAAAATATGTAATATTCTTAAATTGTATGATTCATCAAGAAAACGTTTTACAAAACATTAAACATTTCAATATATCGCTGTAGAAAGCAAATACAGTTTGAGAGTCATAAGAAAATGTGGTGAGAAATTTGTCCGGTAGAGGCGACCAAATATTCTGACATATAATTTGGTTCACAATATGAACGATAGATGGCAATAAATATTGAATACGGAAATTAGTATGCAATATTGCCGCTAGATGCTAAAAGGTAGGATGCATCCTTGACTTGAAAATATTTGTGCTATGAAAAAATGTCAAATACTAAAAATTAAGAATCATTGATGAAAAAGCTTTTTCTAAAAGTAGAGACTGTCAGATACACAAACTTAGATGTTGGTAAGATACTTTGCGTATAATTTGAAAGTAGATCCAGAACCGAAGTTGCTGAAGAGCTGCACTATGAACGAGGGGAATAGTTGCATAATATACACAAGAGGTGGCGTGTAAGCATATTTATTTGTGTCGATACCCTACGGCGCCATCTAAGAAAAATTTCAAAATTTTTGATGTCAACATTAATCAGGTACCTCTGCTGATGTATTACGATTATAATAGGATTAACTCAGCTGAGTTTAACAAGTAAAACCAACATTGTCATATAGTATTTGCTAATAGTACTAATTAGGTGTTGGCTTATTAGATCTAACTAAGATTAAAACTGTCATGTGTTTGTGTTAGTCCAGAGCACTGCTTCGTATTCAGGGTATCTCCTAGTCGGATATTCTCGACTACACAAGTGAAGCGACATATGTATATGTCTCTTTTTATGCATAGAGTAAGTGTTGTTACATAATTCAAACTAATTTAATTATAATGAAGTCAATTTAGAGCTGACTAAATATATTGCAATAAATGTAATGCATTTGAGTTTGTGTTGCAAAGATAAACAGAAGCAGAAGCAGAAGCAGCGACTGGCATAGCAGCGATACAGCTAGAGACACGGATACAGATGCAGAAAAGACCACAAATTTGGGGGCGGGCAGTTATCCGGCCTCATTATGAGCTTATCGTGGTCGAGTTAATAATGCACTGGCAAGAAGACACAGCGCAGAACCCGTGCAGACCAGGCCAAGTCCGCATCCAGGTCCACATTGATGCTTTGCGGCTTTGTGGGCCAATAACTGAATAATTGCGTCAGCAAGTCGTAAATAGCAGCGGGTTTGCTGGCCAAGTTGCTAAGTTGCCAAGTCGTCCACTCGCCCAGTTGCCCAGTTGCCAGTTGGTTTGGATTTACAAGGCTCATATATATGCGTGTGTAAGGAGATATTGTGGACTAGCATGTGAGTGGGGGGCGTATGCGTGGGCGTGGCGTCTGGCATATTTGTAAACACTTACTGACAAAATATTTTAATGAAAATGAAATGAAAATTCCGCTTTTGGCCAAAAGAATTTCGTAATTACAGCGAAAAAATTCGGTAATTAAATTCATGAAGTTTTTGGCACTGCGCAGCGAACCGTTTGCAATTTTCGGCTCCCAGGAGAACCCCAAGCATCTGTAAGTGGGATCCTTTGGGTGCGCGCGCGTGTGTGTGTGTGGCTGTGTGGCTCTGACCGCCTTGTTGGTTAAGCATTTTCTTGTGTTTTGTCGGCACTTTTCCGCTAAAGTTATTTTCGCATGGGCTTCGCTTCTGCTATAAATCTTGGCGCCGAAGTTTCACTGCTCCACTGCTCCACAGCTGGGCAGGCGTAACGCGCCCACTAAGTGAAACGAGGGTCTGTGCCGTGGCTGGATAAAACTGGAGCCACGCAGCTAAGCTGACTTGGCTATTTCGCTCGGCGTATTGCGGACATTTAAAAAGTCCTGTCAATAATAATTCAGTTCCCCGACTTATACTGCTTATGATAATTGTTTATGTTCCATTTAGTTTTTGCAATTAATCCGACAAGTCTGCTCTCAAACACGAATCGCCCTCTTGCCCGCGCGCAAGCCGTTTTCCAATCAAAGTTTATAAAAATTTCTTACAATGTTTTCTAAGAACAAATGACTGCCTCAATGGTGCATATCATATTTAGCAAGCATATAAATAATTATACAAGTAAATTGTATTACACCAGAAATCCTGCTCTTTCCTTACAACTTACTAAGCAGTTGCATGCAACATGCGCTTTGCTGATTGTTGCCAGCAAGTGTAGCAATCCATAGATGAGAAGCAGCACTCGAAGTCTGTTGGCGATAGAATAGTCGCTTCTTCAAATAACTTTTCAAACAATTTTCAACCAATATTCAATATTCCATTTATACATTTTGAGTGCGTAATGGATATTGAAATAGATAAGTTAAGATAAGATATTTTGCTGACATTTTATAGCTATTCTTTCTGCCTTAAACTCGAACACTCTTATTGCTGCATCGATCTAGGAGTATAATTTAATTTGCTTTCCAATGGAGTCCCGTGATGTTGACTTAAGTGAACTTTTAGCAATATCAATTAACTCTCCCAGACAAGTGTTGGGTTTCAGAGTCTTCAGAGTACAGTTAACTATAGCCTTAGGACAGGCTATGCCACATGCTCATATAGTCAGCTGCTGTTCTTGCGCTGCACAAGAATTTCGACCTTGAGCGAACTGTAAAAAGGGCTAAGAACAGAATGACAAATATCTTGTCCCATCGAAAGTCTAAAGAGACCAATCACTGCGTATGAATAAAATACTTTATTTATTTTATTCCACAATTAAAATCGTAGTCTCGCCAAGAATGTTCTTTTCATTCTAGTTCATTCTGGGCCCCTTTGCTCGTGCTTGAACACACTTAACTGCCAAGCGCCCTGCATATTGTTCATTAATATAAATTAATTAGTAGAGAGCTGAGTATTAGTTCTTTATTTCTATTATTCTAGCTTCAAATATGCAAATCCTAACTGAGAATACAAGAAGTGTGAGCTTTGTGCAATTGCCTTTAGATAAGCTACTTGAACTATCTGAAGTTTCATATTCAAACTCAGTTTCTATATTAATCGAACATTTAATTATGTTAACTAAACTATCCTAACTTAAGATTGATATTTAGTAATAATATAAATTTGAAGTTTTATTTGACTTCTACGTTAACGAGCGCTGCTGATTGGCTTACCCACTGAATATGCCCTCAGGCTGCTTCACAGTTTCAGTTTGCAGCCGCCCCCTTTGCGCGGCTTAAGGCCAACATCCGACCAAAAACGACACTTTAGGCACCATAACGTGGCAGTACGCATAATGATACCCTGAATGGCTCAATGCGTGGCTGTAGCCGTGGCCGTGGCCTTAAAGTACCTAACTTTGCTTACAGATGCCCAGTTTTTCGGAAAACGATTCGCTTCCTTGGCTCCCTTTGCGCGCCTCGCTACACAGCTCGATTGGGGGCGGCTGGGAGTGGCTGCACCGTGGTGTTAACGGCACTGCTGAGAGTAATTCGCTATTGAAAACAAAGCAACGGGGGCGACAAAAAAGTAACCCAATGTTAATAGAAAATGTGCGATGCCGTCGTCGTCGTCGTTGTCGTTGTCGTTAAATTGAAATTGTCGCGCAAATAAAAATTTGCATATTTTAGCATTGATTTTGCGGCGCTGTCTGCAGCCCGAGCCATGTGGCAGTCCGTTTTGCGAGGCCCTTGGGATACGCGTCGTATGCGCAATGTTTGAGTGCAGTCAATAAATTTAGCTAAAATCGCAAAAATTGCTCAAATTAATTACAGAACAGTGCATAAAACACACACAAAGGCAAGGAAGGCTATGGCCAGACACTAAACTGTGCTGCATGCCATGGACACGGAACGGGGCAGACCTCATTACTGCCTGCCAGTTCCAGTTGCTGTCTATACTAAATCCTGACGCTGTCACAATAAAATCCACTCAAGCTCAACATACGTCAGCAGTGACGAGCTGCAGGCCGAGGTCAAAGCTGAGGCGGAGGCTGTAGCTGAGGCTGAGGCCAAGAATAGTGAACAGCGTGTCTGGGTCGAGAGCCGTTCCAGCTGAGTTGAGGCCGTCTCCAAGGCGAGTTGCATAAATTTATGCGCTGGTCAGGCTGAGCATGTAAAAAAGAGGCAAACTGTATCCCAGTCGCTGACTCGAAGGCGCAGGGCGCAGTACAAAACGGCTCATTGATATATTTACGAGCTCAGCTGATGTGTCCACCCAGTCCGCCCTGCAACAGTGGGCGTGGCTGCCAGCACGCTAAATGCAATATCCAGCTGAACATCCATGCTTGAATGTGAATTATATTGAGTTATATTTTGTTAATAACTTGAATTTGTTGCCAAAACATGTCCACAATTGTCCTTATATATATACATATATATATGTGTATGTTTATAGCAATATTAAGTGAGCTTCCCTGCTTATGAGTCCTTTTGGCTGTTAGTGCAATCTCCCTTGTTAGGAATCTTTCTAGAAGTACAGAATCAGAATTCAGTTCCAGCAAATTGGCAAATAATATAATAATTCTAAAGCCGCATTGAGATCAGATTACTACTCCTACTACTACTAGTACTACTTCTGCTACTACCTCTAATATTATTCTACTACTATTACTATGACTACTACTACTACTACTTCTGCTACTACTACTTCTACTACTCCTTTTATTATTGCTACTACTCCTATTAACACTACTGCTAATACTACTACTACTACTAATACTACTATTATTACTAAAGCTACTACTTCTTCTACTACCTCTATTATTCCACTTTTATTATTACTGCTACTACTACTACTACTATATTAGTACTGCGATCACTACTAATACTACCACTACGACTACTACTATTATTATTTCTACTACTACTAGTTTTATTACTACTATACTACTATATATATATGAATACATTTGCAGGACCTCTACCTTATGCCTCTCTCTTTAGTCATTAA